ACTGTGAAGTATCAGGCAATACAAGCAGCCAGAAATTGAGGACCCTTGTAAGAGCACATGAAACAGCTACCCAGTGAACGATTGAAGGCAGCAAAGCTAGGTACTATTGGTACTTCATAGAGTAACTGAGGTGGCATGGTAGACAATGAATCCATGTCTACCTTGTCCTCTTTTAAGCTTTCTAAGTCTTATCAGGCAGACTTGTCTACTCGGCCGGCCTACCTCGCATATACAAAGTCTAGACCTAGATCTTACCCCAGCCTCCCTCGGTAGAATTCTAAGGATCTTCCTCTCTTTTATGAATAGGGTCCTATCAGGAAATAATTGTCTGCTAATGAAGTCCAAATTCAAATCCTTGGCGCCCTTATACCCTGTACAAAATATGCAATACATTCTTGTCATATGCAGCACCGTTGGAAACCAGATTAAATCAACTCATAGTCGTTCAAATACTTATGGGAGATAGAGAGCTTGTAATTTTAGTGTTTTTACCACTATTCAAGCATTCAAGAGTATAATCTTCTCTAAAGATAATTGTCCTATGCTAAAAACCGGTCGAAAGAAAGTTCTTTTGACAGCAGGATGGGCCCTCTATAGAGTAGATAAAGATGAGTCAGCTCATACTAAATCAACTTAACCCATCTATACTACACCACACTAGTCTCCACTAAGCGGCGGTGATGGAAAGCGGTAAGACTGGCAATGTCTGGCAATAAGAAAGACAGGCCCAAAAGGGATCCAACATACACATCCATTCAACCCTCATTGTCCTTGACGATTGGACTAATTCATTCTATTGTGCCCACCACGTGAACATTGGTGTTTACATTACTTGTACGCTCGATTCACTTAGCGGTCACTCTCGCTTCACTCCGTCCCGAGCTTGCACCTCGGTTGGCCTATTTAAGGCAGGAGGCGATTGTATACCCTACAGTGCTTGCGCATGTCACATCGAAGTCATTTTTCTACTTCTTGGTTAAAGTCTCTACAAGTATTGGGAACATTTGACCGACACATCTACTTCTTTCTCGGGGAAGTTTATAAGTGAAAGAAGCATCAATCAAGCCCTCATAAAGCTTCATTTGTCTAGGGCAACTATTAGAGTGCCCAATGAGACTATAAGCGCCAAGACCGACAACAAAGGACTTTCAGATCATGGACGAGGACGAGGATACCGTTATGGCCAACTCCCATTCCCTTCCTTCCCGCACATCCATCACCCAAGTCCCTCCTCCTAACCTAAGCAACCACCCTCACCCCAATTTTACCCCTTTCATCCCCCCTACTTCGGCATACCCAGATCCCTTAACAGGTATGACTCGGCGAAAGCCTGGCGAGGGCGATAGCACATCGACAGATGATGCAAAGCGCGACAGCCCAGTCGAAGCCAACTCAGACTGGTCTGGCTCAGATGAAGAACTGACACTCAGATCGGGCTTGCCTGTTGCATCGCTAGCCACAGGTTTATGCTATGATCATCGCATGCGTTGGCACTGTGAAGTCCATCCAAAAAGCGACGTTCATCCAGAAGACCCTAGGCGCATCTACTACATCTACAAGGAGCTGTGTCGCGCTGGCCTTGTTGATGATGAAGAGTCGTCTCAGCCCCTGGCGCCCAGGACTTTGCAACGTATTGCTGCGCGCAATGCTATCGAAGAAGAGATCACTCTCATCCATACTGATGCACACTATGCCTTTGTGCACAGTACTAAAGGTAAATAACACGTGGAAATGAGTTTGGATAGATACTAACGCATCCGACAGACATGTCTGATGATGTACTCATCAAGTTGGAGGAGAATCGCGACTCCATCTACTTCAACAAACTGACCTTTTCGACGGCCCTCTTATCGGCTGGAGGGGCGATCGAGACTTGCATGGCTGTTGCTCAACGCAAGGTAAAAAATGCTATTGCTGTCATTCGCCCGCCGGGTCATCACGCTGAAGATGATGCCGCCATGGGGTTTTGTCTTTTCAATAATGTCTCGGTCGCAGCGCGTGTCTGTCAGAGGAAGCTAGGAGATGCTTGCCGCAAGATCATGATTCTTGATTGGTATGTATTCCTCGTATTTTGATTTGGTGTTAATACTGACTAGACTTAGGGATGTTCATCATGGTATGCCTCAACCGCCGAGTGTTGGTGATAGTATTTGACTGACACTACATAGGAAATGGCATCCAGAAAGCTTTCTATGATGACCCCAATGTTCTCTACATCTCTCTTCATGTCCACCAGGATGGGCGTTTCTACCCTGGTGGTCCTGCTGGAGACTGGGATCAGTGTGGCTCTGGTCCTGGAACTGGAAGGTAAGTGTTTCGAAATAATGCAATGACTTTTCACTGACGCCTATTAGGAATGTCAACATCCCTTGGCCTGATCAGGGCATGGGCGATGCAGACTACATGTTTGCTTTCCAGGAAGTAGTCATGCCCATAGCTCAGGAATTCAATCCTGACTTGGTGATAGGTGAGAATATTACCACTTTCTGGAAGAAATCCACTAACATTTACAGTCGCGGCTGGTTTTGATGCTGCTGCCGGTGATGTACTTGGTGGTTGCTTTGTTTCTCCATCTTGTTATGCGCAGATGACCCACATGCTCATGACTCTTTCTCACGGAAAGATTGCTGTCTGCCTGGAGGTACGCTCAATTTATTCGGGTAATTGTTTATACTAACCTCATCTGAAATAGGGAGGATACAACTTCAAGTCTATTTCAAAGTCGGCCTTAGCCGTGACCAAGACACTCATGGGCGAGCCTCCAGAACGGTTGGCGAAAAGCTCTCCCACGGACGCAGCGGTTAACACGGTGCGCCGGGTGAGAAGCATTCAATCTCGGTACTGGAGCCGCTTGTACCCCAAGACAAGCTCTCATGCAATGTCAGGGGATCGACTTCACGGTATGGACCGTTGAGAATCTCCACTTAACAGCACTGACTGATCTTCTAGACATCATCCGGGTTTTCCAAGCGAATCAGCTTTACGAGACCTGCAAGCTCACGCCCCTCTTCATCTATCGCACAGCCATTTCAAAGTCATTTGAGAAACAAGTTCTGGCAAGGTAAGCCGGTCACAGAAGCCAATTTCTGTACTTGAGTCTCACATCTGGCAGTCCCAATTACACAGAGGAAGTGCCGCTGGTTGTCATCTTCCATGATCCGTAAGTTTTCTGATATGTTCAACAACCTTATAATGAACTTAGTGCTGACTATGTCTAGGCCTGAGATCATGGGCGAGGCTCATCCAGTTACTAATAAGCTGGAAACCCACAATGTCTGGATGGTAAGTCATTACACAGGATTGTCGCAGTTTCAACATCTGCTAACCAAGACCAAAGGCTGATTCTTTGAAGGATTACATCGCCTGGATTGTTGGCAAAGGCTACGCCGTGATCGATGTTAACATCCCCAAGCACATATCGAAAGAGATTGTAAGTCAAACTGATTTGATGTATTCACCTGATCTGACAGTTCGTAGCCGTCTGGTCGATACGAGCCAGAAGATGAGGACCGACCAAATGCCACCGAGGAGCTGGCAGCATACTTGTGGGACAACTACATCGAGTAAGCCAATTTATTAAAACTCTTGGCTATCGTAAGCTGACACACATCTACAGTGCCAACCAGGCCACCGAAATCTTCCTTCTCGGTGTGGGCAATGCATTCTACGGTGTGGCGAATCTCTTGATCAACAGGGGTAAGCAATCTAACAGAGTCAAAAGGGTAGATCCCCGCTAACAATGGCAGAAAACCTGTACAAGCGTGTCAACGGCGTTGTCTCCTTTGTAGCAGAGAGCCCAATCCGCGCGATCAAATCAAGCACCCAAACCTGGCTGTCCAAATGGTACAGAGAGGTAAGGCATCATGCACTACACCCATGGTACACTCAACTAATATTCATTTCTACTCAGAACTCCATTGTCTTCGTTGCAAGCTCGCACGGTCTGTGGTCTAGTTCAGACAGACGTCACTCGAAGCGATATGGCCAGCTGGTGCAGTCGCCGAAGTCGGATTTGAGCGATATGCTGGCCGAGCATAAGGAGCAGGTTTACCAGTGGATTTCCGATCGTGCTGATTCCCATGAGAGCGATGAAGTTGATGAGTGAGTTGGTAGAATTTTGCATAGAGCTACGCGATGTTTGGAGTATTTTCATAGCCTTAATGATATATTTGAGCCTGTTATCGTTGGAGTAAAAATAGGTATAGGACATGGGAGTATTTGCTCTGCCAAGATACTCTTCTTCGACACATCTCAAGCCACCCCGTCCTTGTGTGAGGCTTTGATGTCAGCTGCGAACCCCTCTCAAGGCGTACATCAGATATGAGACATTCAAGGCATCTACTTGTCTCGGCTATACCAAATGCAACATTTAGTCTAGTGGTGACCATATTTCATACAAAGTATCAGGGTCAAAGGGTATACGATTTGCATAATATTTCTTATGGAGATCTGCAGTCAGATGTAACTATGTCTTACTTCCCCGGAGAAAAATAGACGCACTCTTTGTCTTTCTCCACCCTTGGCATCAGATACTATTTCTAATGGATCACCAAGTGTCCAAATGCATCGAAGCGCTGAGACATCGTATTTCTTCCTTGCTTCTGTGGACTCTCTTTCTCGTATCTACCTCATGCCGAAACTTGACTCGGTCCTTTCAACCAACCTCTTCGACCGTGAGATGCGGGGTTCAGAGGATGAGATGGCTACTCCAGGTCCTGTGATGGATGCCCTAACCGAGTTGGTGGTTTAATGCCTCGCATCAGTTCCTATGGGATGCGAATGTCTCGGATTTGGGGAGTGTCATGTTTCTCTATGGCATGCCCCCTTAGGATGAAGTCTATACTCCAATCGCTAACAGAGCAACCAGCCAACAACGTTAGTTCATTGGATACTATACCCACCAACAAAGATATATAAAGGACCTCGAGTCTGCCTCGAGAGAAGACGTTCTCATCCCAGACAGTCATATACTATATCTCAAGCACAAACATCCAAGCAAGATGCACTTCTCAACTCTCATCGTGTCAATCGCGGCCCTGGCTCCCCTAGCCAGCGCCGTCGGCAACGCAGTCGTAACAAATCACTGCAACTTCCCAGTCTACCTCTGGTCCGTCGGAGGCAGTGTAGGACCCCAGAAGACCATCGCCGCCGGAGCCAGCTACTCAGAGCCCCTCCACCACGACGCAGCCTCAGGCGGCATCGCGCTGAAGATCACCACCGTCGCGAATGGCCTGTACAACGGCAGTCCGCAAACCAACTTCGCCTATACCCTCGACCCCGGCACGGTCTGGTATGACCTATCCGATGTCTTTGGTGACCCATTCTCCGGAAAGACAATGGTCGTGCGGCCTTCCGATACCCAGTGCTCCAAGATTTGTTGGCCACAGGGCGTTAACCCCGGCGGTAGCCAGACTAAGAACTGTAACTCGGATTCGAGCATTACTCTCAATCTGTGTGCGGCGAAGTGTTAAGCGCTTGGATTATAGTTGACAGTTGGTAGTTGATACCGCATGGCTGGGGGAGGGGCAGATTGCCGAACGTGGGGGAGGCTCTGGGGATAGGATGGGACGTGGATCCAGTCAAGACCCCGGCATTTGTATGTAGTTGATTATAATGTGAAACCGATCGATTTAAGCGCCTGTGGATTCCGTAGTGTCTGCATTGTAAGGGCATGCCGCCACCGTCGAGCAATGAGAGGCCGAGGGCGCTTGTTAGGGCTCCGCGATGGCGCATCACCGCCCCCGGGCAGTATCCGCTTTATCATCATCAATCCGAGGGACTTCGCATTTCTCTCATCTTCTACTATTCTCCTACATTTATAGACCCTCGAATATTCTGTATATTGGCATATTTCTGCGCATTGGAATTCGTGGTCACGTCATTGGTATTTCCCCTTGGCAACGAATGCCTCCAAGGTCCTCCACTGCACTGTGTCACAAAGGTCTCAGTCTCAGTCTCAGTCTCAGTCTAGCTCGTCCTTATCCCGATTCGTTGCGCGCTCCTTCACGATCCTTGTCTTTTCCGATATTCTTTAAACGTCGGACTTTCTCTCATTCTACTCCTACCTTTACGACCCCCTCAATCATGGCTCCAATCGAGCGCATCGCAGAGCATCTGGAGAAGCCAGAGCTTGACGATCGGTCATATCGCGTGATTCGACTGCCAAACAAGCTTGAAGCTCTTCTAGTTCATGATCCCGACACCGACAAGGCCAGTGCGGCCGTTAACGTGAACGTGGGCAACTTCTCCGATGAAGACGATATGCCAGGGATGGCTCATGCAGTAGAGCATTTGCTGTTCATGGGCACAAAAAAGGTAAGCCGGAATTTATTTCCGGTATTTGTTGGCTTGGACAAAGTGCTAATTAGATTGGCAGTACCCCAAGGAAAACGCATACAACCAGTACCTAGCGGCCCACTCTGGTTCATCCAATGCATACACAGCCGCAACGGAAACGAACTATTTCTTTGAAGTGTCCGCCACGGGCGACTCGAGCCCACCCAAATCCAGCGGAGATAGCACCCCTGCCGAGACGAACGGGAATGGAACTTTGTCGAATGGATTGGAGGGCAAGTCGCCTCTTTACGGTGCTTTGGATCGATTCGCTCAGTTCTTTGTTTCGCCACTGTTCCTAGAGTCGACCCTAGACCGTGAGCTGCAAGCCGTGGATTCGGAAAATAAAAAGAACCTCCAGAGTGACCTGTGGCGGTTGATGCAACTGAACAAGTCACTTTCAAACCCTCAACATCCTTACCATCACTTCTCGACTGGTAACCTGCAGACGCTGAAGGAAGACCCGCAGAAACGCGGTCTGGAAGTCCGCAGTGAATTCATTCGTTTCTATGAGAAGCATTACTCGGCCAACCGGGCGAAACTGGTTGTCCTGGGACGAGAGTCTCTGGATACACTAGAGGAGTGGGTGGCCGAGCTTTTCTCCGATGTCCAGAACAAAAACCTTGCTCAGAACCGGTGGGATGATGTACAGCCTTTCACGGAAAAGGACATGTGCACTCAGGTATTTGCCAAGCCGGTCATGGACACCCGATCTATGGACATGTACTTCCCCTTCCTTGACGAGGAGGATCTCCATGATACCCAGCCTAGCCGGTACATCAGCCATCTGATTGGCCACGAGGGTCCAGGCAGTGTTCTCTCCTACCTCAAGAACAAGGGTTGGGCCAACGGTCTCTCTGCCGGTGCCATGCCTATCTGTCCCGGGTCAGCGTTCTTCACAGTCTCCGTGCGCCTGACTCCTGATGGTCTGAAGGAGTACCAGGATGTTGCCAAGGTGGTCTTTGAGTACATTGCTATGATCAAGCAGCGTGAGCCAGAGCAGTGGATCTTTGATGAGATGAAGAACCTTGCTGAAGTTGATTTCCGATTCAAGCAGAAGACCCCAGCTAGCCGATTCACCAGTCGCCTCAGCAGTGTCATGCAGAAGTCACTGCCCAGCGAGTGGTTGCTGAGCGGATCCTTGCTGCGACGTTTCGATCCTGCATTGATCAAGAAGGCTTTGGATTACCTGCGCGTTGACAATTTCCGCCTGATCATTGTGTCCCAGGACTTCCCGGGCCAATGGGACCAGAAGGAGAAGTGGTATGGTACTGAGTATAAGGTCGAGAAGATTCCTCAGGAGTTCCTGGGTGGAATTCAAAAGGCCCTGAAGTCGACTGAGGCTACTCGCACTTCCAACGTTCACATGCCCCACCGCAACGAATTTGTGCCGACGAGACTCTCAGTGGAAAAGAGGGATGTTGACGAGCCAACCAAGACCCCTAAGCTGATCCGCCACGATGACCGCGTGCGCCTGTGGTTCAAGAAGGATGACCGCTTCTGGGTGCCCAAGGCCACTGTTGAGGTGACGCTCCGCAACCCTCTTGTGTGGGCTACGCCTGCCAATCTTATCAAGACCAAGCTGTATAGCGAGCTGGTGAGAGATTCTCTGGACGAGTACTCCTACGACGCTGAGCTCGCTGGGTTGGACTATCATCTTTCGGCCAACATCCTGGGATTGGATATTTCCGTGGCCGGTTACAATGACAAGATGTCTGTGCTGTTGGACAAGGTCCTCAACACCATGCGCGGGCTGGTGGTCAACCAAGACCGGTTCAACATCATCAAAGAGCGCTTGACGCGGGCATTCCGCAATGCCGAGTACCAGCAGCCTTACTACCAGGTCGGCGATTACACTCGGTACCTCCTCTCTGAGCGTGGTTGGGTCAATGAGCAATACCTCGAGGAGCTGGAGCATGTGGAGTGCGAAGATGTGGTCAAGTTCTTCCCCCAGTTGCTGGAGCAGACCCACATCGAAGTTCTGGCCCACGGAAACCTCTACAAGGAGGACGCCCTGCGCATGACGGATTCCATTGAGAAGACCTTGGGGGGCCGCCCTCTGCCCCCGTCGCAGTGGTACCTGCGCCGGAACATGACGCTGCCTCCCGGAACCAACTATGTCTATCCCCGCACACTCAAGGACCCAGCCAACGTCAACCACTGTATCGAGTACTTCCTGTATATCGGACTGTTCTCTGATGACATCCTGCGCTCGAAGCTACAGCTTTTCGCCCAACTCACCGACGAGCCCGCGTTCGACCAGCTCCGCAGCAAGGAACAACTCGGATACGTGGTATGGAGCGGTGCTCGCTACAACGCCACCACCCTCGGCTACCGAGTCATCATCCAAAGTGAGCGTACAGCACAGTACCTCGAGTCGCGCATTGAGTCCTTCCTGCGCGAGTTCGGCCCCATCCTCGAGAAGATGCCCGAGGACGAGTTCGAAGGACACAAGCGTAGTGTCATCAACAAGCGCCTGGAGAAGCTTAAGAACCTGTCTTCTGAGACCAACCGCTACTGGTCACATGTGGGTTCTGAGTACTTCGATTTCCTGCAACATGAAACCGATGCTGCGAACGTGCGCACCCTGAGCAAGGAGGATCTCATCGCCTTCTACCGCCAGTACATCGACCCTTCGTCAAAGACGCGCGCCAAGCTCGCCATCCACCTGAACGCGCAGGCCGATGCATCCAAGCCATCAGAGAAGCGAACCGGCCTAGCCAGTGCGCTGAGCAAGCAGCTCGATATAGCCGGGTTCACCGTGGACACCGACCGTCTCGCAACAGCTTTCGAAGAAGTCGAAATGACAGTGGTAGACAAGAGCCAAGTCATCTTCGTTATCAAGACTTTCCTCACAACAGAGATGAGCCTGTCGCCACAGCAGGTCGAGCCCGTCATCGAGAAGCTGGAGCAAGATCTCGGCCCCAAGTTGAAGGAACTGGGTCTAACCTCTAGCACTGATGAGCAGGGCCAGGCTAATGGCAATGCGTCGAAGGCTATTGTTATCACCGATGTGCCTACTTTCAAGGCTAGTCTGCCTGTCAGCACGGGACCTGTTCCTGTGACAGATCTGACGGAGTTTGAGGACTTTGATGCGAAGCTGTGAGCATGTACACGATACAATGGGTGGTGAGGTGTTGAGGTTGGTGCGTGGGGGAGTGGGTGTTGGTTTGAGGATAGCGATTTTACAGAAACAGACATAATTTAACTTTATTATTACACAAGATCATGAATTATCGCCAAATTTAGGAGAGTAAGCACTTGTTGAATGAGTAAAAGATGCCCGTACCTTTGGAGTTATAGTGAAGCCCGGAGTTAGTGGCGACGATGCCGAAGTAAACAATAGTCTCGGGGGCGGTGAGCCGATAACGATACCGAAAAGCTGAAGCTTCTCTGGAGCTGCGCGCGCATTCTTACCTCCGCATCTGCGTCAAAATGGCTACCACCACAGCCGCGGCGATTCAAAGCGCCCGCCCGTGAGTACACCTTCATATTATGATGATATTGCGCAAGCCATTCCATGACCTGGACTCTCTGACTCTTTTGACCCCTAGACCCATCCTCCCCAAGGACTTCTCCGCACTCCAGCCGGAGACTATCCGCTTGTTTCCCTTATCGAACTACACCTTTGGCACCAAGGAGACTCAGCCTGAGGAAGACCCTTCCGTGCTTGCCCGTCTGAAGCGCCTGGAGGAGCACTATGAACTCCATGGTATGCGCCGGACCGCAGAGGGCATCCTGGTCTGCCACGAGCACAACCACCCCCACGTTCTCATGCTTCAGATTGCCAACGCTTTCTTCAAGCTGTAGGCACCCATTTAACATAATTGCGCATCTCAGAGACTAACGATCAATTCCAGGCCTGGCGATTACCTCCACCATGAGGACGATGAGATCGACGGATTCAAGAAGCGCCTGAACGAGCGTCTGGCCCCCGTGGGATCACAATTCTCCGGCGAGGGAGTCAATAGCGACTGGGATATCGGCGACACACTTGCGCAATGGTGGCGCCCCAACTTCGAGACCTTCATGTACCCATTCCTGCCGGGCCATGTGACACGTCCCAAGGAGTGCAAGAAGCTGTACTTGATCCAGCTGCCCAAGAAGAGTGAGTTTCCTTTCTGTTCATTTTCCTTTCTGTTCACTTCACGCGAGATCATCACTCACCCATTCACAATGTAGAGGTCCTCTCCGTCCCCAAGAACATGAAGCTGCTCGCCGTCCCCCTCTTCGAGCTTTACGACAACACTGCCCGCTACGGCCCCCAGCTCTCTGCCATTCCCCACCTTCTTTCGCGATACAACTTTGAGTTCGTCGATGAGAATGACAATGTTGTTGCTGTGACCCCCGGCGGTCCTGATCAGCAAATCCCCCGTGCCAGGGTTCTTGCTGGTGGTGATGGGGCAGAGGATACAGGCATGCTTGATGTCGAGGAGGGACAGAAGATCGAGTCTCACCACTAGCCCGGTAAGGGGTCTGATTTTGAGCCAGATTTAGCCAGCGCTTAGCCAGGATTTTAGCCAGTGCTTCTACTTACGAAAAATGATAGTCAACGTTCCAATTTCATGTCTATCTTCGTAGAGCTAAGGTGGACTTTGCGGGAAGTGATACTCTTAACCGCTCAGCTAGATCTTCCTATACAATCGTGAAATCCTCCGACACATCTCCATCAGAGATAAGATCGACGCCAAGCCACAAAGCCAACCACATCCCGACATGCCATGCAAAGAGCCCAAAAGAGCCATAACCTCGGCGGAAAATAAACCACCGGGGCCCGATGCCATTCCGTCCGCATCTGCACGGCACATCCAGTGCCTGATATTTGACTGACAATCTGACATCTGCACCCCTCACTCTTCACCACAGAAGAACGCCAAACCAGCCATGCAAAGCCAAGCTAGAGAAGTTACCCAGTCACGCATCCGAGGAGCCCCCGCATACTTCGCTTGGCAAGTGGCCTTACCCAAAGACGGTTATATCCGAAGCATTCAAGACCGCAACGATGCCGATCCTACCGGAATCCCACCGGTCACGCGTGGAATATGCAATATGCATCGGAGAATGTTCTGAGTCTGGCATCGACATGTCCGTCGTCCGTACCCCGCTCCCTCATGGGAGAGGAAGAATTCTGGATCTATACGTCCGATGAGGGTATATAAAGGGATGGGCTTGGTTGGCTTTGGGATTCTCAGGCAAGAAAGTGAAGAGTTATACTTCCGGGATATTAGTCTTCATTATGCATCTTACCCGGCTTGGAAGTGTTGCTGCTCTGGCGGTCTTGGCTGTTGCTGCTCCTGCTCGACCTGTTCCTCGAGGTATGAACAACCGTTCCCCTGCAGTGTTGTTCTGTGGCTGAAATACATAGATGTCTCGACCAATGTCCTTGGTCAATTAAACTTGTTCGCGCAATATGCCGCAGCATCATATTGCACGAACAATATCAACTCTACCGGCGATGGACTCTCTTGTCTAGAAGGAAATTGTCCATCTGTCCAGTCGGCCAAGACAACAACTATATACGAGTTCGATGAGTATGTCTGCTCCAGCCTTGAGTTGTATACATGCACAACACTGACAACCACCAGATCCACCGAGTTCGGTAATGTGGCGGGATTCCTCGCTGCCGATCAGACAAATAACCTCCTCGTGCTCTCCTTCCGGGGAAGCCGAACGCTGAGCACGTGGATTGCGAACCTGGACTTCGGCCTAACCGATAGCAGTCTCTGCAGTGACTGTGAGGTCCACAGTGGATTCTGGAAGGCATGGGAAACAGTCGCGGACGACTTAACAGCGAAGATCAAGACAGCATTGACAACCTACTCGGGCTACACACTCGTCCTAACCGGCCACAGCTTCGGCGCAGCCGTTGCCACACTCGGAGGCACTGTGCTCCGGAATGCAGGGTACAAATTGGAATTAGTAAGTGTCACCACCAAGCATTAACCTTGCTATATTTCCAGTCAATAGAGATAACTACTAACAGTGAACCCACAGTATACATACGGCCAACCCCGACTTGGCAACAAGGCATTGGCAACATATATCACAAACCAAGGCAGTCTCTATAGAGTGACACATACCGACGACGTGGTTCCTAAATTACCCCCCGCATCTTTTGGATTTAGCCATCCTAGCCCTGAGTATTGGATTACCAGTGGCAATGATGTGACGGTGACTCCTAGTGATGTGACTGTTATTGAAGGTGTGGGGTCTAAGGCTGGAAATGCTGGCACGGCCAATCCCGATATCGAGGCCCATAATTGGTATTTGGTTTATATTGATCAGTGTCAGTAGGAGGGTATATTGGAGATACTGTATATATTGATGGTGCTGGCACCTGTGCATGTCTCTATGGGTTGTATAGGTTATCACGGCTTTGGTAGTTAGTCTATCAGATATTTGTATATACTTACCTTGCCCCAGTATACATATTTTGTTATTCCTTTACTCTAAGTATAAAGTTGAATGATAGCAGGGATGTTCCCAAATGGACTGATCTATATCTCAGATACTATCCCACATTAAGAATTCCGTGCAACATATAAGCAATTCTTCAGGTATAGCGGTTTATGTATAACTGTGCATACTGTCCACTAAATTATCGATCAAACATAAGGTGACACTTGAGAAATCTTCAATGGTTGTACACGCAAATTCATGTGATGGTAGTAGTAATTATGTTAGCGCAATAGAATCGACGCTAAATATACGAAGCGATCATTTGCCTAAATAGTGTGGAGACATCGAACATGATCTTGAGTGTAATAATTGAATAAAATATAGAACCAATTAAATTTGTGAGTAGAGAAGTAGAGAATATACTTGTAGGCGAGCCAAGCTCAAGTGGGGACGCAACCTCTCCCGCGAATTATCCAGCACCGCAATACTCAATGACCTGATCAACTGGGCTTATTGCCCTCTACACCGTGATGCTATTTGCCCCCAGTGGTCCACAGGGCCCTCGCCGTCGCAGTCGGCTCAAGGCCATCCTCCTCACCATCTTCATCGTCCTCGCCCTGTACCTGCTATTCTTCTCCCACACCACCAGATCCCCCGTGAAGGCCGATACGGGCAGCTACGCGCAAAAGCATGGATCACCAGCTACATCAAAATCAGCAGACGAGCTGGCTCGTCCTGCTATTTGGAAGCGCAAGGATATGGTCGTGGCCAGCATGAAGAGTGATGACACGTCATGGCTGTTGGAATACTTCCCAGACTGGACGAAGAGCATCTATGTGGTGGACGACAAGCACGCACCGTTGACGGTGACGCGCAACAAAGGGCGCGAGTCGATGGTTTATCTGACGTGAGTCGTGCATCCCATCGCGCAAGCCGTAGCTAACCCAAGCTTCTGTCTAGCTATATCATTGACAATTACGACAACCTACCCGAGACGATGCTCTTCATCCATTCGCAACGATATCAATGGCACAACGACGACCCATATTACGACGGCGTTCCACCGCTACAAAATTTCCAGGTCCCCTATCTACAACAGCAGGGATACGTCAACCTGCGCTGTGTTTGGACACTCGGATGCCCGACGGAGATTCGCCCTCTCACGGATACCCACCGCGACGCGGTACATGCGGGGGAATATTTCAAAACGGGATTCATGGAGCTATTCCCCGGGGTCCCAATCCCGGAGGAAGTGGGCGTATCATGCTGCGCCCAATTCGGCGTATCCCGCTCCAAGGTGCTGGAGCGACCGCGCAGCGACTACGAGCGCTTCCGCACTTGGCTGGTGAATACGCCATTGCCGGATGATCTGAGTGGACGAATTATGGAATATTCATGGCATAGTATGTTCCCAACGCCCGGATACCGAATAATGGATGCTAATAGTTGATCCAGTGATCTTCGGAAAAGAACCCATTCATTGCCCCAATGCAGCAGAGTGCTACTGTAATGTTTTTGGACTGTGCGATCTGACCTGCCCTTGGGAGGGTGGTTGCGACGACCGCTATGCTCTGCCGCCATTTTCCTCGCTGCCGAAGGGATGGCCGAATATTGGATGGAAGGGCCAAGCACAAGACACATCGCATGGATTGCCCGAGACTTGAATTTGATTAGAATATAATGCATAAGTTGGCTGCGCATCTTCCACAGAATTGATTTGGCGTTGGATCTATTCCTATAATTTGGCCTCGAGCACTTATAAGTATTGAGAATATCCACGGGTTCTATACTTGATACCTGGAAATGGTGCAATTGAATATATACACTGGAGTAGTTGAATTAGCTGTTGACTTACGCTGATGTACTGATGCAAGCAGTATAAATGTCCCAAATGCGGAGCCGAGGCTAACCACTCCCCGCAACTTGACGCAACTCAACTTCGCTTCTCTCAACACCAAAATGCTCATTATCGGACTGACTGGCTCAATAGCCACGGGCAAGACAACCGTATCAACCATCCTCTCAACACCTCCCTACTCCCTCCCAATAATCGACGCAGACGTTCTAGCCCGCAAGGTTGTCGAACCCGGCACAGCAGGCTACAAAGCGATCGTCAACTATTTCGGCCCAAGCACCCCAGACCTCCTCCTCGAAGATGGCACCAACCCATCCGGCAAACCCCTAAACCGGCCGGCATTGGGCCGACGCGTCTTCGGCAGCACAGAAGAGCGCAAACGCGACCGCGGAGTTCTAAACGGAATCGTTCACCCGGCCGTCCGGTGGGAAGTCTACAAAGCCCTGATCTACCATTATCTGCGCGGACAATGGGCTGTCGTACTTGATGTCCCGCTCCTCTTCGAAAGTGGTATGGATTTAATCTGCGGCACGGTGATCGTGGTTGGTGTTCACGATCCGGAGATCCAGATGGCTCGTCTGCGAGCCCGAGATGCGCATCTTACCGCTGAGGATGCAGAGAACCGGGTGCGCAGCCAGGGTGATGTGCGCATGAAGGCTGCGCAGGCTGAGTTCCGGGGGACGATGACGGCGCGCGGAGTGGTAGTTTGGAATGATGCGGATCGGGAGGAGTTGGAGCGGGCGGTCAAGGGGGCTATGGCTAGTATTGCGGCGTCTAGTCCGCGGTGGTGGGCTTGGGCATTGCTTATGGCGCCTCCTGTTGGAGTTGGGGTTGCTGCGTGGAATTTGGTGGTGAATTTTGCGACGCAGAAGGGGTGGGAGAAGAAGAAGAATGAGGAGAAGGCGAAGTTGTAGATTCGAGCTCTGTTCTACTGGAGATGACTTGACACCTTGATTTAGAGTGCTGTACATATTGTAGCTATACTAGGAATTTGCCCTAGAACACGCCCGATAGATGTGAATTGTTGTATTTGTATTTTGATGCTGTCGAATAATAGACGAGAAGGATATGTTAATACCGGACGCCGAGACCATGCTATGCTAAATGCTTCAAAGTGCTCATAGAGACAAGATGCTTTTACCTGCTCTTGCGCTTCTGCTTCTTATTCTTGTCTGGGGCTCCCATCGAAGACGGTCTGCCTCCTGACCCAGAGATACTGGTTAGTGTCTTCAGATTCTGGTCCGGATGAATTTTGTTCTTCTCTTTGAGACGGGCTTCAACTTCCTCCTGCTTTTGTTTTTCAATTGCCGCCTGCAAGATAAGTTAGTGATAGGTCTGGAACAAGGCACGGTAAGTCCCACCTCGCGCTCTTTGCGCTTGAAGTTTCCATATCCACGTCGTCCACCTTGACTGCCATCGTCCAGCGAGTCTGCGGCTAATACAACAGGCTGCGGGGTATATTGGGAAGCAGCCGGGATGTCCAGCACCCATTGTGTCTCACCAGATTCCGCAGCCTGTCGTGCAATAGCTTCCTGTCGCTTTTCCTCCTCAGCAGCAAGTGCCGCTGAGATCGCTTCCATTTCAGAGTTGCGAGGGCTTTCGGCCTCGGTTGAGACGCGTCGGCGCTTGGGGGTGGGTTGGCCGGAGTCGGCAGTGCTTTCTGCTTCCTTGGCCTCTTTTGCTTCCTTCGAAGCTGCAGCACGCTGCATGAACTGTAGATATTGTCAGTTTTATAGTTGTGGATTGATGAGACTATGGTCATACCTTCATCGTCAAGAGATTCGACGACATAGTTTTTTCGGGCTTTCCAGCCGGAGATGAAGCGCCCATAATGTGCAAATAGGTCTAACCAGTAATCTCAATTAAGAAACAAAAGTAAAGCAGTGAAGCGCAAAAGAATAAAATCACACGGCAGAAAACCCAGGCGCCGACGAGCTACCTCAAAGAAGGAGGCGGTGGACACCCACCAAACCACACCTCGCGGATTATTCAGTGACTTCAGGGTTGCTCCCTGCCAACCGTCTTTACCCTCCCTCCATACCAGGTACCCAATCTGCCCAGCATGATGTCCTGTGGCCGCCGAATTGCGACCTTTGCGTCGGTCCGCCCCTTCGCTGTCCGCGCCTACTCTTCCACCGTGCCTCGTCTGTCCGACAGCGCCATCGCCAACGACCCGACCCCGCGGAAGCAGACGCCGACTGTCTCCGGCACCAATGCCACACCCACTGACTCGTTCGGACGTCACGATGGCACTCTGCAGGAGTCGCCCGAGGTTGGGGAGCGTATCCGCAGCATGCAGGCCCCGAACCGCGCTACCACCTGGGCTGCAAACCAGCAGCCTCGCGAGCAGGCCATGGTTGGACCTCGCTTTGAGCAGACCATCATGGAGAGCCAGGTGTGTTGCCATTGAATAGGATTGTTAATGCAATTGCGCGGTCGATTGCACTGGCAATGAACGGAACAATGACTGACTTCTCCAGCCTCAACCATATGCCGCCATCGACCTCATTCACAGACAGCACGTCCGCTGGACCAAGTCCAAGGTCGTCAGCTGCGACGGTGGCGGTGGCCCTCTCGGCCACCCTAAGGTCTTCATCAACACCGACAAGCCTGAGATCGCTACCTGTGGATACTGTGGTATTCCCTTCGTATGCTCACACGTCTCCCTTATCGACCGCGAAATCGTTACTAACATCTAATACAGGCCCAAGAGCAGCACCGCGCATACCTGAAGTCCCTGCCCGCCACCAGCTACCCCCTCGAGCCCACCAACGACGCTGCCGATGTGAACGAGTCCCAGCGCGTGAGCGAGGGCGGCCTGGAGCAGCGGTAAACTAGCATCAATTTCTTTCTGTCGGCGTTGATCATTTTTGCGTTTTACAATTACAATTGGTTTTGGGCCCGAGGCCATGTACAGAATATCGATCAATGGATCCGCTGCCTTTCGATCGCGTGATGATGTCGAAAATGGTTGTACTCTGACTATGGTCTAATATAGTTGGATCATATACCATGTTAACTCTCTTCACGTTTCTTTTATCTTGCATCAGTCGTAGCCACCCGTGTCTAGTTATCATAGTTGTCCGCGCTCTGCGTCCAGTTACGCCTTCTGACCCTGGATCGTCGCGACAACCTTGCGGCTGTGCCGACTAGTCCGGAATTCCAGGTACCAAATACCCTGCCATGTACCCGTTGCCAATCGACCGTTCGAAATAGGAATGTTCACGGAGGCGCCAATGAGCGCAGATTTGATATGAGCCTAGTAGAGTTAGCATTTGACCATAAACAAGCAGATAGTATGAAATTAGAGGAAAAGAAATAGAACCAATCCAGATCCCCAAACGATCTCAAAATGCCCAAAATCACGGGTACATGAATATGAACTGAACATACCGGCATATCATCATCGCCCTCGGCAGAATGACGATACAAATTGCCCTTGCGGTCGGTAGGCGCAATACGATCCAGCGCATCGCTCATATCAGCGCGCACATCGTCATCCCAGTTCTCATTGAGCGACAGCGCGCAGCTGGTGTGCTGCACGAAGAGGTTCAGCATGCCGACCTTATAGTCGCGGATCTCTGGCACTTCGGAGAGGACATGGTCGGTGATAAGGTAGGAGCCGCGGCTGCGTGCGGGGAGGGTGAAGTTCTTTTGAAACCAGGACATTTTGTGGAAGTTGGGAATTGTAGACCTAATGGAATCTCGTGAGAATCGTGGGGGGAGAAAAGAATGTTGGGTGTGGGGTTCTGATGTCATGGGCAGAGCTGCCTAAGTATAAATGTTTACTTGTAAGTTATTTATTTGTACATTTACTTGTTTACACGACTAAGACTTGAAGTTGTTTCTTATCGATATACATATGTACCAGGTAATGTCTGTAGTTGTATAGAGTGTAATATACTATAAGTACTTTCTCTAATGTAAGTGGCATCGCTTTGTTACGTTCTATTGCCTCTCTGCAAGAGGTTTGGAACGCCATTATCTACATATCAACCGCTCTCCAGATATTCAAAGCCTAGGGGGCTTCCATAGCCAAATTCAGATCACACCCGAAGTCGCCTAGCAGAGTCACAGGGAGAGACTGCCGACATCTCCCTCAAACCGCTACTCATCGCATATAACAAATCAGGCGAGCTCACAGGTATATGATAAAATAACAATAGAAGTAGATGTTAACTTGAATTGAGGAATAAATGTAAAGTGGCGCAGGATCGGAGAACGTATAGAAGGCTAATGAAAGATAAGTATGGTTGAACGCCGGTCAACAAGTGTTCAGCCGCGCCTGGCAGATACTGAGGTTACGGTATTATCAGTTAAGCTGAGGAGGACAAGACCGCTTCTGAATCATGTCTACGCCTTGCAAAGTGTTCAACGTTGGACCTCTTTTTCGCAGGGAGAATAATTGATTAAAAAAAGTAATAAAATTCAGCCTCGACCTGCGGGAAAGGAATTAACGGTTAAGGGAATGATGCTTACGGGAAGCCAAGGTCAGAACGAACAGGCCATGCACTCTATGACTGGTGAAGAGCACGCATTAGGCTGGCCATCTCAACTGGCGCAATGTCTCAACAACAGCTTATTACTGCAGCGTGGAGCTACGTTGGCCTACCGTTCATTGCGACCCACTCATTGCAATGCTTCTCAATGTACAAGTCCTAATAATTAATTAAACTTCGTTGGCGAAGTCCCTCGAAAATTTGTTCCGGCTTCACAAGAGTCGGTTTTCGGTCAAGCTTGTCATTGTCGCCTAGGCTTCCTCGACGAAACTATGACCAGGAAACGGATTATTTAGGTACCGGAAATTGGGACCCTGACTGTGATTGCCTTTCCGAGATTTTGCCATCTCGATAAAGGTGCCCAAAGAGCATATTGAACGGGCTATTGAGGTACCTTGGTTGCAACTCTAGCACTTTATTTTTAGGGTTGAAGGATGCAATCAATGTTTCTGAGCTAGCATATACACCCGATGTAGTTGAACGCATGTCATCTTTGGGGTAACTGAAGTCCGAACTAGTCAACAGACGTAAAACCAAGTTAAAAGCCTGCCGGTCACTTCCAGAATGAAAGTTTCAGCAGAGTCGGCAATGGCAGTGGTAGTTTGCACCTTTTTTCCTGCTGTACATTGACACCCATCAACTGGGATACAGCCAGCTGCGCTGTCCGGACACCGTAACTCATGTCTGCACTCGAATACCGCGGGAGCTCTACAAATTGCCCAATCAAGCCAATATTGCAGGTATTCTGGGGTATGATCTCAGGGCGGTCGCGCGAGGAGCGGATTAATAGAATACTACTCATTCTGGGCATCACTCGCGGAATGGTCACAGTGCGCCGAATAAGGAGCTCGGGCGGGATGTCCAGATGCCTGAGCAGTTCGATCATGATTTCTGCACCCGAGCACTCGAGCATTGGCTTTTTCACGTAGTTCCCTTTACTCCATGGAAAGAGTGCAAAGCCCCAAAGAACGCGCACGTTGTACGGCTGCTGGGAGAAAACCGGCTGTGCGGGTATACAGATATTCAATCTCCAGTGGCATTCGGGTACTGAGATGAATGCTCCAGCACCGACCGTAGACTGTGATAATGCACTGATCTGCTGGAAAAAGGCCAAATCCTCAGTAGTGATGGTGAAGGATTCCATCATCGATTCAGATTGACGAGTGCAGAAATTATAGGGATTGCCAAATTTGCGGTGTCTGGTTCCCAGCTCCAACCATAGTGACCAGTTTTCGTCCAGTTCCTCGCCCGTTTCGATTGGCTGCCAAATTGGCTGATGGTCATTCGTTCCTGTTGCTGAGCCGGAGACCGTAGATCCTAGTGTCATGATAACGATGTCGTTTTGTCCAATTTGTTTCCGTGTTGCAAATCCTCTCTGAATAAGGTCCAGCTGTGAAATGGTTTGGTGATCGTTGTGGGGAACCGTCGCAATATCGGCAACCTTTGTATCAAACTGGAAATCCACCCCCAGGCTATGGAGAAATCGATACAGGGGCAAGAGGATATATTCATGCTGGTAGTATCCCGTGATATCCAGGCAGCTCAAGATACTCAGGCTGTGGAATCCGCCGAGGTATAGACGGAGAGAACGCCTGAATTCTGCTGCACTATGCCATGGCTGAAAGCCGAATCTGAAGCATTTTGTATGACGTTAGTCACGAGTGACAGAAGAGCATCATAATTAACTCGAAGGAATCACGCACTGAGCAGACCAGACAACCCAAAAAGAGCTCTGGAAGAAGCTATGGGGCAAACAGTCTTGTATCTGGTTTCTCCCTAAGTGTTTCTCCTGCTTCAGAATAAACCATATTAGCTGCAGTCGTTGTTTAGAGCTCAAGTTCAATGACTTGGTAGGAATATTTCTCAGACTGCTATTCCTTTTCATGAAGCGTGTGCGATGATCGTGCGCGACAGATGTTCGGTTTATCTCTGCGTTCTGAATGTCCTCCAATACAGTTTTTCCCTGGTTCTGGATCGAAGGGACAGAAGCAAGAAGCTCTTTCAAGGGTGCGCCGACCGGAACAGGTAAACAGCCTGCAAACTGGTCATATCCAGTGGCAGCGTTACCCTTGTGGTGCACGACATTTTCGATTGATACGTGGGAATCTAGGACATGTACCTTCGCGGCGGGTACCTTGGCGTCCTGAACAAGATACAATGCGGCCGCAAAGGATGCGGTCCCACTCCCAAGGATCCACGCCTCGGTTGTCTCTGGAGAACGCTTTTTGGAGCTTGAAGATCTTTCATGTTCACCCTAGACTGAGGAATGCTGTGACGAAGGATCCACGACGAGTCGGATTGTTAGAAACTGTTACGAGTAAAATAATCGAATAACTAAAAAGCGGGTGTAAGAATGATTAAATTTAATTCCTTTCAATGTAGCCGTTAAAATCTAGACTCTCGCCAAGCGTTGTGTATAACTTATGGTCGGCATAGAAGGTGGTAATAATGACGACATCTCGAATGCAGTACGCTGATTAACGTGGTCAACCAATGTGGTTCAGTTGACCGGATAAGGAGATATACGGATTTCTTATGGAAGTGCGGTTTATCTGACAGGATTTGTGTGCTGCATCAGCAGTTTATACCAAAATAGGAAATGACCTGTGATGGTTGAATCAAGCGCAGTGCGCTAGTAATCCTACTTTCGACATAAGAGATCAAAATGATGATACCGCCTTTAGGGCATATCAAATCACAAGAGATATGTACACACTAGTAGCGTGGATTCCTCCGAGAGATCAAATTGATTGAAAGCGATGGCATATCACAGGCACAACCAGGATACCCCCCGATTCTCATACCATATGCCTTCAACATCATCGTTTTTCTCGTAAATGATCAACTCAATATTCGTCATATACTGGTTAATCTGACGAGCCAGGTTTAAACTAGAAAGCACCAGCGCCGATAGCGATCACTCGGATCGGACGGGGTTCTCCAAGTGGCGTTTTTTTTGGACAATATAGGGATGAGAGCCGGAGACTGGTATATCATTAGAGCCGATCATACTGGGAATAGCTTAGGGAAACCTTCTTTTGGCTGTGTAAATAAGATCTAACGATTTCAGGCCCGCTTTTAAGTCTTATTCAACGTTACCTACCCGCCTAGTGTAACTGGTCTCGACTTGATAACATGCAGATTGATCAAAGTACTATGCCTGTATTGTCCTCATGAGAATGAGCCACAAGAATGATGTGTTGGCCCATCCCGGGGTTATGAGTTCCATCATGGATTGCCGAGCTACTGAGAACAGTTGAGAAAGTGAAAGTAAGGCACCTTTTGAAATAACCAACGTTTGTGGTTAACAAAGACGCAATAGTGATCATTTCTTCCATCTTTTCATTAATGTAAACTCAATAGAAAGGTAATGCCCTCGGTATGTGGCCAGACGACAGAACTGGCCATACTGAACGGTATGAAGATGTCAATATCGATGATCACCTCGCAGCTTCCAACCTAGCAAGCTTAAATGAATGACTTTCGTGTGGGACTATTCAATGAAAATCACCAATAAAAGAACGGCATGGAAAGAGGATAATCTAGTTTTTGATCTGTTTCAAGACAAGAATCGGGCGCAAAGCTTTGGTATCACCCACTCCGCCGTGAGGCTGGTCACTTTCCTTGAGCATAACACACAAGATGTGATTCTTAAGAACTAGCAGCGCAATAAGCTGGTAACTTCATTGAATTGTTGCAGAGAAAGCATCGAATGGATGCACTCAACAATTTCACGTTGTTCTAGGACGCTACACATGTAATTGAGTTCAATCTCTACAACAGACGTGTTTCCAGTTGCAGTAGGTGGGACGGTGATCCGATTATAAGCCAAACCCAACATCTCCACTGTTTTGGGGGCCCTTTTCTCATTTCGACTGAGCAAGTATGTCCCGACAGTTAATATCCACAGAAACCCTCATGTGCTCGGTATCTCCGGAGCTAACGCAGGCCCCGTCGGCACGATGTGACCCTCAGCAGCTCATCACCACATTAGGAAATAGGTCTCTCAGCCGGGATACCTGGGCTTCCGAGTATCCTGTCTCACTGCTAAGGTGTTAAGAAGAGTATTTTAAAGGGAAATAATCCTGTCATCAAATTAATAACCCCTAAAAAACATCCCAAGCTGCACAATGCAGTTCAAATGGACCGCGGCACTCCTCGCCAGCCAAGTGGCAGCCGTCACCCAAATAACCAATAATGAAATGCAATCCCTACTCGATGGAGGGGGCATAGACCTAGCAGACCGCTACGCACCTCTATGGTTCTTCGGTCAAGCCCAAAACCAACCACCATGCTACCCAACCTGGGCATTTGGCGGCTCACCCACGACAAACGATGTATACGACGACAACCACAAGACACCTGCAGCAGCGCAATGCGATTATCCCAACGTCGGGTGTAACTGTCGAAACCCGGGAGTTGGTATTGGAAATGCCGGGCCTGCTTTTCCTGTTTATTATACGTACCGGCAGTGCAATGAGAGTGAGGTGCGGGTTGTGTATAACCTCTTCTATGAGAAGGACGGGGCGAAGTTTGTTGGGATCAATACTGGACATGACTAGTAAGTATTCTTTGTTCGAGTCGTCAGGGGAGGGTGTTCAGCCGCTTAGATCATTCTAGCGACTGGGAGCGCGTGGTAATCATCCACACAAAAGATAGCGATGATATGTGGGCTCCATCGCGTGCACTCCTCTCCGCACACAGTGGTTACCATAACCTTGCCTGGAGTGATATCCAAAACACATTGACAACCGACGAGATCAATGCGGGCGACGCGAAGGACCCGAACGGCGTGCGGAACAACGACCATCCCAAGGTGTACGTGTCGTGGTCGAAGCATGCTAACTTCGACACGCGCAACACGGGATGGAATGATCCGGCGAGTCAATCGTTGGATGATGCTTACCGTAGTCAGGACTGGTGGTATTTTGTTGCTCCGCAGTATTATGCAGGTGTTTCGTGTTCTGAGTTAGGTTGAAGGGGTATACTGACAGCGATATAGATTCGGGCTGATGATAGTACGGAAGCTGGGAAGGCCATTGGAGCTGCAGATTGGGGGAGTGCGAGCAGTAATCCTCCCTCTGTGCAATCTGGTGTATGTGATGCTTCGTAGAGATATCGAGCAATGGTGTAAAGAAAGTATGCACACTTGTCTATTCGTACACTGCAATCAAAGGCTATCCGTTTTTTGAGCCATTTATATACATACAACAACGCCGTCATCTTTCGTTTATTTCGCTTGTTTGATCAGCTTTCCGTGGTCATCGAGCTGATCACTGGTATTCTCCATGCCTCTCCATTTGGGGAGACCATCTGGAATATCCAGCATACGGCTCTCGTAGAAGATATGACATCTATTAACAACGTTAGTATCATGGTGGACGGCAGCATAGCATGTACATACGTCGGTTTGAAGGCTTCCCTCTGCTCTCTCTGCTCATCACTCGAGCCCTCAAGTTCAATCAATTGGGGAAAGATAAGACAGACATTGCGGCCTTCGTCCATGATAAGCGTGCGACAGTTGGAACAAGACACCTTGGTCGGTAGTTTATATTCCTGCGATTGATGCGTAGAAGAGTAAAACACCAACCCTCCAGGATCGCTTGTAAATAGCATATCATGTTTATGGAAGATAGAAGCCCATTGGAAGGGCGCACCATGGGCAACCTGACATCCACGGCAATGACAGTATTTGGCGTTGAGAGGTCTATCTTGTTTGAGGATGTAGGTGTTCTTTCCACAGAGGCATTTGCCACGCCACTTGATCGGTCCAAATCCCTTCTCACTCTGATTCTGGTATGGGGGACGGTGTTTCCAATGCTCGTCTTTGACGGTTTGTTCTTGGTCTCGGTTGGTGAATGCTGGACAGGGGATGGGATCCTCTGTCGTTTCAATGCCCATTTCCGCCATGATGAATGGTTTGTGTGTGTTATAGTGGAAGTGAGAAGCGAAAAAGGGAGTAAAAAAGAGAGAGATTTATATATGTAGGTAGAAAACAGGGACAGCAATGATGTCAGGTCAATGACATCCTTTCAAAGAAGTATGTAGATCGTCTCAGTTATATAGTTCCCCTGCCTGGATAGTGACCAATTACCCCTTTTCTTCAAGTACACTTCGAGATCATTTCGAATTGATCTCCATCTATCACAAATCTATAAAATGAAATAATGAAGCTGGTGATGTGATGTCATGTCCAGGTTTTACCGTGGAGATCATCTCCGTATAGATGGGGCCTATCAGAGAGACAGTTGACAGTTAACAGTTAACAGTTAACAGAGACAGAAGTGATTGATAGTTGACAGTAACAGTCTAGTGACAGTCTATTCTATGTATAGACTGTCACTTCATCACATCCTGTACTTCGTATAGACAGGATGTGACTGGATGAAACAGCGCTTAGCTGCCGGACTTCGGTGTTTCATCCCTGCGGGCCATGCGCTTTGTGCTTTGCGCTGTTCCCCCGACTTTGATGTCTCCCAACCAACTCCCATGGGTTTATTCAACAAACTGCGACGCAGTTCGCGACGCAGTAATAGTGCGGGAATCGCGATCGAGCCAGAATCTCCACCCCGCATCGGCCGAGATTACACCAAACGACTCCCACGACCAGTGTTGGCGCGCATCTTCGCCCTCGTATGTCCTCACACCGTCGATAATTCCTACGGCACATCAGAAGAATCTGCAAGCGATGGCTGCATGCTCTGCGACATGCGCGACCTGGCGCACTGCGCCCTAGTGAACAAGCGGTGGTTCCTAGACGCGCGGAAACTCCTGTACGAAACACCACGGTGGCCTCAAAGCCCAGTCTAACCCCAATCCCTGCAGGTACACAAACGTCCGCATCGATCCGGTGCACTACTGCGAGCTCGAAATCGAATTAGCCGCCAAGCGGAAACGCCGCTCATTCTTCGACCGCAATGGCGACCCCATCGATGCGCCCCAGGTACGACTGGAGTTGTTTATGCGCGCGGTGCGAGAGGCACAGGGGTTGGGCAATATGGTTCTCTCGCTGCGCATGCCGTATATGACTCGAGAAGCCAACAAGGCCAACATCGCCCGCACGATCTCCGTCCTGCCGAATCTCCGCTTTGTTGATCTCCCGGTGGGTCTGTACAGTGACGAGCCGTCCTGTCTACCGTTGAAACAAGAGTTGATGGTGCGGTGTCCGGAACTGCGGCGGATGAGTTATCGTCGGGGTGCTGAGGGGAGTTTTTCGCGTCTGCCTGGTTCCCAGCTATGGATGAACTTGGAAGTGTTGGAGCTGTCCGGGGTGCAGATGGAGGTTGGCACGTTGCGCAGCGGGCTCGCGGCATTCCCGCATCTTCGTGAGCTCACGCTCGAAGAGATGAACTGGCTGGACGACTCGGCGTTTGCGATGACTGTGCCGCTGCCACCGTTCCCAGCAGTGCAGTCTCTTACACTCCGAGATGCCCCCAGTGTGACGGCAAGCGGGCTTGCCTCATTCCTTTCCATGCCGAGAAACAAAGCAGCGCTGCAGTCATTGACGTTATCGGCTACCGGAGTTGTACCATCGCAAGTCCATCACGTTCTCTCTGCAGCTCCTCGACTGGAGAGTCTTTCAATTATTCAGGAAGTTTCCCGCTCATTCCCCATGGAGCAAATCCCTCCCATGGCGTCGAAATCACTGCGTCTCCTGCATTACGAAATTACGTCTCAAACCGAGACTCACGGGATGCCACCGGTGGTGTCCTCATATTACGGCTACCTGATCTCCTCGTTAATGTCGAGGGCTCTACCAGCTCTCCGCGATTTGTATGTCCGCGATGCCGAGTTCCCCGACACCCTTCTGCTTATGCCTCCACCCCGACTCTTCGGCGGTGGTGATAATGGCCCCCAGATGCGAGGAGGCCTGTCGCAGCCATTGAACGTGTACAGCAAGGGTCTCGACGAGTTAGAGTGGAACTTTACACCCTACGACCCCGAACCGACTCATGGACGCCGAGATTCACAAACGCGCCCGGTGAGTTTCCACGAAGCCCAGTTGAGTCGATCTTGGGGTGGCGATGCGCGCAAAAGTGTGCTGGTCGGCAACGGCTTTGGTGGATTCCTCGCTGTGCCAGCTGACGACGAACGCCCTCGAAGTAGTCAGGGCCACAAGCGACTGAGTCGGGGGATTTGTGGCGGTAAATGATTAGCGAATTGTCCATGAAATTATGATATACTCCGTAAATAGGGCAAATGTGTTCATTGTTCATTGTTCATTAGATATCTATACATCAGTCTCGGGCCATCCCTGCGGTAGCACCAGGCCACGCCAAACCCACTGATTCTGCATCTCGGTGTCGGTCATATTACAATATCCATAAGTGCGACAATAACATTCCTTCTGATCGAGACAATACTGTGCCGGTTTCCCAAAGATCACTGCAACAATAACAATTAGTATATATAAGCGAGACCGAGAGCGACAGAGAGACTCACTATGCCACGAATACTCCAAGATCCGCCCACTAGTTCCCGAATCCAAATCAGTCTCTATAAGCCAACGCTGCAAGCGAACATAATCCTCCAAACTGCGCTCATGGATCTTCGCCTTGGACAGCGCAAACTGACTGCAACACGGCGTTCCCACGACTTCCGGCACCTCCGCACGCGGAAACAACTCCATAAAGCGATCGGGATACTGCATCGCGGTGGGATGCTCACGATCATCGGGTCTTTCACGCAGATACCGCGCAGGCTCCAGTTCACTTGGACATCCGACCATCCATGTACAGCGCAGATTCACATATCCGGCTTCCTGGACGAAGGCGTGGTTGAGGTGTTGGATTGAGATCACCGAGTCGTAGAGCGGGTTGTCGACGTGCCATTGGTATCGTCCGCCATGGAGGAAGACGGAGACTTGGGGGAGAGTCCAGTATCGGTCGATTATGTACCTGTAGTGGTGTTATTATCGAATCCAGAGTATCCGAAGTCATAGATAGACATAGTCCCATAGTCCTCGTCTTGAAGACATACGTGAGATAAACCATAGCCTCATTCCCTTTATTCATAGGCACAGTCAACCCATGCTTCGCATCCGCGCGATAGATACTCGCACTCCAATCTGGTAAATGCTCCTCGACCCAGGACATATTGCTAGCCTGCATGGCAGCAAAGACCAATTCCTTCTCTGGGATCGGATCTGGGACGAAGCGATCGTTGTCGTCGGCGACTAAAATGTCGGAGATGGACCAGCTATCTAGGTTGATCACTTCATGGTCGAGGATTAATTGGTAGGAGAGGAGGAGGAGGACTGCTGCTAGGCAGAGATAGAGGAAGACTCGCGACCGGGGGGAGAGGTAGCCGCCGAGGGAACGTGACGGGTTCATTTCATTGTTTGAATAGAATGGGATTATGCAGGAATGAATGGCATGGAATAAATAATGGCAATAGAATGGAATATTGTTAGAGGATTGGGAGAATATACGCCAAAGGTATATTGGAGCCGGTTCCGGAGCTGACGTAGATTGGGGGCCCCATTCCCACAGTTACATACTAGTTCGAATAGAAGATAATCAATTCTGGGCGCTAAAGGAACCGCCGAGATATGGTGATATCGAATGAGATTGCGCGATGAAGTAGTTCGCTCCACTTGAAGCCACTTGCAAGGGTCCAGACTGTTATCGAGTGGACTTAGGGCTGAAAACGGGTTCTATACTTGTCTACGGGAGTACATGTACACTTTTACTTGGTTTACTTGGAATAATTATAGAAAATCTATATGTAACGGATGATTCACTCTAAACTGTACAGGAAATAATAAGGAAATAAAGAAAGTACCTTGTCAGTGATATCACTCAATCTCCACCAGAGAGCCCGAGTCGGAGCCATGCACAGCCCGATCACCATCAGTCAAAGCCTCAACCTGGTCGCTCAGACCACTGAGTGAAATTGGGTGCTCTGAGCCACTGTTCTGCAAATCCTGATCCGTTTCAAAAAACCGCCGAAGGTCATCACCACCCAGTGCCATATTGGTAAAAGCCCACTCCACGGGAAGGGCATCAATCAAGTTCTGAACCTCAACAGACAAGTCGACCTCGGGGAAAATCTGTACAATATGATTCGCCATCGCTTCGGGAGTAGCCATCAGCGTATACTCTTCAGCCATCTCAAGGATCCGACCCAGAAGGTCGACAGCATATTCCTGGCGAGTCATGCCTGCCGGGACAAATACCAGTCCGTTTCCAGTTGTGTTGTCCCAGACTCTTGCTCGAAGTCATCAAAGCCTGGGGACTGTTTGGTGCTCCTGGTCCAGTCGGCCTATTGAGATCTCCCTCATATTTGTAGGGGATTTTCTCGGGTTCCGAGGCTTCGACGCGAAAGATGGTGACTTCGTCGGTGCTTTTCCACTCTGAGGCAACTTGTTGTTTGAGGAAGGGGAAATTGGTGAAGTCAACCCCGGGGATAGCTAGATCAGCTGAAGTGTTAGCTTCTGGCTCAGCCAGAATTTCTGGGTTCAGCCATTCATGCAAGTCTACGTCTTGAGAGTCTGTAATGGTTGTGTCAAATACCTGGGCTTCAAGGTCAGCGATTCCATTTAGGAGGGTGTTCACGGAGGAGGTGGAAGTATCAAACAGAGCAGAGTTATGAGCCTGAGGAGACTGTGTCGCTTCAATGGTCTGTTGGGCTGAAACAGTTATATCCGTTCCAATGGATTGGCTGGACTCCATACCTTCGAGCACCATGGCCTCGGTGTCGTTAAACGACGAGTCCGAGTCGGTTACTGCAGCTGGGGTTGCTCCAGTTGGGCTATTGAACAAACTATCCAAGCCGTAATTGGCTTTGATTGGGTCGCTGGTAAGATTCTGCAGCTCGATATCAAAATCATTAGCAGGAACGCTGGGTGTCTGGGTCTCAGTAGTTTGCAAGCCTTCGCTTATCAGTGCTAGGTCAAACTCACTCATTTCAGCCAATGTGAGAGGAGCGTCCATATACTCCTCCCAGTTAATCTTCTCTAGATCGATAGATGCACTGGGTTTCTGCTGATCAGCATTAGCGCTGAGCTCTTCAAGGGTTTGCACATGAGTCAAGATACTATCAGAAACAACAGGGGCAGAAAAGTTAAACTGATATGTCCTTAGTGTTGTCGCAGAGCTGAGATCATTCATATCCGTCAGAGCGACGAAAGGAGTAGCCTGAGCCGGAGTGTAATGCTCATCCACAGGAAATCGCACTACGTTCTTTGCAGCCTTTCGCTGCCTCTTTGCAATTGGCGACCATGTGTTAGTTGCAAGCGCTAACCTTGTGTTAGTCATTGACCTAGTCTGGCGACGGTTAGAATCGACAGAGTGCTGGCGCTTCTGTCCTCGAGGGAGAGCTGTAGGAATCACCTCCTGGATATCCTCGGGTGAGTCAGGCATCTCTGAATCAGACTCGACCAACTCCTGCTCATCCTTGGGGCTTTCGAAAGGCAGTGGCTGCAAGAACGTGGAGTACTGGTAGTTTGCTCGGCGCGTGTTCGACTTCATTGACAGAATTTCAGGTCGATCAGTCAAATCAACACATCTAACAGCTCGAGAATCACAGCCTAAGAACACCATTGGAACTTTCATGTCAATGGTATCCAGAAACAGCCCTCGAGTCAGATGAACATCAAACTCACGGAGCCTCTGGCGCAATTGAGTGAATTGCTGTTCACCGTAATGCTTAGGGCGACCCTTTACTGAAGTCCACTCAGGGTGCAGTCGGTAGTATCCGCACCAACGGAGAACAGCAGGAAGCACCAACTGAGGACGGTAGTCACAGCTGTTCATTGCCAACATGGGATAGCCATTGGAATGGTGTGTGACAGAACACATGCGATCTTGGTTATACACCTGGCGAATAGCATGGCGTAGGACACTGACAGGAGCAGCATCGAGCAGGGTTCGGAATCTAACAAAGGCCAAGGCCTGAAGGTCTTCCATTCCAAGGAAACCCGCAGTGCGGAGCATATCCAAATGGATAGACAGCAACTTAGCCAGCTGGGGACAGTTCAAACACGCCCGGGGGTCCTCTTGCACGCTATAATGGCGGAGATCCTCTTTCTGGACTGAGTAATCACCAGTGTAGAGGAAATGCCGAAGCTTGGGGACCTGCTCTAGACGCACAATAGACGGCAGTAAAAATTCACTAATGTTTTGGTCTTGGTACTTGAAAGGGAACCATTTGGCTTGCCTGAATAAGACGTCACGGTGTAGATCCCAGTAACTTACTCGGTCATCGCGGTGTACGAATCTGATATCAGGGGTAATAGTCTCGAAATATTCGTCCTGCTTCACTTGGAGTTCGGTCTGGCGGTCTCCAATCTCTCCAAAACCAAGCCAAACCTTTGGGAGGCCGGCATGAGGGGTGCACTGGATTGTTCGAACCATGTTGAGTATTTGTATAGTAAACTAGACGATGTGTTAGCAAGTTTTGCTTAGTTAGATTGGTGTCAAAGATGATTTATGGTAAAGTGAAGATAATGTGAGTGATGAGAAGGGAATTGTCCGGGCATAAAAGGCCTTATATACAAGTTGCCAAGGTCAGGACAAACTATAGTTCGAACAAAGACACTAACAGTATCCTTTCGACTCTTAGTACTTGAACAATAGCAACAAAGACATTAAGGAGTCTATGCAGTCCATAGCGTCCATTGACAATCGACACTTATCCCGTATCATCCTTTGTTCTTCGCCGTAGTGCGACACGCAACCCTTGAAACCGAGGCGAGTAACAAGCCCTAATGGCTCGATTTGTGAGGGATCCTTACGCTCTTTCAGATTTATCTCGACATAGTTATTGTATTTCTCGATTCTCTTTGTCACAGGCACACCTGACCCAAGAAATTCTCGTTTTGAAGCATCAGAAAACAATAAACTTGTCATTTGACTCCAGGAATAGAACGATCCTTTTTTTCTAGAAAAAAGCCACTGTCCTCTTTGTTACCCTCTAACATTTCCCCTTCACCACCAGCACAGCCACATCGTGGCTCTGCAAAGAAGCACTATGCTTCTTCTTCACGCAACCCAAATCCTTACCCGTCCAAGCATCAATAACGTGGTACGCGTCATGGCCCTTCAGCTCAGGGACTTCCTTCCACACCGCAGTACGAGTAGAAGTCCCACTCTCAGAGTTGAACATAAGAACCAATGTACCCTCAAGCGTAGATGAAGCACCAGACCAATACTCCGCAGGATGAGCAGGGTCGAACGTCCAGTCAGGGTTATACCCCCATTTATAAGGACGAGCTGGACTTCCAACAATAGGATCCTGGTGGAAGTCAAGCAGATACTTGTTTTTCAGAATAGCCAGATGCTCATCACTGATCGAGTCAAGCTAAATGTAAATTAGCATACATCGGCATGTGAAGAAACACCAGAATAGTACATACCGCAGTTCCAATAATAAGCGGAGACTTCATAACCGCCCAAAGGGCAAAATGAGCCTTATTCTCCGCAAGAGTAAGTTTACCATTCCCAACCTCCAACATATCCGGGTCTGGATGACCCCAAAAATTGACGTAGTTCATAAGGAAGCTATTCTCATTTGCAATCTCAGAAATACGATCCCAGTCCGCTAAATCCAAGTCAAGAGTCAGTGAACCTGAACATCCAAGGTAATCATGAGAATAAAACATACCGGTAATATCACCAGACATCCGCCACGAATTCCCGGTCTTATTTCCCCAGGAATTAACATCCGCTTGGCCCCAATCACAAAGTGAATAAAAGATCGTCCGGTCAACGTTCAGCAGTGCATCACGCATAGCCACGTAGCGAGTGTACGTCTTGGACTGCGTCCAGTCGTATCCCTCCGGCGCGGGATCATGGAGATCGGGGCAGGTGCCATTTGGGTAATTGCCATCGCCGTCGGGGACACAATATGTGTAAGTGTCTTTCCAGCTTGAGGGGACACCACAGTTGTCGTATTTGAGGTCTGCTACCTTAGAATTTGATTTTTTTTTGAGGCAGGGGGAGTAAGTAGACTTACAGTCAATTCCCCATTCCGCGAAGGATTGTGCATCGACGGTCTCATAGCCTAGACTAGCTGGATAACCAGCACAAGTAGTTTCGCCCGCACCTGACAAGGGTCAGAACCAGTCTGTTAATCCTCTTAACGGGATATAGACTTACTACTGTAAATTCCAATCTTTAGCCCCAGATCATGAACCTGGTCTGCAAGACCAGAGATACCATCTGGGAACTTGGATGGGTCAGGAATAATACGTTGGTCAGTTGTGTTTCGTGCATCTTTGATACTCCAGCAGTCATCGACTAGACGCAGTTAGCACAAACTCATAATTTAACCAAGGTATGCATGACATACTATTCACATATTCATATCCCCGATCCTTTAAGCCCAGATTAACTATCTCATTCGCAGCCGTGAGGATTTTAGTCGAATCGATATCACAACCAAATGCATTCCACGAGTTCCAGCCTAGGGCTGGGAGTTTACCCTGTTTTGAATTAGTAAACATTCTGAATATAATGGGAGAAAAGGGACATACAACACCATCCTTCCTAACGAGAGCATTTGCTGATGGAAGCAAAGGCAGCGCAATAGCGAGAGACAAGGATCCTAGCATCACGAAGTCAACCTAGAGTATCGTTCTCATTCTGTATCACGAACATTGATAACCTGCAGAGCTTTATACCCCGGTCTCGTGCGGGGAATGTTCGATGCGACCCCGGATAAATTGGGATACTTCACGGAGTTCCTGTATACCGCACGGAAGTTCCTGTATACCGCACGGAAGTTCCTGTATACCACACGGAGTTCCTGAACAGGGGGCTGCAGTGTCGATCTTTATGGCCCGCTGGTTGCGTGTGCCGGCCAATGAGTAATTCATATACTCTCAGAGGGGGTCGGAGGTGGTCGGAGCTGGAACAAAAGGGGAAGTGGAAGGCTTATTCGGTGAACAATGGCCCGATTGTTGCATCCAGAGTAACATGGGGCAGTCGGACGCTCGGATCGCTTGGCCGGAGAAGCTTCGGTCTTCGATGCAGATCAGAGCTGCTTAGGGGTATAGGGTTGAAGAGGATACTACATTGTGAAAAAGGAAAAGCCCTTTTAAGTCTAACCATCATGATACATGTCTATCGTGAAATCATTAGTCGTACAGTATACAGCGCGCCATGCTGCCCAAATGCATATAAAAAAGTGAGAATCACCCGACAAAAAAAGAGAGAGAGGCGGCTATTGAGCCTTGGAGCCCAGGATCAAGGCACGGGCCTGGCGGGGATCGGTCCCAAGGACAGTAATGAGATACTCGATGCTAGCCTCTGAAGCCAGGCGGCGCTTCTCGTCCTGGAACTCCTGGTTGCACAGATCCCACGTCGCGGCCCGTTCCTGAGACTTGACTGTTTTGACGCGAATCTTGAACGCCGCACTGACCGGCCGGTGATCGGAGGCTCGGACTTCGTGTCTGCGGTAATCGAGTTGCTTGACGCGGCCAAGGCCACGGTAGAGAACGCGGTCGCACCAGGCGGGGAGCGTTTCTTTTCGCTGGTGTCATACTCGTCCGTGCCGACGTCGTATTTATAGGTCGGCGCGAAGGTGATGGGTGACTCAGTGAAGCTGCGAAGTCGGAACCCGGGGTTCTTCCGCCGGGAGGCCAGTAGTTGGTCTCGATCTAGAAGTTTGGCGAGGTTGTTCTGGCGAATGGCGTCGATGATCACATTGCGAGGGATTGAATCAATTCGGTAGTTCAGGTCACCATTCAGAATGCAGATTTCGTGGTCCATGATCATTGAGCCGTCACCACCACTGGCGAACTGATCTGTCCGCGCTGTGGAATTGCTCTCTGCAGGTAAGGATTCTGCTTCCAAGATCGCCGCGATATCGTTGTTTCGGTGTGCAGTCTGGGTCTGCCCAGCTGCCAAGTGACAATTCACAAAGCACATCGAGCTGTCATCTAGGACAAAACGGAATACAAGGGCACCCTGATAGAATTAGACAACAGCAATAGACAGACGAACGGGGGCACAAACCTTGTTCCCATGCAATCCGCCCATTCCCCGCTTAATCTCTGAAGCACTGATGTTTTTGATATTGTGGCGTTCCTTGTGCTTGACGAAAACGCAAGTAAACAGTCCCACCATGTTCGCGGTGTGCAAAAGAACATAGGATTCCTCGAGAGGCATACACTCGTGAAGAGAGCGAGTGAGATGGTCGATCCATACTCGATATTGACGACTCATATGTTCCTTCTCACCGTTCTCCTTCTTCTTGCTTCCAAGGAGCAAGCTCTCTGCAGTCATATCAGTAACTGTCCACATATCAATAGATCAGGGAAACATACTAGCTGTGATCTTCTTGTTCTCAAGATCAACCAACTCTTGGAAACCAAAGATGAGAATTTCCGGGGGATCTTCCGGCGTGACGGCATTCCGGATGAAATCCGACGTCTTCACGCTCCCGGGGGTAACAGCGCCTGCGTTCCAAGTCAAGACGGTAGCCTTAATTTCTCGGAAACTGCAGTACTCTACGTCCCTCTTCTGCATCCGTGTATCTATTGTATGTTAGTAAAGCCAAATAACCAGCAAAAAGTAAACTTACCTAGCCAATCGTCCTCCAACATACCATCCCAAAGACGAATGCAATTATCAGTGCCAAGCGAAGTAACCTGTAAGCGGTTCATCGTCCAAACACTGCTTGTATCCAACACAAAGCCGGAGACAGGACTATCGTGGGCGCGCCAGTCTTTCTTCACCGTCCATGGGTTGGTGGAAACATCGTAAACGTAGATCATGCCGGTCTTATAGGCAGCCCAAAGGTAGTCTCCCACAAATCCAAGACAATTGATCTTGTAAACACTAACGTTGACCACTGCCAAGCAGGTATAATCGGTGGAGGAGTAGACAGTGACCTTTCCATCTGCATGTCCCAGATATACTCGACCCCCTTCTCGCGTAGTATAGGTGCCGGAAGTTACATCGCCTGAATGCTGGAGACCAAGAGGCCGCTTGAAGACCTTGAAGGAGGCGTCTTCGCGGGCGTTCGGGCGATATATATGGACATCTTTTCCAGCTGCTAGCCACAGCTTGTCATCCACGACCATGGAGAACGTGTGGCCTCGTGCTACGCGTTCATGGGCGCTATGGTAGCTGTACTGTAGATTGGGTTGACCGGTCTCGTCTGGCATCCAGACTAGCAGCCGACCTTCATCGTCGAAGGTCCACATTTCTTTCTTGTGTCGTAGTATCTGAATCACCTCTCGCCTGGAGGGGTACGAGCGGGTTGCCACAATAGATTGGCTCGGGATGTCGACTTCGTGAAGATCTCCAGCACTGGTGCCGAGCCAGATACGCTGACCTTCATCTTCTAATCCTTTGCCTGGCTTGAAAGCAAGCGACAAGCTTTTCACAGTTTCACCATGGCTAAGGCTCATCACTTGTTCTCCCGTGGTAAGGTCCCAAACTCGAGTCAGATACCCAGTGGTACACACATACTTGCCGCACACAGCTAACAAGCGGGTGTCATACTTCGTGAAGATCTCCCTCGGTCCAGATTTAAGACGAGGGGGTCGGCGGTTGGCGTTAGAAGCGTCAGGGTAGTCCGTACGAGAGATGGCAGCTTCTTCAGGCTGTTCTTCTTCTTCTGTGTCCGTTCGGGGTATACGCCGCTCCGGGACTGATGAGGAAACTGGTTCACGGTGGAAAGATGGCTGCCGCTGAATTGGTTGCGGGGTTGACGCTTCAGACTGGCGCGGGTAAGTGGGTGCAGACTTGGCAATTGGTGTCGTCTGTGCAGGGCTCTTTACACGCTGAGGAGGCTCCCACGGAGGAGAGAATCCACTCCGGCGTGGAGTTTCAGAGGGCCGGGGAGGAAGGCCTGGACGATCGTAAGGGCTATCGCTGGCTCGTAACCGTTGCGCTGAAAGAGGGGGAGCAGTAGAAGCAGAAGTGGGGTGTTGCGCAGGAGCAGATGGAATTTGAACCATCAAAGGTTTAGTTGCCCGTGAAGGTTCTGGAGCAGGGCGAGCCCTTGAGAAACCTAACTCTCTGGCATCATGTCTTGCATTGAAACTTGGACCAGGTGATCGGTCATCAAAGGAACGTCGACCCGGGGGTTCTGTTGTTGGCCGAGCCGGTGCCGGTCTGGAGTTTATTTTTCCCGTAGATACCGGCTTGGTCATAGGCTTCTCTGGGCTGCTCGGAGGAGTGCTGAAAGGTGACACACTTAGATCAGGAGAGGCTCGCTCAGGCTGAGGAGCCAAGGTACTGGTATCCGCATGAGAAGAGTTAGGGTGAGAGAACATGGCTGGCTTCGCAGGGATCTTCGGTTTAGATGCTCGGTTGGCTGGCGGTGGCAGCGAGCTGCTTTTCAATTTCCGTTCCGCACCGCTTTCATTTCCATTGACGGCTAGAGAGCTAGGCGATAAATGAGGAATTGAATCTCTTCCAGTAACAGACGATCCGAACTTTGGCGCCGGAGAGAGTGGCCGGGGAGGCGCGGGGGAAACAGACACTGATTCCCGCGGGCGATGTCCAGGACTCCTAGCCTTGCGAGTTTCCTGTTGCGACCAACAGTCCTCGTGATCTTGTCCGCGCGGCGGCGATTGGGGCGAATGAACCGCCAGCGTCGGCGGAAGTTGTGGCGACGAGCGTTGGAGATTCATAGAGATGGGCCTGCCATATCGTCTTCCAGAGAACTCACGATCCCGTGACCCCTCGCCGTTCAACTGCTGGTGCTGCTCCGATCGCTCATCGGTCTGGTTCCATGGCGAATGTGGCCGGGGCAAGTCGAGAGAGGCACGGCTAGAGGATCGTACCTCGTCGCCAGCTTCGGGTGTCAGGAACTGGGTTGCGGAGACGCGCGGGCTCGCGGCCGCAGCAGAGGGAGCTCTGCGATGAGCTAGATTCTCGAAATGAGACAGCAACGAGGAGACGGGTCTCTGTGGCTGCGTTTAAGTTAGTGCATTGTGTGCCACGAGACAGTTATGTATGCATACAGTGGGGGGACCATCACTGTCTGGCTGTTTTCCTGTGCCCGCCATGGCCATTATCGGGAATAGTTCGCCGTGACCAGCTGAAGTGGTCGATCATAGGCTTATGGAAATTGCCCTGGAGGTTGACTTGTGCCACGGCAGAAGTAGTTGGGAAGCTGAGGCAACAGGGATGCCGTGGGGTTCGGGGGTAAACCGGCGGCAACAAGCAGCAAAATGTAAGCGGCGCAAAGGCCGAACAAGAAACTAAGCTCAACAAAGAGACCTGAATGTACTGCTTCGAAGGAGGGAAAAGGTGAAAAAGGTGAGAGTCGAAATGGAGTGGCGGGGAGGAAAGTGGAGGGAATCACGGGAGTTGGCGATCACTTGTGCCTGGCGTTCTCGACATCTTCATGTCACTTAGGTACGCACTTCAGAGTCCGCCATGTGGTAAGTCAAGTCATCTCTTGGATGTATAGATTTCTTCATTCTCCTGGAGATCGCCCTGGACAAAATTCCCTGCTAACATGCACCCCGCTTTACAGTAAACACATTCTGAACGCCCAAGTGGCCATCCGCTCGCACTGCTGTATGCCCAGTTCGACCTCAAACCCGTTCACAGAGATCTGACCGAAGATATCCAGGCCGGAAATGGTTTGACTGCGCCGAATGCCACGCCGAGAGCGAGTCGCACATGCTCCAGAAGAGCGCCGAGATGGTACGCCCCTGTTCCGATATGCGCGTGATTCGCCATCTGACGATGGAATGATAGATCTTTGCATGCAAGAAGTGCAAGAAGTGTTTTCGCAAGGACGCGGCCGAGTTTGACGAGAGGTATGTAATGGACCGAAGCAGCCAAAGCAAGTGACAGCAAGCTAATTATACGCCTTTCTTAGCGACGAGTACTGCCCTCACTGTGATAACCACTTCGTCATTGAGGCCGTGGAACCAAAGCCTTCACTCCATGTTGAGGGTGAAGATGCCCGTATGGACAACCGGTATGTTGAACACACAATATTTCAATGCGCATAGTCTGACCATAACCAGTATGCTCAAGGATGAACGTGTTGCCCGAGACGAAGAGCGTTCTCTCTTCAACCTTCGCGACGTGTCGGATCGCATGGGTTAAGCAGTGCATAGGAAAGAACGTAGGGGGCGTTAGAATTTCATGATGTTGACGATTTGATTACTGTTTGATAGTTGATAGAAGGTGATTTACAGAGCATCAATACCCGGTGTACAATATGAAGAGCAGATGTTTTTAAAACTTCATGATTTTGGATTCTCGTCAAGGAAGAGACCAACGCTATTGTAAATTGAAACACATCATCCAGGCACCCCGCGGGCTATGAATGCTCCAAGTACACTTAATCGGCCGACTCGCCGGCACCTGGCCGGGTCAGAATAGCTGCTGTGGTGGTCCCTGTCCGGCTCTTCTTCTTGGCCGCCTCCTCCTGCTTCTCGGTCTCGATGCTCTTCACGTACGACTCGATCTGGTCATCGGGCAGCATCTCGAGACGCTTGCCAGGTGCCATGATGGCGACCTCGATGTTCTTAGCACCCGTCTGCACAACCTCAAGCAGGGACTTGATGGTCAGCTGGATTGTCTGCTCGCGGTCCATGTCCTCCTGGTGGTTGCGCTCAAGGAATTCGCGAACAGTCTTGCTGGAACGACCGATAGCGTTGGCTTTCCTATAATGAGGAAGCATGTTAGTACTGATCTAGTAACACAATAGGCCCGGGATATACCTACCAGGCCGAGTAGATGCCGGACGGCTCGGTCTGGTACAACCGCGGCGTGCCGTCATTCTTGTCGAAACCAACCACAAGCGTACTGATACCAAAGGGACGAACGCCACCACTCTGCGTGTATCTCTGTTGGACACTGGCGATATACTTCGTAATATATTCGATGCTGGCGGGGTCCTCAACAGTCAGACGGTGGGACTGGGCCTCTAGGCGGGCCTTGTCGATGAGGATACGGGCGTCGGCATTCAGTCCAGCAAAGGCGAGACAGGCGTGGTCATCGACCAGGGCGATCTTGGAAGGGGTAATACGGGTATCTTGGAGCTTGAGGGCGGAACGCTTTTCGCAACCGAGAACGACAATGTCCTTGCCTTTGACACCGACAGCGCAAGTTCCTAGTATCATCTATCATCAGCGAATGCACGCACTTATGAATCCCTCTACCGCAGGCGCAGGTAATGGACGAGTAAAAGCGGCTGGGGGAGCAGATAACAGCGGTCTCACCTCGTTTCACTGCCTCCATGGCATATTCAACCTGGAAGACGTGCCCATCGGGACTGGCTGGGGGTTAGAAATAAACTCTGGAGCTGGAGTGCTGTTCAAAGGCATCATACCTGAATACTGCGATGGGTTAGCATCATGCAGCTATGCTCGGGGTCAGGAGCAAAGGGAGCTGGCCGTGGGGAGCTAGCTGACTTACCTGAGAGAGCTCTGTCGTATCCGGACATTGTGAACCAAGGACGACAGATGACAGGGAGATAGAAAAGGTGTTTCAAAAAAAGGACCGAGGGGATCAAGAGAAAGCAATGCAGTGGGCGTTAAGCAGTTGAGGTCAATTGGGATGGAGCAATGACGGGTTCCGGGCGGTGGACGCGAAAGCCTGCGGTTGCCTTCGGTACTTCACTCCACTATGGACACTTCATACTAAGTCCATGTACCTTTTGTACTCAGTCTTACCAACGAGCTTAGACAATAGATGCTATACATGGCTATTCCCAGGAATAAACTTTGGTATATCAGATAAACCAGTACCACCTACAGCTCTAAGCAGATCCCCATCCCGAATAAATATAGTCCATGAATCTATCTAAAGACAATTACAGAGAATACTAAAGCCGCTCAGACAAGTACAAATCCCCAATATGGACATCCAAAACAATCTTTTTTGCATTCACAGTGCTTCGATGGCCCCCGAAGAGATCCTCGATTCGATGCCGGCGTCAAGCTCAAAGTAAATCCCCAACACCCCAAACGGAGTCCAAGTATATCCCACCCAGATCAAGACCGTGAATTCTCCGACGCTTCCCATGACCAAATGAGTGCAGAAAGGGACGCACAAAATCTCTAAAATGCAATGCCAGAGCGACATAAGGCGCACAAGAAAGGGACAGGGGAACAAAAATACACCCTCCCCAAGAGATAAAAACAAAAGCGCAAGATGGAATCAAATATGGGGAAACAGCTCCACGACCAAGATAAAGAAAAACCAGAACCAGAACCAGAAAAAGCATCAACAACAGGACGGCGAGGCGAGAAAAGAAATTCGACTTGAACACGCTACCCGCCTGCTCCATCCAACCCGATGCACCGAACCGCAGAATCCCTTATACAAAATGCGTATCAACCGAATATCAACCAACGCATGAACCTGCCACAATGCAGGGTTGCAATATGGACAACATAAGTGTGAGCGCCCAGTCTTAGGCGTGAGTAGGTACAGCTCTACCCGATTTAAGCGGGCGACTTGTTGGCACCAGCGCCATTGCGGCGAGAGTGAGGATCTTCAGAAACAGTCAGACCACCAAGGCCGCTCGACAAGAAGGCGAAGGGGTCGCTGGATCCGTCGGAGCCGTAGAAGGCACCGTTTGAAGCACTGGTGGAGGGCACACCGTGGTCTGCGCCAGTGAAGGCGGCCTGGGTGGCCGGGTTGGCGAAAGAAGCGGCCGAGTGTGAGGTGCTAGAAGAGCCGTAACCCGAGTTCATCTGGCCCATAGGGGGATAGGCACCAGGGGTGTTGCCTAGACCGCCAGAGGGCAGGGCGTAGTTGTTGGGCGGGCCGCCGAACTGCTGGCTGAAGCCACCGAAGCCTCCGGCGGTGGAGGCGAAAGGAGCAGGAGCCGGAGTGCTAGTCATCGAGTTGGGACCCATGTTGAACTGCGATGGAGGATCCATCGGAGATGGGAACGCTGAGTCGGCCACAACCGCAGCACCGGAGCGAGGAGCCCCGCAGCGCAGACAGTTGATGTTCTTCGCAAAGTTATGGTAACCACAACCCTCGGAACCGCACTTCCAGTCACCAGCACGGAAGGGGACAACACCTCCGTTGCCACCCATACCACGCGAGTGACCCATACCGTGACCACCGTGGCCCATGTGAGGAGGCATCATCGATGGCGGGCCGTAGCCATAGTTGTTGTAGTTCATTGGGTCGGGAGCGGCCGCCATAGCGGGGAACGAGCAACGGAAGCATGCAGTACGGCGCTGGAAGTTGGAGAAGCCGCAGGACGGGCAAGTCCAATCACCAGGACGGGGGCGGTTCTTGGAGGGCGGGAAGGGAGTGAGAATCTCGGCGGCGCGGTCCAGAACCCGACTGGATGAGGGAGAAACCTCAATGGCCTTCTCGTTGAGTGCCCGGCCGTTCATACACAGGCTTTCGGCAGCCTAAGGAATTGTTAGCAGAAAAGAATAAAAAAGCGAGATAAAGACACGAGGATATCAGCGAGGGTAAAGGGAGATCCTATGTCCTAGTAAAACTCACCTCCTCGTGAGACGAGAAGACGGCAAAGCCAGTGCCAGTAGGCTTGTGCTGATCGGGTGTGCGCAGGGTCCAGAAAGCGATGGGACGACCACCGAACTGAGTGAACCAGCTCTCCAACTCCGACTGGGTGGTATCGTGGGGCAGGCCACTGAGATGCAGGACCTTACTCCGCTCTGCCAAAAAGGCCCGGACATCGGCATGGGCATCCATGGGGCGAGTCAGGATCTCGGGGTGTTCTTGCGGCGGCTGCGACTTGCGGATGAGACCCCGAAGCACACGGGCAAGAGTAATGGATTCCTCCATCGCACGGCGCGGCGAAGCGGGGGCCAGAGCTTGCAAATGGAAGGGCAGGTTGTGCTTGATCGGGGCGGACGACTGGACGGGCTCAACCTCGAGGGCAGCGCAGATATTGGAAAGCGAGCTGGGACCGAAAGGCAGCGACTCGGGGTGGTGGGTCTGCCAGCGCTGATATTCGGCGCGCAAGTCGAAAGTGCGGGAGTGCTGCAGGTATGCGGGCAGCACGACGGCCTTGTCGCGGGCCTCGCGGGGCAGCTGCACCCGCAGATCCCACGAGTCCAACGTCACAAAGGCAAACTCCAACTGTTTATTGGTGAGGTGCTCCTTGGCAAAGGTGTCGAATCGAGTGATGGCATCCCGGAAAGTACCTGCGGAGCGGACGTGTTCCCATGTCAAGGTGGTCAAACTCGCTTCAACGATTGTCAGCCACTAATCCTAGCAAAACCCAATACATCCTAAGGTTGGTCCAAGGCGAGCTTACTGCAAAGCGGGGTGATCGGAGTGTTGACTGGTTTGACAAGAACGCTTTCACGGTGCAGCTAAACAAATAGGAAAGAGTGTCAGCCTTTGGGTTCAGCCCGAGGCGAGAGTGTGTATGTTGGGTAGATGCGTTTTTTGGGGGGGGAGGGGGGCGTACTTCTTCGCATGTCTTGCTGTCCAACAGAATCCATCCCAGCTCAATCACCTCGGCCGAGTCCTTGGTGACATATACGCCATGTTCGTCGCAGGTGGTTGCAACGTGGATGACGATGTAGCGATCCAGCTTGGGGGTTGGTGCTGAAACGGCCGCCATCGCTGACTTGTCGCTCGGTGCCAACGGAGCGGCAGGAGAAGCCCGGGGAAAAGAGAAAAGGTCTCTGCGGGGAAAAGCAGAAGACAAATTCAACACGACCGGAGAGAGTCGTGGAAAGAATAGCAAAAGAGAAAGCCCGGGGGAGAAGAGAAGGGAAAGGGGGGGGGAAAGGAAGAAGAAAAGAGACGTCGAGGTGGAGTTTTAAGAAAATGAAAAGTTTCGGGGCTCACGGGGGTGCGGAGATTACCAGTCAGACAACACCTCATCAACTACAACTATCACTTTCTCTTCTATCGAACCTTCTATTCTCTTCAATTCCCCTGGAAATTGTCTGTTCGGACTGGTCCTGGTGCAACCCCATCCCGGGCACAGATCCCTGCTCCGGTATGAACACGCACGCTCTATAGAAACTGCGGGAGTTACAAGAATATACAGTCCAGGTGGGACCGCGATCTCGAAGCCTGATACATGATTCTACGCATTCCTTCACTGCTGTCAGAGAACATGCGGATCATCACGTGGATGGGGGGTATAGAGCCCCAACGGCGACTAGCTTAAGCCTATAAAAGGAGTATAAAGGGGGCTTAAACTGACAGATTCACACTCAATTGATATGGAAGAAAGGTCCTAGACAATCAATATGGGATAACGTTCTGCGAAACTCAATTCGTCCCAATTTCTCTATTCCCGAGGTTATATATATATATACGGAGTATGCAGGGATGAGACATGGGGAAACCTGTCAGTTTCTCACCTATGTAATACTCCCTCGTTTCTCACTGGAGGACAAAGCCGTCCCAAAAGGTCCAAGATATAGACCAAAGATTTGATCCAATACTACGTTGTTAGGTTGCACCATTCTAGGATCGTTCATACATGAAATAAAATGTAAACAAGGGGCCACTTGAAGAACAGTATAATGGTATTCGAAAACAAAAAACAGACGTTGCATCATGTACAAGAAGTTAAACCACAGCTAAATTATCCTACCAATAGCCTTGCCAACGCCAAAATATGGGAACCAAGATCATTACTCATCGCCCGTCTCCTCCTTGATAACCGTCCCTCGACTGGTGTCATGATCGTCTTCTTCATCCTCTTCCATAATACTGGGCTCGGTAGAGACAATGGGGCGGTTGGCGGCGGCAGATGTAAGACGACTGTCATCTTCACCTTCATCCTCTTCCATGATGCTGGGCTCGACGGACACATGGCGTCGACTGATACCACCAGTGGGTTCCACAGACCGGCGAACACTGGCGGAGCGAACACTGGCGCCGTCGTTTTCGGGGTCTTCAGTGCCTTCTCTAGGTCGAGCACTAGCAGCACGGGAATCCTGTGCAACGGCGAGGATCTTCAGGATAGAATTCTTGGCCTTGGTAAGAGCGTTCCTGCTGGAAGCTTCGCCGGCAAGACCCTCGTCAATGGTCTGATCCAATAGCTCCTTGACCTCAAGAGCAAGCTCATTATTCTCGGGGGCAATTTCAAGACCAGTAGCGCTGCGGATACTAGTTCGGAATTGGTCATCGCCCTCAGGGGCGCGAGAGCCTGCCCGGGAGGGGACTGTAGGCGCAGCAAAGTAAAGCTTGCTGAGGAGGGAGAAGAGAAGCTTGCGTTCCTCGCGGGAGCAGCGGTTAGTCCCAGCACTGACACCAAGGACTCGTTCGAGGATATCCTTGACCAGGGCCAGGTGAACCCATCCACACACGTTGGAGCTCGCAGTACCGCCAGCAAGAATTCTTTCGCCACCGAGACCGACAACGCGACGCTCATCGGTCCATTCAGACAGCATTCCAATGACGCCAGTCATGAGCGCTTTGACCTCACGCTCACCAATGCTTGCATCAATCTCACCGTCACTGTCCTCTTCGGCCTCAAGCGAGTAGTGCTCCTCAGCAGCGTTCATGACAGCACGGATCACTGGTACAGCAACCCGGCGCATGTGCTGTGTGTTGTCCACACGAGAGTGACAATAGACAGGGAAGAAGTAGGCTAAGGACTGGCGAAGTGCTGGGTTTTCGCGAGTGCGTGGGTGGAAGAAGGAAACCACCAATGACAGCAACAGCGTCTCAACAGCATTTTGATTGTGCTCCTGGATTGCTGGTGGGATATTCGGTCCCGATGGTGTGAAAGCATTGGTGAGTAGTAGCTTTGAAAGAGCCGATGCGGCTCCCGACTGCACACTGTTGGGAGAGTTGGCACGTAGAGCTCGGGCGAAGACCTTCAGCAAAGGCTTCTGCATAGGGGGTGGTGTGACTGTCTCGCCGTCGGGCTGGGTGATGGGAGCCAGTAGTGAAGGATGTGTCGTAATCATATCGCAGAGAATTTGCAAAGCGGTGACCTGCAATGCCTCGTGGCCCTTGCTATAGCAATGAATGAAGAGAGTCATGTTTTCTTCGGCCAAGTTCTAAATGGAAATATCCGATGTTAGCACAAGTCTCCTTTCACCGTAATAATAGAGGAAACCGACCTTGTCAAGCAGGCAGCAAAGTCCCAAGCACAACAAACCGCGCTCACGAATAGGAGCTTCATGGCTGCGAACAGCAGGTACCACAAGGTTGTTCAGCATGGTAACCAAGTTCATGCTCTGTTGGAGATTGCCTTGAACATTCTGCAGCATACATTGAGCAATGTACAGACACTTCATGTTAACCACGATCTCGCGAACAATCTTCGCCTTGGCTTCCTCCTTATTGAAAGGTCTTGGTTCCTCTTCTCCCGGAGCCTCGGAGTTCTGACGGCTGCTAGCATCGTCACTGATCTCAGACCGGGCAGACACAAAACTGTCCTCAGTGGTGATAGTATCATGGACTTCAGCAATGGCCTCCAAAACGACGCTGCAGAACTCCGCCTCACCAGCAGCATCAGGTCCGCAGACACATCGAAGAGTTTCGACAACGAGTTTGGTGCTCTCCTCCGGAAGTTCTGGCACAGCCAAAGTTTCCCGCAGTAGGGAGAACATCTTTCGTCGACCAACCTCGTCGCTGTAATCTAAGGTGATGGCAATGTGCAGCAGTTGCTCCACAACAAACTCGTGCTCAACTGCATCCTCATCATTCGCCTCGCCACTATCCTTGGAAACCTTCTTCCGCTCCAGAAGATTTGTGATGTACTTGCCCAGGAAATAAGCCATAGCGGTGACCTCAGGCATTTTGTCATCTGCGAGACTCTCATACTTGCCTTCATTCTCCACACGGCAGAAGTCATTGAAAGATCGAAGCAAGAATGCCGATTCGCCGTTCAGGTTCTCCCAAAAAGGCTCGTCAAAGACAACGGCCTCACGGTAGTCCGCGCGACCTTCCCAGAAGCTCCGCATTGCTTCGTGGGCAATTCCACTTTCCATTCCAGAGTTGATGACATCAATTCTCTCCAACAGCTCGAGGAGAGCGTTGATATTAGGCTCAGACCGCTGGCCAGTCGGTCCCTCATTCGGGTCATTGTTGGTACCAGCGCAATCCTCGACCCATCGATCGTAGAACAATTTCCCGGTAGCCTTGCGAACGCTTTCATCACGGTCACGCAGTCCCCAGCGAAGAAGCTTCTCTCGCATAGATAGGGACAGGTGGCGGAAGTCGCCCAGAGTGGGGAGAAGGCGGGAGTAGAGTGCGCGCCTAGTAGGAGCATCGAGATCACGGGCGCGTTCGAGGAGGTAGGGAAGTGTAACGGGTGCGAGGGGAAGGTTGGTGAGCAGGGTCTTCCGAACATCGGCGCTAGTGTCGTTTTGCATGATCTCAATCAGCTTTTCAAGCAGCGCGGTGGAGTTGTCATCGTTTCCATCGTCCTCTCCATCATCTCCTGCCAGGCGGCCCAATCCAAGAACTGCCTGCACACGGACGGATGCCTCCTTATCGCGAATGCGCCTCAATAGGCCCTGCCGGATGGTATGATATAGCTCGTCATCAATGGACTCGAGCGAATTGACAATGTGAGCGAGAATCTGGGTACCGCGGAATCGGACCATCTTGTCTTTGGCACCTAGGATGGGTACCATCAATGCAACGAGGCTGGAAGTTAAGCGGGCAGTTGGGGTTTCGGGGTTCTGTTCCTCGTCGTCGCCAGAGGCGAACATCTCAGTATCTTTCTCCGAGGCATGGCCTAGGAAGGTTCCCAAGAAGCGCAGGATGCGGTCACCAACAGGCTCGGTCTTCTTGATGGTGAGAATACGGAGCATGCAGCGGCCCACCTCCACATTGAACTCTTTCTCGGCGGGTGTTTCCTCGCTAGGAATCAGCGCTTCCTCGAGTTCCTGGTCTTTGTCCTTCTTGCCATTCTTCTTCTGGGCAATACCGCAGCAGATTTCTTGCAGCTTGCGCAAACGAACAACGAGCTTGCGGTGACCGGTTGTGGAGCGCTGAGCGTCCGCGAAAATCAAGCACACATCGCGACGTAGAGTGGGGGTTGATGGCTCTGCGGGTTCTTCGGGGATCGCAAATGATGGAGTTACGGAGCCAGCACGCCCAGATGCAGAGGGCTGTGCAGACGACCGTCGTGTTGTCGCAGATGTCGAACGGGCGGCGACTCTCCCAGGCATGGTGTATGGGTTGAGGGATATCTAGAGGACAAAAAGCATCGCGGGACCAAAGGAGAGAGCGGGCTTGGCGGTAAACAAACAGCCCAAAATGAACGATAACGATAAGCAACACGTGACGCCGAGCATCGGAGCTCGTCATTCCCCGAGATCAGAAGTTCAGAACACTGTTCCTACATTCACCACAGGATGTTTCGTCAAAGTGTGAGGCGATTCGCCACTACAGCAGTGCGCGCTGCTACAGAGGGGTCCACTGCCTACTGTACTAGGGTGTCAACTGCCCAGGGCGTCGTCAATGGATTGACCGAGGGTATGTAAAGGTAATGAGATGTCTAAGACTGGCGCTGACTTGCATAGCAATTGGCAACACCCCCCTTATCCGCTTGAAGAAGCTCTCTGAACAGACCGGTTGCAATGTTCTTGGAAAGGCCGAATTCCAGAACCCCGGCGGTAGCGTGAAGGACCGAGCTGCACTCTTCGTCGTGAAGGATGCGGAGGAAAAGGGTCTACTCCAACCCGGCGGTACAGTGGTCGAGGGAACAGCCGGTAACACCGGGATTGGTCTCGCACACGTTTGTCGGTCTAAGGGCTATAAGCTCGTGATCTACATGCCCAACACCCAGTCACAGGGCAAGATTGACCTGCTGCGCTTGTTGGGTGCAGAGGTGTATCCGGTCCCTGCAGTGGCCTTTGACAACCCCCAGAACTACAACCATCAGGCCCGCCGACACGCTGAATCATTGGATAACGCAGTCTGGACCAACCAGTTCGATAACACTGCCAACCGCCAAGCCCACATCGCAACCACTGGTCCCGAAATCTGGGCGCAGACCGCCGGCAAGATCGACGCCTTCACTTGTGCTACTGGAACTGGCGGCACTCTTGCAGGTATCACGCGCTATTTAAAGGAAGTCAGTGACGGCCGGGTTAAGAGTTTCCTGGCCGATCCCCCTGGCAGTGTCCTGCACAGCTATATCCAGAGCGGCGGCACCCTTATCGACCGCTCTGGTAGCAGTATCACTGAGGGTATTGGTCAGGGCCGTGTCACCGACAACCTCCAGCCCGATATCGGTCTGCTTGATGGCTCGGTAAACATCAGTGACGAGAAGACCATCGAGATGGTCTACCGCTGCCTTGATGAAGAGGGCCTGTACCTCGGTGCCAGTTCTGCTATGAATGTTGTAGCTGCCAAGGAGGTTGCCGAGAAGATGGGCAAGGGCAACACCGTTGTGACCATTCTCTGTGACGGTGCCTACCGGTACGCCGACCGCCTGTTCTCTAACACCTGGCTCGAGAGCAAGAACCTTCGTGGTTCCATTCCTAAGCACTTGGAGAAGTACATTGTGCTGCCTTAGATTGTAAATAGCCTAAATAAAATGTATCCTTTCTCTATATTCAACATGAGTTGTAAATCAACAAGTCACCATAACTTTAAGAACCAATTCAAGCAAAGCATAAGCAAACAAATTGGCCCTAGCCCTCTTGTAATGGTGATGCAAGCATCACGTTCCATACCTGCTGTAAGGGTGCAGTACACGAGCGGTAGAAGACTGATGTCACGCCGGGCTAGGATGTTAGGCATTATATGATATAATCATATAATCTGATCTAGAAATACGTTTTAAAGATCACCTTCTCTGGACTCGAACTAGGCAGCTCGCTGCGCAGCCACGTCTACATCCGATTCTGGTGGGAAGTCCTGCAATGCGACAGCAATAGCCAAAGGGGTGAGGGTCATCACCACTATTCTTTGGTCTTATAACCGAGCCTTTTTGTCATTTGACGCCGTCTTTTAAGGCTTCTTATCTAACTTGCTTTCGTCTCTCTCTTACCCAAAGAATGTCCTTATTCCATTCCTCTTCCTCTCTTTTTACATTAAACCTGGACAAGCGTCCACCAATGCTGCCAAAGCTTAGGAATCTGACCATCATTCGCACCTGCCTGATTTTGTCATGTTTATGTTATGAGTCTGTGGTCAATCAGAATTATGTCCTACGGCGAACATGAGGAGCTTCCGAATACTGAGGTTGTTGCTAGCGTCTGAAATATATCCCAGAGGAAGATGGTCATCTCATCTAGATAGACGCGGGGCTATTTCGAGCAGGTGATCACACAGTGCCTCTAACATTCATGACGTTATAGTCGGTCTCCGGCCGATACTACTTGGGGGAGCGTGGACGTTTCAAAATGCCACAAGTTTTTGGTTCTTTCCCCGTGAGCTAATGGACAACCGCAAGGATCTCTGCCTATACTATGGCGCACACATATACTGGACCCACGAGAGATGGATTTTGCGCAGAAAACCCAAGAACTGAGCGGTGGAGTCGGCGCGGATATCATCTTCGACGCGACTGGCGTGGAGACTCGTGGGTGCGATCCTAGTTTGCTGCACGCAAGGCTCATTAGTCAACATTAGTCAACATTGCTCTGTAGGAGAAGTGTCCGTAATTCCCAGTGAACCAGCTAACATAAACGAGGCACGGTATATGGGTGCTGCATTATGTGACGAGACGTAGTTTGTGGATACAATTCGGGCCATGGCCATGGTAGGCCCTGCAATGCCTTGAAATACACTCGTGTTTTTATGTTTATGTTACCTTACTTTTATAGACTCCCCCTTACAGTCCTGCATGGGCCATATATTTCTATCTATCTAGAGCATGTGAGTGTTTTACGCATATTGAACGCTAGAAATACTTCTCTAAATCGACTCTTAAGAACTCTTCTACATACGCTATTAAATTTGAGGATATAAATATAAACCATAGTTTGAATGTAGTGTTAAGCTCTTCCCTAACTAACAAACTAGTAGTTTGTGATCGTACCAGGTTTCGGTTATAGGCGGGTTTGTGGGTACCCGCAGGTCGAGGCGTGAAGCAATAGATAGCTCTAAAAGCAGCAGCGCGACAAAAAGTCGAAGTCTATGTCCCCTATCGCACAATACGTGTTGTTTTCCTTCATATTTAGAGCAAATCGCGCTGATGGCTACTTCCACTTCTAGCCCGTCACGGTCAGTTGCGCAATATTTCAGTCCACTGCTTTCGATTGAACTATCATCAGCGTCCCCCGATTGGACTTCAGTTGTCAGGACGTATTTTATTTCAGGGTGAGGTGCATGCTATCGTTGACAGAACGTTATGTGGCCATAAGCGTCCGCAGTGTCTATTTTTTGTGCAAATATACCAAAGCTCCAAGCCCGGTTACGATACACATTATGGCTACCAGGTATCAGCAGTTAGAATGTTGAGCAGCATTGCCGTGGGTTTTAACATACCAAGACTCGAATTCATCCAATAGTACCCTACCCTTCGGACCAGAAAGCCCGAGACTATAGGACCAATAAGCATTCCGGATGTCCAAGCGATATTGTTCAGGCTGTAAGCTGTCGATAGTCCTCCGCCTGGGCCAAAACGCCCCGGGTGTTCTGCCTCCAATTGTTTCATCACATCTTGTAAAGTTAGAACGGCAATAGCAGAGGTATTTTGAGCAGACTGGACTCACTAGTCAACTCAATGGTGCCACAGCCGCTAATCAAAGTACGTGCGGTGCCAACCCCCACAATCGCTGTCATAAAAATAGCCTGGCCCCTTGCTCCAACTCCTGCAAAAGGAAGACCGTCTTTCCCTGGGGTACCCATTAACCATATAAAAATTGAAATGGCGAAGAATCCTGTAGCTGTCGGGAATTTGGTTCCGAATTTATCTTTCAACATGCCACTGAATGGGGCTAGAAAGATGGCAGGCAACTGGAGAAGCAGAAACATTAAACTAACGCGAGCAGAATTCCAGCCAAATTCATCTTTGGAATGTAGAGGTAGAGTGGTATCGAAGCTGACCATAATCATGGCCATTGCACTACGCCCGGCGAGACTGGCGAGGGCACAGGGGTTTGTCAACATCGCCTTGTATACGCTTTGATGTCCGGCGGGGTCAACAGCCATGTCCGGCTCTTGGGAAACTGGATTTGAATTCGGCTGTGATCCATAATTGGATCGGTCGTTCTGCGAAGACCTGATGAGACTAGATGTTTCATCAGAGGTACTTTCACTGCTCGCTCTTGCATTTTCCGCCTCGCCTTCTACATGATCATTGTTGTTGCATGGTCCCTCGGCGAGATTCGTCTGTTCCTCGTGTTTCTTTTCTACCATAACCAACCGCATCATCATATCAAAGCCAAGGACGAGAAGAGCGACGGACCAGGTTGCATAGTAGCCCACAGTCGGTAGTAGTAAACCCGATATAACCGGGCCCAAGATCAACCCACTAGCATAGAATGAAGATATTGTTGTCATTACTGCCCCTGTATGGTTAGGTCCAACTGTTTCAGCCTAGCCTCAAGTCAGCATAGGATTCCAAGCTTGTCCTCTGGAACTGGGCGTAGGTCGATTTACTCACTACAGTTGCGAGCCCGACGAGCCAAACACAATTCCCTCCCAGACCCTCGATAATCCGACCCAGGACAAGGACCGGGACTTTCAAGATAGAGGAAAAAATCAGCGTGGTTTTCCCGTGGAAGAAGAAGACTAGCATACCCGTTCGCGCTGCCATAATGATAACAGTCCCAATCATTTCAACTCCCAAGGAAACAAGCAAAGAGAACCGTCGACTTGGGGCCCTATCCGCGAGGTAGCCTGTGAGGGGTCCTGCAATCAAGCAAGCTAGCGCATGGGCTGAAAGTACAAGCGAAGTCGTCGCTTGCGTTTGAGATTTTGGAACGCGAAGGCGGGTCTCGAGCATATCTGGAAGGATTGGAACAATGTAGCTGTATAAGAAGTTCCCTGATGACCCCTGTTAAAATGTGCGGTAATTCAAAATAAAGATCTACCAACCTGAAAAGAGAGCCAGGGCCATGCAAGACAGGATGAACCCGCTTGAAGAGCGCCACCTGTAGCCTAAGGGAGGCTTTCCGTTGGCAGACATCCTGGTAATTTGTGGTGGGCGCCGGGGATAAAGCAGCCTAGAGAATTGCTTTTGGGAGAGCTATCTATGAGATGCGCAGACGGCTACTACTAGATGATTGCATAGATGACATCATTGGCGAGACACTCAACTTGCGGGTATGCGGGGAACTGATGACTGTCATTGCACGTAATTGAACCACTGGACACTTCTATTTGTTATAGTCTTCATTGGATCAGACTCGGGAAAATGACTACTTATTTTTTAAACGAATGTCATGTCTATTCTCTGACTCTAGCCGTTCATGAGAGCGATTCAGAAGATCAAGTTTGAACCTGCGGGAGAGAAGAAGATTCTTAAATCTCGAATCAGTTGGGTTCCTTATCTTTGCGGATAGGCTCACTGACCAAAAGCTGCAAAGGCAGAAGAGATAGGAGAATCCGTAAAAACCATGCCATATTGCCTTGCCATATCTCACAGTTGACATGTCGTCGCATCAGTTTGTCGACGACGGACTTTGCGTATGCATCCGTGGGCATACCATTTTCATTTCCCCGATATTTAAGCTCCTCAATGGTGCTCTTGACCGGAAGGTAGAGCGAGTTATCAGGGGCATAGAGCCCATGGTGAAGGATGTTGCTGCGGACAAACCCAGTAACTATTTCAATGACCTCTATGTGGAAAGGACTGAGCTCCTACAAAACCATTAGCATAAAGTCTTCCTCGTTGGATGGTTGGTTCCTCACAAGTCTTAAGGTTTTTGTGTACTGACTTAGAGCAGCTTTTGACGCGTTGTAGGCAGATTGCCACAGAACTGGTACCTCTCGGGTAACACTGCCAATTTGCACTATACGCCCGTGGGGTGAGCGGCGAAGGAGTGGGATAAAGATCTGGCATAGGTGCATGACAGCAAATACATTGACATGAAAGAGCTTCACTGCTTTTTCTAGCTCCAGGTCCATCGCAGTAGCCGCGTAGTGTGTTCCAGCATTATTCACCAGAAAGTCGAGCTGGCCATTTGTCCGCGCAGTGACGAGTTCTTTCAACCTTTCTATGCTCTCTCGGTCATCAAGCTCGAGTGCGAAAGCCTCAATGTTATAGTACTGGCTTGTGAGGTCCTTGAGAGATTCCACACTTCGTGCAGTGGCGAGGACTGTGACTCCCCGGGCTGCAAATGATTTGGCGAGCTCCTTTCCGATGCCACCGCTGCAGCCTGTGATGAGTGCGAAAGTGGTTTGTTGCGACATACCGGGCGCACAGATAGATGATTGAGGGGAGAGTAGAATACACTGGACTAGGCTATTTGAGGTGTACAACATACACTCAAGGAGGACCACTCGACGGATAACAGATAGAAGTCCCTTCTAAGCGTACGTAGGAAATGGCCGATGCCAATATAGCCCATTTTATAGACGTTCGAAAATCCAAAACGGAGGTAAAGCTTTCCCGCTCCACATGCCACTCCGCCAAATGTATTCGGAAGCCAGACGACAGTCAGATGGATGGGGCTCGGGGAAATTCGGTCGTCTACCTCTAAGCAATGAATAATTGGCGTCGCATCAACTGAAGATCCTCCGAACGATCCTCCGAGTGGGTGCCTCTCAGCTTGCATATTCTTCAGCCCCAATTCGAGCACCCTGGGTCGATTCCTAATTCAGCATATGCCATGACGGAAAAATAATAAGCTCATCTCGTCATACCAGCTGATGATAGTCATAAGCACGGCTCTTTCCCCTCGTGTTACCGATAACGACGCCTTCTGTGTTCCTATACATTTTAATATGTCCGGTTTCACGGAGCGTACGAGATCCGCACATAAATGCACGACAACATGACGGCAACTTCAAGAGGATCTGCATACCTTGATCAGTCTAATGATAAGGGAGATATTCAGTGACCACATATCCTTTCCCGACCATTTTTCGCGCCTGAGATACTCAGCTTGCCGTAAAGAATTTCGGATTTGTCACACCGCCAGCATTGTAAAAGGGGATTATGGCCGTTGCAAACCTTGAAAAATAATCATGTGTATTCACGACACACGTGGAGCATCCGAGTGCCATCAAGGACAAGATCAAAAATGACAAGTGTTGGGGTTCATGGACCCTAGAAGCTTAGCACCGGAGTATCTCTTGAAAATCCGGAGGAATATCAATTGTATCGGGGGTTCCTCCGGTCCCGTACGTCACCAACTCCTTCAACCTTCAAGTTCCGAGCCCTACAGAGTATCGGTGTTTCTTGGACCCCGTTTTCTGCCTCCAGCGATATTCTTGGATCATCTTCGCGGTAAAATATTCCTCCAGTTGACCCGGGACGTATTTGTTGGAGGCCGCGTTGAACCGCATATTCTCTTACGCCCCCTTGGCTCCCACACCTTCGACTTCTTCCGAAGTTTATTCTTCCGAAGCTCGTATTCTTCCGTGTGTTTGCTGCCTCTGCCTCTGGACGCTGAACGCCAAAAGTCGAACATACACCCACTGACGCCAGACTTGCCGATCATGGTCTCGACCCCGACATTCGGTGCAGCCTCGCGATGGTCTCTGCCAGAAGTCACGTCTCCACAACGTGTCAGGGATGGCGAAAGGCAGGCAAGCTCGAGAGTCTGTGATAACTGCATTCGGTAAACAGGATCCCCTGTCAAATTGCTACCTTTTCTAACATCAACCTCAGGAAGAAAATAAAGTGTTCGTCAACAATATTCCCTTGGCCTGAGACGGGTATTCGTATATCGACCAACAAGGCTGACTGGATACTCATCTATAGGTGATTTGAAACGACCTTCATGCTCTCGCTGTTTGGAGCGTGGATACACTTGCACATATTCGTCAACTCGGCGCAAACCTGGCCCGGCCCGTGGAGCTCTTCAGGGCTCCCACCGTGGCTTACTCCCTTCAAGGTCTTCACGCAGATCTTTTGGTAAGAATTTTCTCTTGGTATCTACATTGGCATCATTATATTCTACGCCCCTCTCTATTGTTTTCGTAAGCAAGTCCAATCTTCTGTGCTAATCAGTCATCCATTCCGCGGTGAAGGCCGCCAACTCCGCTCTACACGTGTAAACGACCCATCTTCATCACCACTCGTCTCCACATCTACAGTCGCTACCTCCACAGAGGCTTGTAGTCTGGAAGCAATCGACACGCTCCAAGATCGAAGGACAAGTACCGAACCTTTCAGACAGACCGACTTTCAAGTCAAGGAAGGAGAAGAAGAACATCTGTACGTCCTCACGGTCATGTGCTGTTTGACATTGCGCTAAAACAAGCGACATGATCCTTTAAGCCTGATAAAGTACCTGGATATGATTCACGATGCTATCCCCATCTTCTCTAGGCAGCGGTTCTTGCCTGGTGTTAGGTCCTCGCTGTACAGCCGCGATCTCATCTCGACGTTGGTCCTAATTACAGCGAAGCTGACAGGGTTCACCTTTTCCTCTGACGACATTGATATCGACGCCTGCATTGACTTGATGCTCAGTTCAGGGTCTCTGCAGGAGGACATGTTTGGCGATGTTCCATCACTTGATCAATTTCGCAAAGCCTGCCTGTTGGCTTTCTATGAGTTTCACCAGTTCCCCGGTCGCCAGGCTTGGATGCGGATCAGTAAACTCATCAGAATGGCCTATTGGATTGGACTCGATCATCTCGAGAACCTCCGGCCTTCTCTCCCGTACTGGTGTGAAATGAGCCAACATGAACTTGAGGATTGGCGTTTGGTTTGGTGGTGCGTCTACCGCCTAGACTCCTACGCCAACCTTTCGGTCGGAACACCATATCTGATTGATGAGACTCTTGTGAATACCGCCCTTATACGAGATCAGCCCTCGGACAGTCTTGAAGAAAGCCAGCCAGGCCGTCAGGGACAACTGTACTTACCGTCTCAGCCGGACCGCCTATGGGAGTTGCTTTCAGCCATCGCATCGGATTCACCGCAGACGTCTTTGTTCAATATACACATAATTACCACGACTGCTACGCGCCAAGTCGGACGCGTCGCCCGACTGAATATGCCAGGGCGACAAGGGGAAACTAATGCTTATCTCGCCGATCTCGAACGGCGCCTTTCTGCGCTGCGTCTTGCTCTCTCAATAAACTATCTCAATCCTATGCGCAATGCGTTCACAAACGAAAGTGGCTCCGAACACCATGCAAGACTGGTCAATCTCTTCCATTTATCCATGGCGCGACTTCTCATCTCGCTTATGCGCTGCGCTGGTAGAGAAGAAGGGAACGAATGGCTATTAAGCTGGCAACAGGTCCTTGAGACGTGCCGAGACATCACTTCTTTGTCGGAACAATGGAACGGCGCATTCACCTTAAGCGTTGATCCAGCAATCTCCTTCATACTTTTTACAGCACTGATTTTTTTAAACCTTCACAAGAGGTTCGCGGCAGTGGCCGCATCCGCCATTTGTACCCACATCGAGCATTGCGAGAACGTCCTTCTGCTGCAGCTCGAGCAGTTTGCAACCGCCTGGACACTCCCTAGGCTTCTCATCCGTGAGTTCATGACGATTTTGCTTTTATGGAGACCCAAGAAGTAACAGTACAAGTATCATTCAAAAGCTTTACAGAGTTGATGATTGGTCCACTCTCTTACCACCACATCCAATTCATACTCTCCCGTTTCGAAGCACCCCTGCACCCAAGGTGGTTGCATTTCCTCTCCTCTGCTCAAGCAGAGCTTGAGGGAGTGGGATTGGCCAGAGAATAATACAGGTCTCCATAGTTTGGATCACTTCTCCCAAAGGCCTGGCGCTTCAGACCACCCCTGTGCAACTATTAATGTGCCCCCTTGTATAACCGCTCGTATTATTGACAATCTTATGGCCCCACTAGGCTCATCAGAAGGAAGGCTTCACCATATACTGACAACCCCGTCAAAATCTATGAAACCCCTGCCGGCTATACCCTGGTTTACTCTATACCCTGGTTTACTCCATCGAATAAAAGATCCTAAATAAGCTCACCAATCTGAGTGAGTGCGAGGTCATCAGCAAGAAGGCCGAGCGGAACGAGAAAGGATCTGCGGGGTTCTTTTCGGATGATTCGTCTCCCACTGTTGCCAGTGCAAGTGCTACCGACTCCTTTGTTGAAACCGCGAACCCTATGGTCTTTGCGGGTTGGACTGCTGATTGACAAATGCACTCACTAGTAGAAATGATCAAGGACAGAGCGGACTGGTTCGGACAAGGGTGATCTGAATGGAATAGCCGGTAATTTTGACTGGAGGGCCAGTTCAACCCTGTCGCCGAGAGAGAGAGCATGCCTAGCTGATGGTATACATTTATACCTTAGCGCTACAGGGTAAAGAAAGAGAGCAAAAAAGAAGGTTAAAAAGACAGGGAAAAAGAGAGTAAGAAAGGATGTAGGAAAGGATGTAGGAAAGGAAGAAGTCCTTACAAATGATTGCACGTTTTGGAGAGTGCTCACAGGCATTATTGAATTGGATATCCCTCCCACTGCAGGCTGAGTCACAGACTACTAAATCAATCACACCATAGACATGGTGTGTTGTTAGATGCGACCCTCCATTTAACTTGTTAGCCTTTTCTACTTGTTTCCACCGTTCGACTTCTAGAGAAACAGGTGTCCCGCAATATCGATCCCCCTTTGTGTCTGCTTCTACAGGGGCTAGTAAGGGGCAAGTGAGAACTCGTACATTGCCATACAGGACCTATCTAGTTTAAATTACTAACATAACAAACACTATCATGCGAACAACATCCGCTACCTTAAGGGGGGATTATTGTAAACAGCAACTCGTTGGCCTTGACCTAGTAGAGGTGAGCCACCTCGCTTGGTTGGACCGGTGAGGCTGAGTCGCATCTGATCGCCTCGAGGATAGCGGGTTCATTTAATGGCCCAATTGGTGGGATGCTCAGGGTGTACGTCTGACCTTGCTGATTGGGCCCCGGAGAAATACGCAAGGAAGGAAAAGAGAGGCACGTAAAGAAGATCCGATATGTTTGCCTCGAAATGCGAGCGACGGAACTACGTGGTTCCATCGGTGGATATGCTGTGAGGTACGCTAGGTCTAGCCTTAAATAGCCATAAAGCGCGTTGGGTATTCCGAGGGTCTCATGCATGATTGTCCTTGAAGGGAGTTAGTTGTATTATGTGGGGTCGTGTCCTCGGCTGTCATAGTAGATCCTCCGCGGAACAACCACATCGTGTCCCATGAGAGTATTAGGCCACCCGAAACCCCGGACGTATTTCGTTACTACCTTACTTCTAAACTACACTGAAGCTTATGCTTATTGTTCAAGCCGGTCCGAGTCCTCTTTTTCTTTGAAAAGAGATTGACTGTCCTCCGCTCAAACACTCATTTTATTCTCCGCTTGCAGTCACCTAGAGAAAAAGTCAACATGGTGGCGATCAAGAACTTGATCGCTTTTGAAGATAAAAGTGGTAACAAGTTATTTTCGAATGTGGACTCGTTGGAATCCACTCAAGGAGCTTCAATTGAAGCATACAGGTCATTTGACGACTTGGCGAAAGGCGAGAACGCGACAAATGCAACCATCGCAAAGGTTGGTGAATTGATGGTTTCATCAAATGGACACTGCTGATGGCTGTCTTACAACTAGCTGTTGCCTCCTCTCCCCAACCCCAATCTCCCGATTTACTGTGTGGGACTGAATTACGGAAGCCATGCGAAAGAGGCCAAAGTAAGTCCTACGTCTTCTATCTGTTCAGCAGTGTAGTTGCTAATTCTAAGAAGCTGAACGTCCCTGCGAACCCTCCTCTATGGACGAAGCCTAATTCCGCATTGGCAAGCCCTGACTCTACCATTCCGATGAGTCGATTCTGTGCCTCGCATCTCCCCGACTGGGAGGTATGCTCCTATTTATCAAGAGGCCTGGTGCACGAGCCAGTATACTGACAAGTTTTAGGGTGAACTGGTCTTTGTCACTTCCTGCGAGGTCCGCGACGTTACACCCGAAAAAGCCGTTTCTTGCATCCTTGGATACACGGTCGGAAACGATATCTCCTGTCGATTCTTTCAACTCCCCGAGCAGTCCGGAGGACAGTTCTTCTATGCTAAGGCCTTTGATAAATTTGCCCCCATCGGACCGGTGCTTGTGAGTCCGGAAAGCTTCAATAAGACGAAGAAGGGCGCTCGCCTGACCACTCGGGTCAACGGGGAAACCAAGCAGAACACCGTCATTGAAGATGACATGATTTTCGACCCTGCAACAGTCCTCAGCTGGATGAGTCAGAGTATGTCGGCACTTCAAGGCTACAATTCTTTTTGGTATGAATTGACAAGACATTAGGCACGACAATCCCTGCATACACAGCCGTGATGACTGGAACGCCAGCTGGAGTGGGTGCATTCCATAGCCCACGACAGTTCCTAAAGAATGGAGATTTGATTGAAGTTGAGATTAGCGGGATTGGCACATTGAAGAACAAGGTCTTGTTTGAGGATGGGCAAGACTCTATAATGTGAGAATCCCATTGCTCTCTGTTAACTTGATGTATGAAATGAGGTTTGCTATTTCTATTAAGACTACGTGGCTGATTTTTGAACCTTGTATTACTTCCTATAGAACTCTTGTATGGAAACTAATCAAGGCGAAGCTCTGGTACAAGTTCTCTCCTTGGCTGTTTAGGGCGGGTTGATAATGTTCCGTGGGATGAGTCCAAGAATCGCCCACCTATCGAATAAATATAATGGGGTCTGACGAGTTTGGGAAGATATAATAGGGGCAGAGGAGGCTATTGCTTAATATTTGCTGCGGAACAATAGTCGACAGTGGGAGACCATTTGTATTTTACTAATGTGCAATTATGATAGAACAATGTCTGTCACAGTTACAAAAACAGGCATCCGTATGCCCACATTGATGTCCTTCACAGAACCTTGGAAGAAAGAACGGTATACGTATAATATTTGCAGTGAGAAATGACACAATCTTTTCCGTCATCCGCAGATGGTGATCGTTCTTGAGGACGAGGAAGAAATGACAAAGTCAGCGCGGGCAGTCTACGTGGCAGCGGATGTGCCATGAGTTGCACCCAATACTGGAATTTATCATGAATCTTTATACACTATATCGGGGGAATTATGTGTGGAGAAAGCACGAGCTGCTTCAATAGTAATAAGGTGTTTCCAAACAATTTGTTATGGTATACAGTATTCAAACAAAGTTGGTCTCAAGTTTCTTGAGACAGTCCTCCAAATCAGACAGAGACCTAGCCTTTGCATAAATAATGCCATCCGGTCGTAAAATAAAGTACTTCGCCTGAGAGTCGTTCAACCGTTGTCGGAATTGTTGAACGTCGTATCCGACGCGAACGGGGTATCCGTTCAGCAGATGCATGGGTGCAGGGAAGGACACAGCCTTTCCATCTGTGCGGCGATGCGTGTTCAATTTCCCAAAATTAAAGTGAACGATTGACTCAGCAGATAAGATATCTGAGTGAATCTGGTACTTGGCAAAGACTTTCCTCAGGTCCGCATCGTCCAGTTGACTTGAGGAATTGATCACCAGTAAACTCATGATAGTGGGAACGCGACGAAGAGCCTTATCAGAGAGCTCAATAGTGACAGATTCATTACCAGGGAGGTAGGTCTGCACGAAAATTTGACCGAGCTTTCTGCCACCCCCAGCAGCAGATAAAAATGTTCCCCCTTGACAGCTAGAGTAGCCGCGAGCATCTGCAACGACATGGGGCAGCTTTATCTTAAATGGCGTTAGGAGATTTAGAGCCAATTTGAAGATTGCGATCCGGAAAGTTCCTAGCCAGGTGGCTTCTTTGTTGCACCACTCTCCATTTTGGAGTGTTAGACGAGCCGAGTTGTCGATACCAACTCGTCGCTCTAGTGACCAGGACAGGAGGAGGCTGTCTCTGAAAGAGGACGAAGTCTGGCGGGATTGCTCTATTTTGGTAATCACCGCTAACCTCCAGGCCAGAGCCTCGGCGTCTTGAACTCCAGCGGCCACGCCTTGGCCTCCAAATGGTGGGAAAACATGTGCTGCATCTCCGATCAGCGCGGTACGTCCGGCAAACCACATGTTGACGACTCTATGAGAGAAGCGGAATGGGCGACAGCGAAGAATCTCGATGCAATCAATCGGGAAGGTAATTGGCGTTGTTGTCCCTTCAGACAATATAATTGGCCGAGTGATCATGGGAATAAGCTGCTCCCAGAACATCTTGACTGCGTCCATAGACTCTTCCCATTCTGGAACGGCAAATTCATGTCTCCAGAGGTGGTCAGCTTGTGGTCCGAAACGACCACAGGCGGTTGGCTTTCCCGGTGGCCGACAGAAATGCCACCCTTGAGGCCAAAATAAGTCATAAACGGCTTTCGAGTCGTAGCCAAGATCCCACAGCGCAAAATTGGGATGTGTTGCCTCAGTTGGCGGGTTGATGCGTAGATTGGCCGCGATCCAAGTGCTGTCATACTCGAAGATGCCAGCTTCTTGTTTTACACCTGCGGTGGGCTCCAGAAAATGCTTGCGGACAATCCCCGTCTTTCCGTCGGCACCAACTAGCCATGATGCTCGTATTTGACAGACATTCCCGTCGGCATTTTTATAGTGGACTGTGACTCCGTCTGCATCTTCGTCCCGGTCCACAACCTCGCATGAAGATTGAAGAGTGCAGTACTCAGAAGACATGACCATCTCACGCAATGCGTATTCTATCGAATTTTTCAGTTGATGTCCAGGTTTACATGCGCATGAATGCTGGGACAACTAACCCAAGCGAGGTTGGCTCTGTAGGATCGTACTAGGGAGCGCATGCTGCATCATATCTTCGTCCAAATCTAGTGTCAGGAAGGGCCGGGTTTGGATGTTTGTCTGGTGAAAGTGGATGGCGCGAAGCTCTGTATTCAGCCCTAGTCAGGCTTGCCTATCGCGGGAATGACGGTGTATGTATTTACCGTGACCAATTGATGCAACGTGCTTCCCCATGCCCAGTTTCCAGAGACTGCGCAGTGCATCACCCGTCAAAACCACGCCCCTAGGATCCGTCACAATATCCTGCGCCTTTTCAAGTACTATCGACTTGATCGCGACGAATTAGGCTATGTTTGCAACACGGACTGTCCAAAGGGCCGTCCTTAAGATCGAAAAAGCATACCTTGATTCCGTGGTTAGCCAGAAAAAGACCTAAGGTGAGGCCTGACGGTCCCCCACCAACAATCAGAACTTCAGTGGTCATATTGGTGCTAAAATGCAAAAATGACCGGTTCATTTTGCATCATGCCTGCATTAGAAGCGCTATTTATGAAAGAACTTCGACTCAGGCAGCATCTGGGGAGCAACGGCAACATGTGACACCAAGAAAGCCCGAAAGAACTTATCCGTGGGGAATTCAATAGTGTCCGACAACTTGGATATTATTCATGCCAATCGTACGGTGTGATTGTGCACGGCGAGGTTCTTCCGCGGAGGATCTGCAACGCGCAAACCGAAATGCAGGGATTGTGCCGAGGAGGATACAAACTTTATAAAGCGGCGAAACAATTATCAAAAGCAACCCCGGGATATTTATACTATTAGTATTACCAATACAATCCTCACTGATCTCGAGGTTGTCCTTTTCTACCTTCGTTATCCTTGACCAGACCCGAATTTTGAGATTCCCCAATCTTCGCAATATCCCAGTCTTCATTTCTTTTTGCAAGTCCACGTCAAAGAAAAAAGGCGATATGTCGCTCTGGATGATAGATGTTCTTGCCTTGCTACCTCAAACATGGCAAGACTGGATTATGCCCCCAAGCACCGTTCCAGTCGTCCAGAACAACCCCTCTAAGGTTCAATTAAGTCGTATCTCCCACGTCTATTTCGACCACGGCGATTTGGAGGCCTTTGATCGATTTGCTAAGGATTTTGGATTCGTCCAAGCAGAGCGTAAAGGAAACACGATTTATTACCGTGGCTATGGCAGAGACCCCTACGTTTATGTGGCATCTCAGAGTCCGACGCGGCGATCGCGCTTCATGGGTACAGCCTTCGTGGCAAAAGACCAGGAGAACTTCGACAAGGCCCTGGCACTGCCAGGCGCAGTAATCAAAGACCTGGAAGAGGCTCCAGGATGCGGACGCATGATTACTTTCGCGAGACCTAACGACACCTTTTTCCACGTTATCTACGGCCAAACTGAACGCGAGTTTGTTGAGATCCCAACAGCCACCCACGACTACCAAGGCCCCTTTAACACGCCGTTGGAGAAGCATCGTAAGGGCCGCTTCCAAAGGTACCACGACGGTCCCGCGCTGGTACACAAATTGGGCCATTTCGGATACGTGTGCAAGGAATTCGAACATGAACTTGACTTCTACACCTCCAACTTCAACTTTGTGCACTCCGACATTCTGAATCTCCCGAAACTCCCGCATATTGATGTTATGACATTCATGCACTTGGATCTGGGCAAAGCTTTCACCGACCACCACAGCTTCTTCCTGCAGCGTGCGCCGCCGGGTACCAGCAAGACATATGTCCACCATACCTCGTTTGAAGTCAATGACTTCGATACCCAGTTGATGGGTCACAAATACCTTGCAAAAAAGGGGTGGAAGTCTGTATGGGGCGTGGGTCGTCATATTCTGGGAAGCCAGATTTTCGATTATTGGTATGATTCGAGCGGTTTTAAGATTGAGCACTATGCGGACGGAGATGTGGTCAATGAGGATAACCCGACCCGGAAGGAGCCAGTAGGGCCGCTATCTGTTTGGGGTCCCGAATTGCCGAAGGACTTTGGGGACAACAAGGCCAGGTGATCGGATACTAAGTTGTGGAAACTTGGACTCTTTGCACATTGTATTAAGTATGTATACTGTTCTAACTATATATCAGCCTACCATTCCTGCATCGTGCAGGCTCGCACTGTGTTTTCTCGCCTCTTTCGTCTTGTAATGCTTCGTCTGTCGAAATTGCTATGATACGAATACATGCCATTATCGCGTTTCAATTACTATGTTTTGTCTCTTCGGTCTTCCTTTTCGTTTATACAATTTGGATTTGAAGCACCCATAAACCTGTCGTAGCTAGAAGCTAGTGACCTGAATTTCGTAGCGACTATGCTTCCGGACTGTCAATGGTCGAGTTGCCAAAAAAGCCGACGCCTCTGTGGCTGCCCGCGTTATATTTTCATGTTCCTTTCCCTTTGCCTAACCAGAAGTCCTCCATCGAGCTCCTGCATTTCCATACCTGCGAAGTTTTGGTGTGGACCTGCCAAAACTTTGAACTGCGTTATTTCAAAGAGTATCGGCGAACGCCAGATGGGCTAGCAGGTGCCCTTAGAAATTGAGGGAGGGTTAATCCTTCTATGTGTAGAGGAAGCAGTGTGTCAGTGTAACTACTACCCTTGAGATTAAGTGCAACCTTCCTCTTAGTAAGTGTTGCGCTTAGCAGTTTTATTCGCATGTAATTATTCACCGAGGCCACCACTGCTGATTCGTCCAGGGTCCATTCCAGAGCCCCCTGCGATCTGTGCCTTCCCCGAACAAAGCCCGCGCAAATTACCTCGTATGATTTCGTATTTCATTATAGTGGGTGCTGGGTTTACGGAAGAGAGCCATAGCAAATGTAAAGGTTCTGAGATACCATATAAAACGATCAATAACGATCAATTAGAGGTCCGCTCTCAGTCTTGAATTTAAACAACGTACTTGCTCGCAGTCCATACGTGTCTCTTTCAACGATGTTGAGAAGTTCAAAATAGTGGAAAGGGTCATATACCGGAATTTGCATGCCAACAATTTTGCATTTTGATTTGGGCCTCACGCCTTCTGAATCACTTAAGGTAGGCATGGGCTACCCAGCGGTCGAGCAGTTACATGTATCTAAATCTCTGTAGTGCTACCGTGCTGCTGGGAAGGTTCATCGACGCTATCCCATGGAACAATCCCGTCGGTATGACGTAGTTCCTGGTCCAGGAGATAGAGACCAAGGCCAGGCTGCTTGGAGGCTCGGACTACCTGCTGCAGGAGGTCTGCGAGATATTTAACGTGCCTTGTTTCCTTGCGCATAAATCTGCATTGAATGGCGTCTCTCAATGCAATGTCCCCCGATTTGTCTGCCAACGAGCAAAGCCGTTGTAGATCCTCTAACAAACTCTTCTCCACGAGGAGTGCTTCCTTACAGGGACCAACAGGCTCAACCGGGTTATCAGGCCACTCAAATTTGGTAGCTTCGATTGCTGTAGGCTTCGAGCGTCCTCCACGTGACACAAGGTATTTCTCCAGCCACTTGAAGTCAGCCAAGCACTCTGCCGCCGAGCGCTCCCAGAGTCTGTATGCTGTTAGTATTGGTATTCTACAGCTCGAATAAACACAGCAAAGTATGCTTACCGCGCGAATCCATGCAAGGTGATGTTGTTTCGGGAACAATCAGCAGCCAATTTGCGAAAGAAGAGCCAACTAGTCAGCTCCTGGTGAATATGGCCTCGGACGGACTGGTAAGAGCCAGGTAAGTTTCCGCTTTCCACAAATAGTACGGAGTACTCCTACCTCTTCAATTTCCACCGTAAAGGAAGCCGTGCGCACTAACTGATCAACATCATGACCGGAAACCTCTGCAATGATTTTCTTCGCTCCTTCGGCCGACATGTTGATGGTTCTCGTTATTTCTAGGTAAAACTTTGAATCAGTAAATCTAGTAAGGAGAGAGTTTCTGAGGATATCAACTACTAGCTATATATGTTACTTTCTCAAAGATTTTGCGATCACCCTCGAGACGTATTTATGACGGCTTTGTTGTATCATGGTTAAAAGGCAGTTGAAAGAGACATCATTCATTTCGCGTCAGTCTGAGTTCATATGTTTGTATGGGGGCGTGGGTTGAATCTAGTCGCGCCTATCCAATGACGCAGCGCTGACCACAGCCACCTTTTATTTAAGCGAATCGCATTGTTTTATATTCAATTTTACTTTCTTTACTTTGAAACAGGATAACTACCAGACATTTCTCTTCAGCAGGCAAACTTCATCTAATGTCACAAATAGGTAAAGACGGGGCATTCCAGGCCCCCGAGTCAAAACAGGCTCAAAGCAAACCGGGGCAAGTTCTAGGCTCACTGAAAGTACAACTACGATAGATGCTAAGTTGACAATAGACTGGAGAAGTATATGGCGCCGCCGAGTGAGACTTCCAAACTTGAGTCGAGCACCGGGTTCGTTGAATACGAAGGCTCAAACAAGCTGAAAGACAAGAAGGCCTTAATTACTGGGGGCGAGTTAGTTGCCTACGTGCTACACCTTCCTTTGGTCTATCTACTGACATTGAGAAGCTCAGGTATAGGTCGTTCTATAGCCGTATTGATGGCCAGGGAAGGTGCCGATATCAGCATTGTCTACCTTCCACAGGAGCAGGAAGACGCGAACAAAACAAAGGAATTAATCGAAAACGAAGGACGCAGTTGCCTGCTAATTTCGGGCGACTTGAGAAGCAATCAAACGTGCGAAAAAGCAGTTAAGGAGCATGTCGACCGGTATGCAAGCGAAATCTGTCATCCGGCGCTAGGTCACTGACTCCCCACTCTTCCTCTTGCTTCAGGTTCAAGGGAATCAATATCCTTGTTAACAATGCCTCACAACAATATATGTGTAAAGACTTCACACAAACTGATCTCGGGCAGGTTGAGAATCTCTTCCGAACCAACATCCTGCAAATGTTTGCTATCACCAAATATGCACTCCCTTATATGTCAAAGGGAGACTCGTAAGGCATAATGCGCCTTCATTTGATCAGCGTTTGGGCTAACTTAGACACGCAGGATTATCAACAATACCTCTGTTGTCACGTTCCGTGGCTCGAGCAGTATGATCGACTACGCTTCCACGAAAGGCGCAATTGTGGGCTTCACCCGATCCCTAGCGCTACAGTTAGTTCCGAAGGGTATTCGCGTGAATGCTGTTGCGTAAGTTCGCAGTCAGTTTTCCTGGCATGTCTCATATTCTAATGCATTCGACAGCCCCGGTGCTATTTACACACCAATTCAAGTTGATACAAGAGATCCCGACTCCATGAAGGGATGGGGTTCGAATTCACAGCTTGGCCGGCCTGGGCAGCCTAGCGAAGTGGCCCCTAGCTTCGTGTTCTTGGCTAGTAAAGATGCTTCTCTCTATTGTACGGACTTCAGCTACTTTCCCTCCTAGCTAAGGTCGAGTCGCTAATATCTAAGCAGCTGGCCAAATCCTACATTGCTACCCCTTGGAGATTAAAGGCGAGAATTGTTGTGGATCGCAAATGGAAAGCTGGTATAATCTATGTCGGAAACCAAAATAGTTGGCTAAGCGAAAGCTTGGAAAGCCACTGAGTGTTGATGTGAGTATTGATATGAGATATAGGCGCGGAGAATTTCCTTAACGCGTCACCCATATTGTATTGACAGGCCTTTTTTGTCACCGTCACTTCTACTTTCTTAGGCGCGGTGTTACCCTAAAACAACAAGACCAAGCCTATTCGCGTGGTCCCCTTCCCAGTATGCGAAATTAAAGCTCGTTCTCTATATTTTGCATTTTTGGTCTTCATCTCTGCGGTCCCATGAAGGCATTCATTACATCTGTCGTAGCATTGGCCTCTCGCAGTGCCCCATTGTACCAAGCCCTCCAATGCTATAAAGTACTACAATAGTTGTTTATCTTCAAAGCAGCCAATCATTTTCTGAAGAGGTGAGGGTACATAAAAGTGGCCTTGATGTTGACGATTCCATAACAGTGACGTAAGGTGACCAGAATTCGAATGACGGATTTGCCGATGCAAAGGATACTGATCTTTGCTGTCAGCCCCACGCGATCATTGGCAAAGCAACTAGAGGATCCACCTGTATGGCGTCAACAGCCTTCCTTCCTCGAAGCGTGGGACGTAAAGTGGACGTCACGCTGTTGATATCCACTAATGCAACTTCAGTAGGCCCAAAAAGCTTTTAATGTAGGTATTTTGCGTGCTATAGGTTGCAAAGGCGAAAATCCTTAATGCTGCACGAAACAAATTTCTTTTCTCTTCTCCATCCTCTACTTCAGAAAAGATTTGGTGACCATCTATGAGTCCTGAAGACATACGCATTACATGTGACTTGGGCCGCTTGACTTCAGGATTGGAGTCCAGCCACGATCTTCCGTGACACCATCTTCATCGTTTCAACCTTTGCTGGGGGTGCTTCAAATTCCATGACTGATAAATTGACCCTCGTAGTGGTTGGAGACGGAGATGTGGGAAAATCGTCACTAGCTTCGCGGGTTTGTCATGTTTACCTCCTATCGCAGTCAAGATGATACTAACTAAGGTCCTACTTAGTTTTGCTTAGACAAATTTGCTGAGGGCTTGGAACCCACGCTAGATGATTCATATCGCACACGAATGGTGGTTGATAACCGCCCTTGCATTCTCGAGATAGTGGACACCGCAGGGCGAGGAAATTATGCAGCAATCCGCGAAACCCATATCCGCGAGGGGGAAGCTTTCATTATTGCATACAGCGTCACCTTGCGGGAGTCGTTCTCTCACGTACGAGCGTACTACAACCAGATCAAAGAGGTGAAACAAGATATGAGCACAAAAGATACTTTACAGCAGTCACCTTCTCAGCGTCCATGTCGTCCGCCCATTGTTCTGGTCGGTACTAAGAATGATTTAAAATCCCAGCGTGAAGTCTCCGCCAAGGAAGGTCGGATGCTAGCAAAGTCGCTAGACTGTTGGTTCTATGAAACATCTGCTAAGGATGACGCAGATGTAGAGAAGACGTTCCACGATGTTATCAGATGCTTTCGAGAACAGAATCTCCCAAATCCTCCAACCCCAGCGTCGAAGCAACCAAAGGGAAGCACAGGGAGATTCTGGGGCAGGGAGCGACGGAAGGTATATAATGCACGTAGGTGCATTGTAATGTAAAATACACCTGTGGGGTCTTAACCGGTTGTTAGTATGTTGACTCCTTGCAAAGATACAGTGGGCCAATAGGCAGGACGCGAGTCTAGTCCAAAATCAATTCAGTAGCTGAAGGTGTGACAGTACCTTCGTAGTGATTCGCGCACTCTAAAGTCTTATTGTACGCTATCTCTGATCCCTTTGCCCTAGCGGCCGTGTTTCCCGCAATTGACAAGACGGGTACAGTTAACTGTGGAAGCTGGTAATTGAAAATAATGTATAACTCTCGTGCAACTTTAGTCAGGTACGTTTCCTACACCAGGCGTCGAGAAAAGCACCTCATGTTTCTCCACTGGTTGGCCCGCCCCTCGTGTGTCTCGTCCAGTAAATACATTGTAGAGCAAATTGCCGGGGGTACAGGACGTATTTATAGGCTTCTCGGCTCCTGCTGTCGTGTGTGCGGGTACCCGCGCGAAGTTCGTTGAAGCATGGCCGTACAACTAAATATTTTGAGCTTCTGACCGTTATTTAGTGTTTCTTCTTTATTTGTTCAATTCACTTTTTGGTTATTTTAGCTTCTACGCTATTTTGTCCGTCAGATTACAGAGGTTTTACTCTAATGTGGGTGATGTGTTGGGTTTCAAGTTATATTTCGTGAAAGGGTGGTCTCATCCATTCCAATGAGACGCACTGACGACTTCGATGACATTGCATTTGACTTGCTAGGTGGTACCCCGTGCCAGCAATAACACATCTTTTACTCCTATAATATGTGCGCATATACAGAGCCGAAATCTGTCATTTGCAGTGATAAATGTATCAACCCGTTCACCACGATAACGCAAACAGTCAACGACCGTGGAATGGCTGTCGAAATTGGCTCAAGTCCAAACTCCATAGACCTGAATATGCGGGACTTGACTGCCAATGTCGTGAGGCTTAGTCAAGCGTGCCCCGATCAACTCGTTGATCATTATCACAACTATTACGTGAGGACAAAGCTGCCAATAGCCAGTTGAACATAAACAGATCTGAGTTGAAGATCTAACTACTGTAGTGGTGGAACTAGTGACAGTAGCACATTGATGGCATGAGGTGTCACAAATGCCTCAGGAGATATGTAGTCTTCTCTCACGAGAGATCAGCATCATCAATCATCGTCCCAATATGACTACAATTCTTCGCCAGATTCTTCATTCATGATATAGTATCGGATCCAGTGAGATCATAACCTACAGAGACCGCTCTCTACAGCAAGTCAGTGAGGGCAGCTCGCAGCAGTAGCTATCGTTCTACTTATTCAGCGCATCAAATCAAGATTTGTTGATTTCATCTGGCATTTTTCCTAGCTAAATGTTTTCAGCCGTTTGTTTTGCATTTTGCACGTCAAAAGCGGATACAGGCATCAGCTAAATTGCAGAGACACGGTCACCACAGTGGTATAGACCATGCAGGCAATCCCCGTCGTAATTATCAACATATCTCCTCCTTTTGCCCACCAAGTATTCGCGATACCTCTCCAATGCAGATAAGCCGGATAAACAAAAATCAAGGGAACACATGAAACGGATCCCACCAAGGCAACAAACTTATCCAAGTCCCTGGCGCCTAGGGCTGCAATCAAGCCACAGAGAACGACAATGCCTGTCCTGAAGATATTCTTCTTCCACTTCATGAGGAGGTCTCGATGACCAGATTTGTGGTGGAATAACCTTCCCTCCATGATCCGCAAAGCAGGAAAAAGCTGCACCGGGGTGCCCACAAGAACAGCTAGCGAGAAGAATAACCGGATAAAATTGACGAACTTATCCGACTGTGGAAAATTGCTGATGATATTGATCTTTGTCTGGCTGCCAAATGCCCCGTATGAGAGAATCCCAACAGTAGCGAAAAGGCAAGTAATAAGGGCCATGACAATGTAGAGGATGCGATCAAAATGGTCTGGTTGCGACATCGAAGATTGTATGGGGAGAATGAGGCCTATCCCTTCGAACATGAATATGGATGATCCGATCGTTAGGGTAAATGTCTTGGTGTCGAAAAGCTTGACTGTGGGCTCTAAGCCATGACGGGAAATTTCCGAAATATTGTAGTAGTATATGTAGCCAACGGCGATGAAAATGAAGACATCTGCAAGTAATGCCACTAATCCGAGTCGGGAGATTTTGCGAATAAAGGCAAGAGGCACGAGAACCACTAACTGCAGAGTGATAATTGTGGAAATGGACGGTGTGCTGAAGTTATAGGCTGCCACCCCCTCCACAAATGAACGCAGGTTCTGCGCAGTAAAAGCAATGGCGGCACACACGAAACCAAGCTGCGTAATTGTAATTGAAACGAGAATAAGGGAGCGAAGACGCGAGCCGGAAATCGATTCTCCAATATCGCCGTAGCCACCGCCATGCTGTCGTCGGCATTGAAGCAGCAAATGAAAAGAGGTGGTTGTTATTATCGAGACTGTGACGAGAGCAAAAGATGAAAAGAGTATGCCACCGTTGCGGAACGCCTTCGGGAGGAAAATGATGCCGGTTCCTATGAAGGCCTTGAGGAGTGTGAAGAAAGTTTTCATGTCTGACGCGTCCCCTTGGGAACTTTCACGACTGGCAAGCAATGGTCTTCTTTCCGGTTCTATTTCATCAAACGATGTTCCAACACTTTCAGCATCTGCCTCGTCTTCCGACTCGACTAGGTTTTCACCGGCGAATCTGCCATATAAGTCTAAGAACTCCACGAAGCTATTCGGTGCAGTTTTGTTGGTGAAGCCACGCTTGTTTCGCCATAAGAACTGCCGGCGAAACGCCCCTGGTTCATTGCGTATCGTGATATCGAGATTATCATCCATTTCTGGCCTGGGAGGGTGCGAGAATGTTGCTGCGCGCTGATCCAATCCGCCCCGTTTCGAGCGAGCTTCGATACGATAGAGGTCACGATGCGTATCGCCTCCTTGCAATTTGAGAGAGGACTGTCGGCTAGGTCCTATGAATGCGGATCGTTGGTTCCCATCGTGATCTGCAGCTCCCTTCCCCCGCACATCCTCATCATGTTCAATGATGCCATCGTAAGCCCCGGTAAATCGGGGATGCAGATGCCTAGAAACAACCTCTGCCTCGCTGTCGTTGAGGTTTTCTAGAGCTGGAGTATCCGCCATTGTGTTCCCCGAGCCGATACCTTGTCGCTTAACACTCTTTGATCGATAGTAATTGAGCGTGGATAGCACGCTGATTTATTGTGGTGATGTCGGTGGAGAATCCTTGGTAACCAGAGCCGGATTGATTGCTCACAGTCATGTGAACAGGGCTAGTATGACTTGATGTTATAACTGCACCTGTCTCGTCAGCGAAAGATATTGTCGCAGTACGTAGATATAAACGGTAAAATTACTTCATGTATGGGGATCCCTGAGTTTGTACTTTGTCCTGTATAAACACGTCCCGGTACCCTTACATGTCGCTCGACTGATCAGACATTGTGAAACGTGGTGCCCAGTATTAATATGGGATTCATAGCTCCTTTTCGTATTGTATGAGTAACATTTGTATGTCTTTTCTGTGTTGGATCCTTGCTTTGTCTATGGCGTATTTATGACGTCGGCATATTCGCAGCAACGAAGGTCAAGCTAATCTTTAGCGGCAGGTGATACACCAACTTTGTAGGCTTCTGGCCGTAACCAATTTCGCTAGTCCCGAAAAAGGTTTGCCCCATTTTATTTTCAATTGCTGAACCATGAACTTAAACGATTCCACCGGGCATAAAAAAACCATACATACATTCACCTCGAAGGACTGAATCCTGTCCTCGCCAAAAATGTAAGCAGTAGGAGAAAAATATCACTGAACTTGCATTGTCCTTTTAAGCAGGCATTTGCATGCGATGAGAATGATCCAACCATGACGCAATATCGCAGGCCAAGAATAAGTTGACAGGCCATCGGCATCTAGAACCACTAGCGAATGACAAATCTTGTTTACGGGAAATGGCCGCCCATTGGAATGGAGCAAATGGATGATTGGCAGCTTCCGCTGTGACAATACATAAGTTTGGCGGTTTATCTCGGTTTATCGCATACGAGATTTACCCGCATTGGCAGTTGGCTCACCACTTGATGGAACCGAATTGATTGAGACTCTAGGACCTACAAGGCGATCTCTTTGTAGTAGCCGTCGCGAGTATGTTTAAAAAATGTATTGAAGGTTCTTTGGCAGGTAGGTGATTATCGACGTTAGTCAGTCCTACCGCCACCATTATGTATCAGCCTAGACAATAAAGTTAATTGAACAGGACTGAAAGGAAACGGTGTTCGTAGGATGACAGAACCTCTTAACGATGGCATGGTACGTACAATATTCTTACGACACGAAGCGATTGTTCCATTATTTAGTAGATGGATCAAACAGCAGTTTTATGATACGTGTACTTCTAATCAGCCGCCATTAACCTGCACGATCTTCAACACGCCCTATTATCTTATTGGTATCGAGAATTCACAGTGCAAGTACTGATAAGTCAATGTCAAGGTGATCCGCTATATCAGGAGCCCAGCTTACTACCATATAGATAATTCCTGGCTTCCGATTAGTCTCAATCATCCACGATCCTAGCAAGAATGGGTCATGACGTTGCGCCGTTGAATCCTCCCTGCCAATTCTCTATCGTCACATGCTACGTAAGTTCCCTGCTTTCCATCTAGATATCCGTTAATATGCTCGCCGATAGTACATAAAAGCCGACTCCGCCACGTATTTTAACCTGAACTTGTTAATCTTCCAGCGACGAAACTGTTCTACCGATTCGCTACGATGCCCGAAGTAACTACTAAGAACGCCGAGGAATCCCGTGAAAGAAAGCTAAACATCAAGACCGCTGAAGAGGACAATGAAACTGTGGTAATTGCGAAGAATAGCTATATTACGAGCAGGCGGCTGTTGGCTGTGTCCCTCGCAAAGATAGATAACCCAGGTGTTGCGCGAGCAAATGCAGCAGTGTCTGTGGAAAAACCCGAGGGCGACCTTGAATGGGCGAGGAAAAATGACGGCTACGTATGATTTTTGCGATTGTGGCCATTGGCGCCGTTTTAATGCTAACGAAATGAAGACACCTCTTCAACAACACATTCTTTTCTGGGATCGCGATGGCGATGGGATGATTTTCCCTTGGGATACATACAACGGGTTTCGAGAACTAGGTTTTAATATTATCTTCTCGATCCTTGCGACCTTTATTATCAACGTCAACTTTTCGTACCCCACACGCCTGGCATACTCGTGGTTCCCCGATCCCTATTTCCGCGTGTACTTGACGAGCATCCATAAAGCGAAGGTTTGTTCTTAAGCTATCGCTATACATTGGCGGCGATGATGAAGCTGATTTTCCTAGCACGGATCGGACAGCGGCACCTACGATCCAGAAGGTCGCTTTATACCGCAATTGTTTGAAAACTTATTCTCAAAATGGGATAAGGATGGTGATGGCGCCTTAACTCTTCGAGAGCTATTTCAGCTAATGCACGGCCATCGATGTGTTGCTGATCCTTTTGGGGTACGCTTTATCCTTCGATCCTGGTAGCAAGCTTTCGCTTTGGTTTGCTTTAGTACTGATCATTGCGCAGTGGAGCGCAGCCTTGTTTGAATGGGGGACAACTTGGCTCCTAATTCAGAAGGACAGCAAAGTCTACAAAGAGGATTTACGGGCAGTATATGATGTATGACAGCCAATTATTGGCGATGCGTGATGACACGGCTAATATCTGCTAGGGGTCATTATTCTGGCGAATTCGCGAAGCAAGACAGACTCCAACTGGCTGGGCGCAGGGCTGGGGTTTAGGAGGCGATGGGTTTATCGGAGGGACGAAAATGTTCCAATAGTCAAAGTGGTAGATGGCAGTGGAGTTTGTCACAATGGGGCTGTCAACCCAAAATGACCGTTAGGCCACAAAAAGTGTGAACACACAGGTTGGGCTTCAAACAGTACATCTCAGTATCCTTTTATATCGTCAGGGACTAGTACCCTGATTAGTCAGGACACGAAAGTAACGTGCTTTCGATAATCGGAGAGGAATTATGTTGCTCTTTCAGAAACCCATGAATGGTCCGGTCCGTCTTTCTACCCCGTGTAATTCATATTTTGCGTACAAAGGCATGCCGACTGCGGATTAATAGGGCGAGGAGCGAGTAAGACTAGTTCGTATGACTGACTATCAAACTTGAAACTTTACTTTGCCCCAAATTTGTACATGTATTGGTACTAAATACTCCGTTCTAGCCGTAAACGCTGTTCACCGATCGAGGCGTCTTGGCCGGCAATCAGTAACCTGTCCTACCTGTGTATGCATTTTCATTCCGCTAACCTAACCTTTTCACTTCTCAGTTGACTGACGCAACCATGTCCTTGATTCAGCGTTGGATCACAAAGCCAGGGCCCACAACCAGACTTCTAGAAAGTAACAACTCGCATATATTCACATAAGGTACAATGAGGCATTGACTTATATAGCGTACGTTTCAATTACGATAGGATCTCTCCAAATGCCCCCATTAAGCCTAGCTAACAAAGCAATCAAAAGGTCTACTGATGATCCTCAGGCCCCATAGGCTTCTGGCTAGCCTTCTCCACGTTCTTTCTTTTAGCCTCTGCCGACTCGCTAGGATCATTCTTGATTTGTGCATCGGATGCCGTTTGTTCTTCACCTTCGTGAGATTCGCTGCCTAGTTCCGTCTTGTTTGAAGAGGAAATTGGGGACTGAGTAGAGCGTGTATCGGGCGTGTCGGAATGCCGGCCTTCCAAGCCTCGAGATTTATTGATGGCTTGAGATTCTGGCGAGCTGGCAACCGGGTTGCTCACTTTGGATGATTGTGAGGCGGAGCTGGCATAGGATCTCGCCAACGGGGTGTTACCTGGATGTGCTGTTAGCCAAAGAGTTTTTCAAGAAGCAAATACCTTACACGATGTGTTTCCGAATGAAATGCGCGGTTTCGCACGTACAAGACGGATAGCGTTGATGGCCATATCGATTATATGATTTCAATTAGTCACGAAGGCCGTTTTGATAGTGAATGCTTTTGACGTGGCAAACGATGCTTCTGTTATTTTCTGACTCTTATAAAAACATTCCGTAGTCACTACTTATTCAGTATCGACCAGTGTAGGGTGACGTCAATACCAAGCTCGATCTCTATCTTATGATGTAAGAACTCATTCATTCTCACAATCCAGCTTAAACACCACATTAAAGAACTAAGAGTGGTCCAATTCACGAGTAATTGCGGAGAAATTCGTCGAAATGGGGTATTTTTTCATTACCACTTTCAACCACCAATAAGGTAAGCCGCCCGACAACGAAGTGAGACGAGTTTGATACTTGAAGGTCTTCAGATATTCCGCAATTGAATTTCTCATTGGCTCTGTAGCTGACCATAATAGCTGATGTTACACACAATTGCCACCGCAGGACTGCAAGAACCATGTAATTGTTATTTTCGGAGTCCTTTTCCGCCACTTTCTCTACTTCAGTACTATTCGGTACCATGATGGTAATAATCATCACTTTATTTTAACAAGTCTTTTCATACCACTTTTGTGTCACCGCTTCTATTGCGACTGGAATTTGCTTATAGCAATTTTTTCTCGATCGCCTCCTACCTGGGACGGGCCCGTCGCTGGCTCAATTCACGCGTAAGGTTTAATAAATATTCAAACTTTCGTCTATTATAACATGTAATGTGAGATTTACTTTAGAAAGTCATGAATGACAACGCGTCAATATAAAATCAGGCTGGTCATCAAGTCTGGAGCATCATTTTGAATACGTTGAATTTGAAGTTTGGTGCTGTTATCTGGAAACAAGCTGGAGAGAGAAGATGATGTCACAATGAAACCTCAACAGAGCTTGGGCTTTATTTAACTCAGGCGTATTGGACTCGACGCTTCTTTGTTCTCTGTTTCACACCTCTCTCTGCTGCCTCAAATTGTCTTCGATCATGAACTTCGTTCGCCAACCGCTTTTGCGCCCCGCAATGCAACGGCCTTTTTGTATCAGAAGGGTTAGAATTCCGTCACCTCTGCCAAAGGATGCTCGGAGATCCCTCGCAACCACTAAACCGAGTGAACAACAAGGTGATAGCTCCAAATGGTGAGGTTTTTTTTTTTTTTTTTTTTTTTTTTTTTTTTTGGAAATATCTCATCCTCGGACAATTTTCCAACGCTAATACGCTCATCAGGATAATGGTCTCTATTGCTTTGGGTGTCCCTCTATCAATCTACCTATGGCGTAGAGGCGATACGAAGAAGCCGAACAATGATGCCGTTGGCGAGCATCGTGGAGCAAATCAAGAGTATACACAAAACGCGGAGGGCAACCAGAGTATTGAGCGACAACATTCCGACACCAATTCCTCTGCTCATGATGAGGTTCGTTAACCCCATTTTTGTTCTCTCCGCATATGTATCACTTCGGCGTCGATGCAAACTACTCTCGCAATCCAACGATGCAGGCTGTTTAGTGACCGGGCCTCTAACTTTTGCATAGCCTCGAGCCATGGGTTCTGCTAAAGGCCCGACAAGCATGTCATTCAAGCAACAGGGCCTTTCTAATGCCGATACCATGAACCCGTACATCAATGAGTCCGGCAAGAGTCAGAAGGGGGAGGGGGAGACGGAGACTGCAAAGGTAAAGGGCACTGTTAAGCCTGACCGACCGCAAGCGTGAGAGATGACGTCAGATATATCCATGTCCATCCCTGTAATTTTAACCCACGCTAGTACTATCTATTAGGGAGTGATAAATATATGTCTATACCTTTTCCACTCATGAAGATAAGACTTGAGCACAGTAACCAATTTACAGACTGAGCCCCACCGTACCCTGCGACGTCAGAACGAAAAGCGCTGATTCTCTTGGGCGGCGGAGAGCTATATGAGATAGCACTTTTATTTCTATGTGAGAACTCAACTGACCTTGAGATTCAGGATTGTACATGGAAACTTCCTCAATCATAGCCACGTGAATGAAGTGAGTGTAGGTCGGATTGAACATGTATGAAGCCTTGATGAGGCGCGGATACCCTATCCAATTCCAATATATCACGATTCTGGTCCATCCCAATTTCAAGTTTCCTAACTGTCGAGATAACATAAGGCTTACATCTGTAGCGTCCAGCTCTGTAGCCATCAGAATGGCCCATTTGCGTTCAACCCCCTTTTGGTCGATTATCAGAGTCGATATTCTGTACCAAGTGCCTAATATGCAGCTGTGAGCCCTGCAGGCTCTGCTGCAATGACCAATAGATCAATGTACAAAACCAGTTTCTTTCAACTTAGTTCTATGGAGAGAGAATGTAGAAGACCTATTGATCATCCACAGGCCCCATGGACTGCTGCCTCAATAATAGTCCTCTCGCGTACATAAGTAGAGCCGGGCAGAAACTACCAACCATACGATTTCAAATGTAGCAACCCGACACGTTGTATTACACCATACCTGCTGCACAATGAATCTCTGAATTTTCTAAGCCGTATACATTAGTACTTAATCGGGTTCTCGAAATATGAATCTTGTATCTTCTCTTTAGAGTACACCGTCGTATTGCAGGTACGGGCATTCCGAATGCCTTCCACTGAATCTTGAATGTAGAAACCGTATTTAGATAATAGTGAATTGGGCCATAAGTTTTACTGACCGGCTAAGATCGGTCCATGGTTAAGGCATTTTACTTTGTCTACAGAAAGAACTGGCCATAAGTTTCCACTTTTATTTCTCGGTAGCTGTTTTAGCCCGGGAACAGAATAAGCGAAACTCCAAGGCTGAAATGAACTAAGTCAGAACTCCATAGATCTACAGTAGATATTTCGGCTCGCGCAGTTTCCCACTGAGCATGTGTTTGTTTCAGTCATAACAAAATTGAGCTCCGTATCTGATTGCTTCCTCCTGTGGGCAGGATTACGTATAAGCCTAGTAATATTCTATTTTACGATTGCCTCACTTCAATTGAACCTGGCGATGCCTGCTTTCTGCAAAACAAAGCTTTTATTCACCTACCAATAGAACGACGTGTCTCCTGACCCATTCTAAAACGCCCTTCCCTCCACCCGCCTCACCCATCGCAGTGCTATCCTTGGCAAAGAGTGACATGCAATTGCTCACGTCTCTATTTAGCGAAGCATCTTTGTCGGAATCTGCGTTAAAAGTACGTCAATATCCATCAAGCTGCCTCAGCCTAGTATCAGTTACGGTCCTGTTAGTGGGTTGGGTCACAAACTCCAAATGAGTTGTTTAGAGCTGATCGATAATACTCCAGATGACACATACTCATGCGCTACTATCGCCGCCACTTGCCTTGGATGTAGGACCTACTACTAGGTGTTTCCGTGAGCGGACAGTGTTGCACGGTAGGAGAAACGGCATACAAAAGTTAATGACACCTGGATTGAAAGCAACTGTAGGGCGGAAGCAGGACAAGCATATTTAAAATTTCGCGTTGGCTTTCGCAGTCTTATCGGATTAATCGGTTCCAGGCCAGCGAGACCTCTAGGCTCCCCCGTACCTGTCTGATGTGAGCGAATAAACTTTGCAGAGCTTAACTGCGCTAAACATAGTAGGTGACTTTGTGGAAGTGGGCCCCGACATCAGATTCGTATATGGCCAAATTTCAAAATGTGCACTAGTTGTTTATAGACATTGTTGCTTGGCGAGCCTTGTATGGGTAACCTTTTTGTTCCCGATCGGGTAATTTTCTGCCTTGTCTGTATTAAGACCTGAGCCGATCTACGGTCTTGATTCTTGGCGATGGAGGGTTTCGGGCGGGTTGTGGCGAATCTACTTCTAAGTGATCTCATCCATCGCAATAGAGCGGAGCGTCGAAATGTACGTCAAACGTCAAACTGGCTTCCGAACAATGGAATAGAAATATGTGAAAAAGTTATCAAGAAAATGAACCCAAGTATACGTAGTTTCTTGCCAAGGTTGCAGTTAACCTGTATATATCCCGCTAATATCGTCATCTAAAGGGCCTAAGATCCATCTGTGAACATGAGCAGGTTTCAATTGGCGTTCCTTGATTTTTTCGGATTGGTTCGCTGCATCCAAAAGATATGCTTGAAACGAACTTAAGGTACTTGATCTTTTCTCTATGACATATGCCAAGCTTTACGACATACTAGCTCTGAAGCAGGCTTACAGAATACAAATTCCCATCGGCGTCCGGGGAAGAACATCATTCAAGTTACACTAATATTTGATTGAGATTGAAAACAATGGCGCCCCATACTCAAAACCAGCGGAAGCTCATAATTGCCTCAAACCGCCTCCCACTTTCCGTCAAGCCCAAGGACGGCAGTTACGAGGTGACTACATCGAGCGGGGGCTTGGTGACTGCCTTAAAGGGTTTGAGTCATTCTGACTACCTGTGGCTAGGCTGGCCAGGGGTGGAAATCAATGAACGGGACAGAGGTAGTGTTGATGAAGCCTTGGCTAAAGAAAATGCCGCTGCAGTATATCTGGAGGAGAATTTGGCTCAGAATCATTATAATAGATTTTCCAGTACGTGGCCTATATTTTTTGGTTCTATTTTACCACGTTACTAACCAGGTATAATTAGATGGTGTTCTGTGGCCCACGCTACATTATCAGTCGGAAGTTTCCTTTGACAACGAGACGTGGGACGCGTACCAGCGTGTCAATCAGATCTTCGCTGATCGGATCAGTGAGGAGGCGGCGGATGGTGACTTAATATGGGTGCACGATTATCACTTACTCCTGGTACCACGATTACTGCGTGATTGTCTACGCGCGCAAAACAAACGGTGTCCTATAGGCTTTTCTCTTCACACTCCCTTCCCAGCAGATGACTTCTGGAGAGGCCTTCCTGTTCAAAAACAGCTGCTTGATGGTGTCCTTGGTAGCGACATCATTGGCTTCCATACGGACGAGTACAAGGCGAACTTTTCTGGCGCTTGCGGCTCTCACCTGTAAGACTCAGGAAGTGACATTCGCATGACAAGTGGCTAACTTTATCAGTGGAGCTGGAGTTGAAGGCAGCAATATCCACTACAACGGTCGTACTATTCGCTTTGATAAATACGTCGTGGGGATTGATTGTGGGAGATTCGCTGATACAATCGCGGAACCTGAGGTTCAGACTAGAATTCAAGAGCTCGAGGCGCAATATAAGGATAAAACGATCATCATTGGCGTGGATCGCATGGACTATACAAAGGGCTTGCCTGAAAAAATGGAAGGCTTCCGAGTCTTTCTCGATGAACACCCCGAATTGAGCGACAAGGTTGTGTTAATTCAGATCGCCATTCCGAGTCGTGAAGATGTCAAGAAGTACCAGGAGCTAGAGGCAGAAGTGAGCAAGCTTGTGGGCCAAATCACTGGCAAGTATGGTAAGTGGCTCCGGAAATCCATCCGACTCGATACCTGCAAGTTCCGGGATTGGTATCTGGCAAATCTATGGATCTCATGCTAAAAGTAATCAGCTACACCCCAATCGACACCATTGCTTTACATCCACCGCTCAGTCTCCTTTGCGGAGCTTACAGCTCTGTACTCGGTGTCTGATGTCTGTCTTCTCACTTCACGCCGGGACGGGATGAACCTTGTTGCTTCCGAGTACGTCGCTTGTCAAGAGGCCCGACACGGCGTATTGGTACTCTCTGAATTTACCGGTGCAGCAGCCTTCATGAAACACGGCAGTCTGTTGTTCAATCCTTCTAATGCAGATGGGCTCTCGAATGCACTTTACGAGGCTGTTACAATGGAGGAGAAAGACAGGAAGAAAATGTATGAAGAGTTGCGGAGTTTCGTCACCACTAACACTAGGTTAGTTTTTTCCTTTTTATTTCCCCTTCTTTTCACGCTCCCGTCTTCCCAACATCCTCATCTCCCACCAGAAGTCCGTCAGGTCTAGTAATTAGCGAAGCTAACAACCATTTCCTTCAGTACGAAATGGACCGAGACGTTCCTTGGAGATTTGATGAGACTGCGGGAATAGAGAAATAGATAGCTTTTAGAGTAGTTTCAATGGTCGTTGACACTGCAACTGGCGCGGTCGGAACGTAGCACTGCTTCATTTATATATTCAACTCTCGCAGGTCAGTCAAGTTAACGTCCAGATTCATGAGCATTCTAGCGAGGATGTGGACGCTATCGGTAGACACCAGTGCAGTGTAATGTTCCGTATTGATAGACTAGACCACGTTCTCGATATTTACGTTTTGGTCCACTGAGTGATGCCCGAAACAGGCTCGCTGTTTTAATTTGGCGCAATCTTCAGCAGGACACTTGCGTGCGAAACATTTGACTTATGAAATTAAGAGCGCCCTCCGTGAATTTAGCTTCCGAGACCTCGATCCGATCGTTAAAAGAGACTTACCTACAATCGTGTTATCTTTAAAGCCCTATCAGACCATGACGTTCGCTTAAAACAACAAATGTTTCTACTAGAGCCTTGTAGGGTTCTCTACTTCCTACGGTGCAGTCATTCAAAGCTGGTTCGTACCGCAATGAAATAGTATCTTTACATATTATACTTATCTACTCACCGTTGCATACTTTTATGTACAGTTCAACCAAGGTGGAAAGGCGCTCCCGAGCTACCAGTATGCAATTTACTTAATAGATCGCACCTTTCTCGATCTCGAAGAAAAGCTATCAAAAAAGCACAGATTGATCTAAAACTACCACTCGTACTTTCTGGGAAAATAGTAAAAGCTTGAAGGTTGTGGTTGATGACAATATGGTCTAACATCTCCCAGAGGGGCAAATTATGACTACAGATATATTGATATACCACGCAAACAGAATTGGCTCGGGCTCCAACCCCTCTGTGGCGAGAGTAAAGTTCGTGTCCTAAATTCCTCCTGTTCATTGTGAACACAAGAAGAGGGAGCTAAAAATAAAGCCAGTTGGGTGATTACGAATCCTCAATCAATCATTGTTCATCTTCGCGCAATTGGGCTCCTGATGGTGCCTCCTTTCCTGTCCGCCTTCCCAGCGCACGGACAAAGGAGCTGTGCATGAATGTACGGGCACTCCCGCTTGAATGTACACTGGTCATTGGTAGGGACACAACATGTTGCCACGCAGCCCATCATCTGGCTCGGGCTGTTGGTAGGAGCCGTTCGAGTTGTGGTTTATGGCCTGCGCTCCTTACGGAGTCTCTCTCCATGACGTTATGGTTACGCTTCACCTCCTGTAGCTTGTTTTGTGTGGATTAAACGAGACGGTGGGTGATGTCTTACGGTTGTCGATGGACTGGCGGACCTCCTTGGTCCAAGGTACAGTCCTGCGAACTAGTGGTTTAAACGTGTTGAAAACGTATAAGTTATCCATCAAACCGGCGAGGATGTCTTCTTTTACGGGGAACGATCGACAGCGCAAAGCCCTCAGAGAAAGAGATTGATCAGTCGCTCGGTGTTTGTGGGAGGGGCCTCAGGAGATCCCGCTGGATCTATCCATCGGTTCAGGTTATTTACCACTCGGTACACAACACGATAATTTTTCGCAATATTGTCAACCACATCGTTGTCCTCTTGCTGTGCTTCGCTGTACGGTATTCACTGCTAACGATAATTGGGTCTTTGCTATAGTACCGTAATTCTTCGCAGAAACTGATGGAATCTTCCGTGTAAACAGACACATCTAACCACCTGGTAAGATTCTCTCCTGCTCGGTACATAGTCTTCTCGTCATAGGTACCGTTTCTCTTGAGCGTCATTAAGGTCGAACCACACAACCTTTTCTGAGATCCTACTTTCTGTGGTGCGACAGGACCGTCTCAGAATGTGAAATTGTCTATGTAGCAGGACTCAACTTTCTAAGCGCAACGGCACGTGATAGGTGATGCCTCCACAATAGACCTGTAGAATATTGAGGCTGATCTGTTCCTGGTATTGCCTGTAATTGGGCGTTCTCCGGAAGAGTGAGCCATCCACTTATAACCAAGTGGGTAATGCTAGCAGGTATAACTGGATGATGTCACTCTTATCCCTTATCCCCGAGAATATCTGCCCTCTGCCGTGCCCCACCGATCATGCACACCACACACCGCATTCCACCGTTGCAGCCCGCCCTCTATCTGTCTCGCTCTCTTCTTTGCTCAGATCCAGTCAGCCTATCCTCTACTGGTCTACCCTCTGGTAAATACGTCTTGTGCGAAAATATCATCGCCCAGATACGCTGCTCACTGACCCCTTTTCTTTTTCTATTTTTGCTCTCTATCTTCACTCTATTTTCGGTTTTGAGACATAGCCTATTCTGCTCACGGTATTCACACGGTATAACAATACCAACTGCTAGTTCGAAGATGCATAGCAAGGATGGCACGGGCTCTCACTAGCGGTCTTTCGGCTCTTACCATGGACGATACGGGCACGCTAGTCAACCAGCCTCTTGTCACGAAGTCTCTAAGAGATGAGATAACGGCACCGGCAGCCTCCAATCGGAGCTCGAACTCTGAACAGGAGAAGAAGATAGAGACGGAGATTCCACACGAGAACAGATGCCCAGGGTTCGACGCTGCCTTGGGTCGGATCTATCGTTATACCCCGATTCCTACCTTGATTCTCGATGAAGATCTGTGTGTCGTGGAGGTTTCAGACAGTCATTGTACCTTTTCGGGTCAATCTAGGGATGTAATGATAGGCACTTGTGCCTGCAACCTTCCGGTCCACACCATCCCGGCGCCTGACACCCCGACTCTGTACGGGGCGTTACGTGCAGCTATCACCTCGAAAGAGGTTCAAGTCATGGAGAAAATACACGTCCAAAACGAAAACTCGATTTATCAGCTTCGCATAACGCCGGTTTTCGAGAAGTCGTCGTTGATCTATGTCATATTGGAGGCCCAAAGCACTTCGAAACATCACTGGGTAGCGACTGATGAACAGCACGCTTACACAAACGAAACATACAAGATCCTTGTCGATACTGTGAAAGATTACGCCATCTTCATGCTTGATACCCAGGGCAACATCGCTACATGGAACCCTGGCGCCGCCATCCTAAAACAATACACTCCCTCGGAAATCGTCGGCAAGCACTTCTCTATCTTCTACAGTCCTGAGGACCGCGATAGAGATAAACCAGGTAGGGGTCTACGTCTGGCTCTACAGAAAGGACGAATGGAAGATGAAGGCTGGCGGTATCGAAAAGATGGATCTCGTTTCTGGGCCAACGTGATGATTACGCCCATTTTTCAGTTTGGTCGCCACGTTGGCTTTGTCAAGGTCACGCGTGACCTCACGGAACGGAAGGCGGCGGAGACACGCATGGTCGCAGCCTTCGAGGAGTCGTCGAAGATGAAGACAGATTTTTTGGCAAACATGAGCCATGAGATCCGGACCCCCATGAACGGTATGCAGCTTGCGCTCGCGATGATGAAGGACACCGACCTTACCGCCCAGCAACTCGAATATGCTTCGATCATTGAGGATTCAACGTCGGTTTTGCTCCAGATTATCAACGACGTTCTCGACTACTCGAAGCTCTCCTCCGGTTCTTTTTCTCTCTGCTCTGATATCGTGGATATCAAGAGCATCTTAGATGCTGTCATGCGCAACTGCAGGTCTCTCTTAAAACCTGGGGTTGTTCTTGATTGTTGGTTCCAACCCGACTTACCTAAAGTTGTGCGTGGCGACCCTTTACGGTATCGTCAAGTCGTTCAGAATATGCTTGGAAACGCGGTGAAATATACGGAATCCGGCTATATTCGGCTCTCTGCTACTTTCTCACTCGACGAATCAGATCCACAGGCATACATAGTTACGACGGAGTTTGCAGATTCTGGAGTTGGGATTCCCGAATGTGCTATCAATACTCTCTTCACCCCTTTCACGCGATTTGCCGACTCGGAGGCCCAGAAGTACCAAGGCACTGGCCTTGGTCTTTCTATATGCAAGAGTTTAGCGGAGCTTATGGACGGCACAGTGGGCTATAGGCCTGGTCCAGAAGGCAAAGGCAGCGTGTTCTGGTTCACGGCCAGAATGGGTCGCGCAGACATAGGGTATTCAAAAAAGAAGCCTATAATACCTCCAACCGACGATACAAAGGACCTTTTGAACAAAGTGCGGGAGATCGCGCCACGCAAGCATATTTTACTTGTCGAGGACAATCTTGTCAACCACATGGTAATGCTCAAGCTTCTTCAAAGTCTGAATTTTGAGCGCATCGATGTAGCATGGGACGGGGAGGAGGCCGTTCGACATGTCAAGCAGACGCCTTTGTCATACAATGTGGTCCTCATGGACATCAGCATGCCAGTGCTAGATGGACTGGGAGCGACGTCGCAGATCAGAGCTATGGGCGTCGACGTGCCTATCATTGCCCTCACGGCAAATGCGCTAAAGGGAGATATGGAGACATATATTGCTAAGGGAATGGATGATTATATCGCAAAACCGGTCCACCGGGACAAGTTGTTGCAAGTCCTTTGGAAGTGGATGGGGGCTTGACAAGACTCATATTGAATCATAAATAAAGTACATTAAGATGGCCGTTTCATCTATCATGCATGCTTTTTGGCAGAATATTTACCTCTTCTCCTTTTCTAGCTCAGGAGGAAGGAAAAGTGTGATTGTCCACATCCTTGAAATATTTACTCAGACTGCACGTTGTCTTGCCTTGACAGAAATGTCTTGACTACGTCATCTAGAGCTGCTTCTCAATGGCAGCCTTGTCAGAGAAGTTGGTCAGATCACGTTATGAACGGTCTATATGAACCGTAGTGTCACCAGTCCTCAACCCGCGGCCCCTGTGTCCCCGGTGATTGAGGGGGACATTCTATCGCGTACAACTTCGATATTCACTCCGAAGGATGAAACTGATGCGTTACCTATGACGAGAACGTATAGTTTCGGGCCGTCTTCACAGACCTGAAGAAGCTGAGAAGTTGAGAAATTTCGGAACACAATCCTATCCGCTAAACCGCGGAAGACACTCGAATCATGATCCATACCCTGGTATATCCGCGTAATTTTTGATATCGCTTGTCGCCATGAAACCTTCATACCTGTTTGGGCCCATGCCAAAGTCTGAACAGCATGTCTGCCTGGACCGAGCCCCTGGCCTCCTGGCCATCTTGTCAATCCAGTTTCATTAACCTTAACTAGGTGGTACGACTGGAAATTCGACCAGGAGATGCATATTTCATACGAATGAACAGTTCGTTCTCTGGCATACTGTCGAGAAGACTTTTTAGACTAATATCAGCATTAGACGCTCTACTGATGCTAGAGGCTGTAATAATGGTGTGGACCTCATCCCCGAGGCGCAAACGTACATTGTCAATGGGCTCGAGAAGATATACTCAAAAGGCTTCGGCAGGCTATACAATGTGGGCCTATCGAGTTTTGAACTTCTCGCAGATTGATTGCGCTTCTCGGGCCTTACTCTATTAGAATGTACTAACTAATTGATATGACAGCGCCTTTCGGGGGCCTCTGTCTGTTGTGAGTCGACTGGGCGAGGGCGCTGGATGAAAACGTATGCTGAAAAGGATTGGGCCTGCAGCATACATTTTCGTGTAGATCACCTGGATACACCAAGAGCCTCCATGAATCCGTCACTGGTAAGCCCCTAGGCCAATTCTGTAGGCATCCAACCACAATGGTAACTAACTAAGAAATACTATAGAGGAATGCCCAATTAGATGTTGCTTGTATGGCTTAAATCCCTAGATTTCTGTTTCCAGCAACCAAAGTAACTTTTGAGACTAGGACACCTCAACCCTCGCCATGTATCCAGCGTACTGTTTACAGATTTTTATAATTCCGCATCAAGTGTTACTTCCTTACTTCCGTCTTCCTCATGTGCTTGCGCGAAAAGGGAATCCATAACCAACAGCTCCCTTACGGCAGGCCGCCGCTCGATGTCATGCATTTCCAAGATAACGGGTAACAGACTTGGCTGGTTCCATCAACGCTTCAGAATCGCTCTTTATTCCGTGGAAAGCGAAGCGCAACCAGGAAAATTGGCTCCTATTACTTTTTATGAAAACTTTCCCAGCGTCTGGCAAGGATATAAACCGGGATGTCGTCTCGTATCGATGTGTTTTCCCACCAAGTATGCTTTTAGCATTCGGACTGCCTTCAAGCCTTACCGAACATTTTTATAAGGCGTTCTTTGAAGTGCACTTCCAATAATTTCAGACAAAAGTTGCTTGAAGGACAGGCCGTTTATCTTCGCCGTCGCTGGTAGTGGCGAATGATCTGGAAGAAGGCCAGCGATAGGATTCACCTACATAACCATGAATACATGAGTACTTTTCGTCGGATATCATGAGGATTGTTATACTTACCTCTAATACGTTTGGGATAGCGCCTGGCTTGTCTGAATCAAAGCGAATGTCGACACGCCCACTATCACGACAGTTGAAGGCTTTCCAAGTATGTAAAGCAACCTGACAGGCAGCTTTGATTTGCGGTTCGTCCATGTCGTGCGAATCGTTATACAATAAAATCTTACCTCCGTTGCTAGATTTGCTCTCTCTGCTAGCAAAATCCAGCGCACGATTGGTGTGGTAACCATTCTTGTTGCTGTGATCGGGGGACATTTGCCAGATATGCTCTCTGATACCTATCACTCGGCTATGCAGCCCCGTTCCCAGTATGCTCACTGTAAATTCCCGGCCCGACAAAAAGGATTCCACAAGGATATCCTGGCTCGGAAATTTGTGAGCTAATTCCCGTACGGCCAGTTTTAATTCCGCAAGGTTTTTCACTTTGTTGAAACCTTCGATTCCTTTCGAGGAACCTTCGGTGCCCGGCTTGACAAATAGCGGATAAGATGGCAGTGCTGCGAAATGCTCAGGGAAGTCCGCCGCGCCGTCCAGCATGGGGATCACGGTAAAAGGCGCATTAGGGATCATATGACGATCTAGGATAATCTGCTTTCATGCATTAAATAGACTGAATTGAAACACCTGGGATTTCCCCTTGGTACCTTAGTGATTGGCTTGTTCTGGCACAATGTCATTGTCGCAGCATCGCTGAATGTGTAAGGAAGTTGGTACGCTTCCAAGACCGCCGGCACCTGCGACTCCCTCGCAGAACCATGAAACCCTTGCGCCATATTAAATACCAAATCCCAGCCCTTATCCTTTCCTGCAGCTAGTAGCTGGACCAGAAACTGAATGCCAGGTACCAGCGTGACATGGTGACCCAGACGCTCGAGTGTAGTCCTGACAGCATCGATTTCATCATCGTGGGTGAGAGCCGCGCACTGCTCTTCTGAATAACCGAGTTGAAGGTAGGACGACCTTTGCTCGAAGACCAGAGCTATATTGAGGCAAGACATACGCACACCGTCCATCCTGTGACTGAAAAGCAAGTGAATGGGGCCGCGGCTAGAGCAATCGCTGGCTTATCATCAACTTAGTACTAACTTTATCGTTGCCAAAACCAATGTTGGAATGGCGATTGAGTTAGACATGAGCGAAGTATTCTGAGCACAGAACATGTTGTTTTAAATCTTCAATATTTGCGCAAAAATAAAGTCAAACGTCATGACTCGCATTCCTGCTTTGACTTGTTTTCCTGTCATTGAATGCAGGGAAATTATATAGTGATGACGTGACGGTATACCGAAGCGTAAATTTCCGTCAGGAAAACTACTTTGTGAATATACCGACATATCCTCTCTCCTAGACAGTGACAACTGAATTCACTAAATTGACTAGGCGACAGTAGACCGTGACATTTCTCTGCACACATTTACTTCTTTGCTTACTGTAGCTAATTTACGATCCTAGTCGGTCGATTTTTTACCGCCATCATCGATTCGAAACGGCCAGTACTTGCACTACTATTTATTTAGAGCAACTAGAAAGAGGGCATACAACCCCACATATATTCATACACATTTGAATAACCCATATTGGAACTACACATAATGACAGCCGTGGCGCCGCAACTGTCAGCGCCGAGCAAGCAAAGCAATCTGAATGAAATCACACGGCAGCCATACAATACCGCCAATGACAGAAGAGACGACAGACACAAACTGAGCGCAGACACCGCGAAACAAACGAAAAGAACCCAGTCCATTAGCACAGCTCAACTTTTTACTAGGGAAGAAGAAGCATGTCGTACCACGAACATGATTTTTCAACATGCCGAAGCTGAACAAACCAATTTCCAACTCGCAACAATAATTCAGAGCATCCTCGAAGTCATTCAATTCTCTATCTCAGCCCCACATGTCCATGCAGTCCTTCGGTGGCATATATGCGCGTATGAAGAATCAGTCACCGAGCAGGAGGTATGCAAAGTTAGACACGCATGTTGCCGTTCTCCAATCCCATATAGTCACCCTTCCAAAACATCTATATACCCCGAGACGTCTTTTCTCTACCAACGATGACTGAAAATAATGATCTTGCAGGCTCTATTCGCAGACTGACAATCCTTTTGTGAGGTTGACAGTGTCGTATGTGCTTTGCTGATTGATACGCCAGGTGCGCTTCGGACACAGTTGGGTTCTTTTTTAGGTGCCATATTAACTAAACTGGATTCCTAATTCTTGCCATGGCTGCTGGTACTGTCCAAAGACACTCAGGTCCATCGTTTTATCCCCGCTTTTCTCTCATCTCAACGGTCCAAAAATGCTTGAGAAGTAACTCTCTAAGCCAGACGTGTCCTCCATACTACCTATCCATGCGACATGCTGATCCGGCCGACACAGTACGAGACAACCTGATCCTCCCTTATCAATGCCGTATCCTTTGTAAGCTTGATCCCTATCATCAGCGAACGCCTTCCAGTAGTCCCACCCCATAGTATCATCAAACGGGTGGAAGAGCTCTGGAAGATCAAGCAGATTGACTGCGCTCCTGGGGCATGACTGTATGAGAAGCAATTCAATGATATGGCAGCGCCATTCCGGAGCTGATATGTGTTGTAGGTGAGCGAGGTAAGAGCTTTTGCTGAAGATGTTCGCAAAATTGACCAGAGCTTTCATCCTCTCCGGTTGGCGTAGATCACCCGGAAACACCAGGAGCCTCCATAATCCGTCACTCGTAAGCCTCTGTGCCAAATGTGAAGGCGCCCCGTCGCACAGATAAACAACAAGGAAAGATGGTAAACGCATGCCCAATGTTATATTGCTTGCAAGGTTTGAATCACCGTCTTTTCCTCCCTCGGTAATCAAGATGCTATGAGTATATGCCACGTCGACCCCTGCCATAAATCCAGCATATTGCTCGCGGACTTCGTAAATTCCTTTTGAAATATCTTTCTCCTCCTTCTCATATGCTTGTACAAGTCGGGTATCCAGATCCATCAGCTGCCTGGCGACCGGACGCCGTTCGGTGTCATAAGTTCCTAGGATAGTGGGGTCCGCACCATTGGTGATAACTGCTCCCAGTTTCCATATGAGGTTATATGAGTCTTGGATTGATACATTCATGCCCTGCCCTCCCTTTGGAGAGTGGGTGTGTGCAGCATCACCAGTGAGAAACACGCTAGAAGGCAGTAAGTAAATTGCCTGTATCTTACGAGATCTACTACTTACCGTTCATGGGGTCTGTATTGCTTGACTAGGCGTCGGCCTATCTTTAATCTTATCATCAGCAAAAGAATACTTGTAAGTGGACATGCAATCTTACTGGATAAATAGACCACCAGTCACAATAATTATACGTCAAACTATACGGCTTCATTAGGCCCTCGGCCATTTCTACCATCGTTCGAGGAGAACGGCTGGGGTGTTGCATGGCTTCTTCTTTCATCTCCCCTCGAAGATGAATGTAAAATCGAACAAGTCTGTTCTCCCTAGGCACGGTCATGATGCTTCCATCAGGTTGAGAGTGTATTGAGCAGGCTTGGCGGATATCGGCTGGAATACCTAGTCAATTGAGGGTTCCATGCGCAGGGAGGTAAAACAAACGGAAGTCAGTTATGGGCACTATGTCTAGCACTCCCCAGGTTGAGTCTTCGGACACTGTATCGGTCTGGACATCTAGCTGGTTCCTGACCCAGCTGTGTGCGCCATCGCATGCAATAAGATAGCGCGCGTGTATAGTTTCTTTCTCTCCTAGACCACATGGTTAGCCCACCATTTAGAGTCACTACTCTTACTGGCAAGAAAACCACGCAATGACTACATACCATTATTTCCAATACACCTTACTCCCACAACGACCGGAAATTGTTGTGTGTCGTCATCAGCGGTAGGAGAGAAATGTAAAGATTCAGCCGCTTTATGCCTCTCCACGCGAACGTTCTTTTTATGCAAATGGTCAACAAAGACTTGCTCCACAGCCCCTTGGTTGAGCAGTATTTGCCCAAATCTCGATCTTTGCCCAGTATCTGCTTCGTACCTCCTGCGTCGCTCTATATTCCCGGTTTCGTTGTTTGTTGTCTAACCAGTCAGTGGTGAATGGTTATTTGAATCCACGCCTAGTACTTACCCAGTGGGACATGTCGACATCGTGGATCCCCTGCTTTAAAATTGGATCGACGATACCAAAGCTTTCTAGTATCTCTAGAGTCCGGCTTTGTATCCCATCCGCGTGGCCCGTTTTGGTGCGATCTCCTTTTTGATCAATTATCCGAGTCGACATCTTGTATTGCGCTGCCCAACATGCAGCTGTGAGGCCTGCTGGCCCCGCTCCAACGATCAAGAGATCAATATGAGACGTCGAGGAACACATTTTCGGAATGTGATGATTTATTGACAAATAAATCCAGAAGGCAAATTAACATCAGTCCCAGGTGCTCCTATCTGTCAGACGCAGGATCTGGCACATATTTAAGAGCTCACGATGTACATAACATGAAAGTAGATTTGCCCAAGATTTCCTCTACCGGTTGATGAGGTAATGATGATCCATAAGAGCTCAGAGTGAGCTGCTACATTCTTCATGGCGGGAGGTATCTGACGTCATATAGTTTATTGGAGGGCTACATACAATGTCGCTTTTCACAACAGGTGTTGAATGAACATTTAACTCTGCAGCTAAGGAAAGTATGCCGGGGTCTCGCGGGGTAAGTTGGAACAAGTTGAAGTGTGATTGCAATCCTGAATCACGAATCCATTTCCAATATTTTTGCAATCTCACTCTTTATGTTATCGCTTGACGGATTTTCCTTCGCCATTAGGCGAGTCACTTGCATTTTCTGCCTGCATATTTCTCAGCTATAGGCCAGGATAAATGATGTCTCACACGTAGAAGGACGCACATGCTGTACAGGGCTTACAAATCTGACATAATAGAGTATGGACAGGTTCTAGAGGAAGGCGAAAGAGAACAAGCGTCCGTTCGCTTGCTTCACTATATCTCAGCCGCCCTCAGAGATAGCTGGAAACATACATAACCAGCAAGTGGTGAATTCAGCAAGCCGGGAACCCGAAAATTGTAGGTAAATGAAACATACAAGATTGTGCCAAGCTTACAGCATTGTAGGCTTCATGCTTACTATTTTGCCGATGTGCAGAACTGGGACCCATTTCTGGAATTTTGATCGATCTTATGAAGTGGTGCCGTTTGTTGCTTATTACAATAATGAGGGAAAAGGCCATCTAGGAAGGATTTGAACTAACCTAGCTCGATGTTCGGCCGTAGTACTAAGGCAAAAGTGGCTATGTTATCGTCGTGCAATTCCTTCGGAACTGAAACAGCACTGCCGGGCATTGACGTAGGCTAAATACGTGATAAGGGCAGACAGAGTCAACTTCTTGAAGATCTGTGCAACTTGGCCCTGAAGCTTTACAACTTGGCACTTCCAAGCACGGCAAAGCCAATCTTGCAGATTATCATAGGGAAGATCTTAGGCGGTTAAGCTGGCTGCGTTGGTAGTGCCTGAAAAGGTTGCAAGGAGAAGGTCGCAACAACTAACTATAACTGTTAGGTTACTTTGCGAGACAATACGGGTCATGCTTCTACTTGTTACGCCTGCTAAAGAAAGCCGATGCCAACTTTGATAATACTTAGCTGACAATATTTAATAGATTAAGATATTACGCTATTACATCACCGCTGCTCTCTGTGGCACTTTGCCACAGAGAGAAGTAGTCATTGCCACTTGCCTGTTTATAAGACAGATGGGTTCCTGTTCCTTTCCAGGCCCCGCACCATACCGCCTACCACATCTGGACAGAAGTCAAAGCCCCCTGTTCGTGTCCGTCATTACTTTCAACATGAAAACATATATGTTGCTTCGTTGTAAATGTGGGCATTAATTCAAAACCACCGGATAAAGAGGCTTGTGAACCTTCGAGATAAGGAAGAGCAAGTCACCGCACCCTCGGGCCGCAGAAGTGATCTCGAGCTCGCGTCACCAGGTAAGGAATATCTAAAATTTGGGGAACGAGGAATGCTAAGCGCTTTTGCTAGCTGTTGATGAAAATGGACGCATATGGGTAAGAGTAATTGGTGAAAGCGATCCATTAGATCCGCAAAATTGGACACTGATCTCGAGGTCCAAAAATATTGCAATATTATTGCTCTTAGTATTTACTCAAGCATGGGCGGGCTCTGCCGACTCTCCGGCCAACAAGCAGGCAAGCCGCGAGTTTGGTGTGTCCAAAGTTGCCGAAAATCTCTCAACAGCAATGTATCTCTTTGGAATTGGTTCAGGATCTCTGTTTGCAGGGCCGTTATCAGAATCGGTTGGGAGGACTCTGACCTATCTGGTGTCGACCTTCATTTACCTCCTCTTCCTTCTTGGATCCGCTCGTACGCCCACATTCGCCGGCCAGGTTATATGTCGATATTTCGTTGGGCTTTTCTCTAGCGCTACGCTATCAATAAACGGATCTAGCGTCGGTGATCAGTTCCGTCCGGTCAAACGCGCTTTTGTTTTCCCTATTCTGGCCTGGGCTAATATTACCGGTACGTCCGCCGAGTTAGCAGAGCCATAATTTACTGATATCGGTATAACTTAGGCCCAATAATTGGCCCGATTGCAGGGGGGTGGATTTCTTCTAACCCAAACCTAGGCTGGCGATGGACTGAATATATGACTCTGATCATATCAGCTGTCGCATGGGTCGTGGCACTTCTTTTTCTCTCTGAAACATATTTGCCGGTTTTACTGGACTGGAAAGCGAGACAATTACGACGTGATACTGGCGACAAACGATACGTATCTGACCATTCCACAGGCTCACTGTTCCAACGAGTGAAAGGCATCCTCCCACTCCCTATAATATTCTTCAGTACTGAGCCCGTGATCTCCGTACTCGGTGCTTATCTGACCCTACTATATTCCATTATGTTCACCTTTCTATCTGGTTTCGATTACATCTTCCAGCAATTGTACAATTTGTCTACCGGACAGACAGGATCATGCTTTGGTGCTATCGCTGTAGGTTCCACGATAGCTACATTCGCTGCACCCGCCCTCTATGCATGGACCCGCCGGAAAACCAAGTTCGAACGTGGCGCTACAGTACCCCCAGAATTCCGTCTTTGGCCGGCAATTATTGCCAGTCCCCTTTTGCCAATAGCTTTATTTTGGCTAGGGTGGACAAACTATCAGACCATCTCGATATGGTCTGGCCTTTTTGCGTGCGGAATTTTCGGCATCGTGCTGATGTCCATTTATATCAGCAGCTACGAGTACATTATTGACAGTTACGGGGAACATGCAGCCAGTGCATTAGCAAGCATCACGATGGTCCGCTACATAGTAGCTGGTGGTATGGTCATGGCGTCCCGTCCCATGTACGAAGGAATCGGTGTCCATTGGACAATAACCATCCTTGGTTGCATGTCGGTGCTCTTAGCCCCTATGCCTCTGGTTTTCAAGCGCTACGGTGCTCGGCTAAGGGAGAGAAGCCGGTACGCGGATAGTCCAGTTGGCCTGCCAAACTCTTAACTTGTATCTCGTGGACCCAGTGGTATATAAGAAAGTCGAATCTAGCATTTTTTTTGAAGGGGCATTGTAGCAATTTACTTGTCTTTTGAACCAACCAGGTGGAGCTCAACCATCGACCAGAGCGTAACTTATCAACCGAAACTGTTCGTCAAATGTCATTACCATGAAAACTATTGGTCGGATCACCACACAGCGTACTCGGAGTTGACCATGGGAACTCAATGCAAACCCAGCGATCACGTCAAGAAAGCCCACAAAACGGGACCGCATCGGCAGGAGGTGCTTCGACACATTGGCCATGGAAGGACGTGAAAACGAGACTAGCGTTAGATAACCTAGTCGAGTCTCACGGAGAAGACTGGAAGGGCAGTTGACAAAAGGACCCCTGCTTTTCGACCAAATCCGTACTCCAAACCCTGGTTCACCTCAGATCTCAAAGTCCAGCAAATAGAAGTCAGTCACCAGCGGCGCAAGTGGCAAAACATCTATTGTGGGCTTGGACGAAATCACCCTCACTCTTTGTCTTTCTTCCAGGAGATGTAACAAAAACGACGGGCGTGGACTCGGTCTATTGAGAAAGTCAAAGCGGCACATTGGAAATAATCTTTGGATGATGCTGGGAAAGGGAAGCTCTGGAAGGTAGCTACTTATATGAAACTACAAGACACCTTAGAAGCTTGCGGGAGCTTGCGCACAACTTTTGAACGCGTTGGTGAACCCGGAGCGATATGCACAAGGCCAAGTTTTATTTCACCAGGGGCTACGAGGACAATGTTCGAGACCTGCCCATGTGGCTGGTTTCCATCCTCGGTCTCTCTAAACTAGTCCATTTGGCCGAGATGTTCTCTTGCAGACTCCCGGTCTAATCTAGCTTTGACCGAATGCCGGTGTCGACGGGTTTACAACGCCGCAATAATCATTTGATCATCTTTAGTGTCGTCTTTCCGCGTGGAGTCCTGGCTGGTAATGCTCATCAGGCTTTGGCTTTGCCACTGACAGAAACGAAATGAACAAGCGAGAACCAATCAATCATATTCAAGATTCTGGCTTATGCAATATTTGCATGGACAAGGGATTTGCGGCAGACACTTTATTTATCACTTTTCATTATGCCATAACAAAGTCTTCTTCTGGCAATTCATTGGCTGGCAGCCTTTTCTCTGGACTAAACACTGAGGTCATGTTTGAGTATCCGGCCCCACTCTCCGCTGCACAACTTGCCAGTCTCTTTCCGCCCGGAAAGATACAAGGCACAACCGCGCTTTATATAATAGACCGAGCAAAGCTTGCATAATCGGATGATATCATTTGGACAAAAATATCCATTGTGGCAACCGCAGTCGTTCGTATTTCGTGTGAAGTATTAAAGCACCCGGCTGCGTTCGTGATTATTTGTACAATTTTCCCTTTTGCCAACAATGGCGAACTACTACTCGCAAAAGCGTTCACCAAGAATGAACTTTGACTACCCTCAAAGCTCCTTTGACCCCTCACGACGGGAACGAGCACTCAAAGAATCGAATCGCGAAGAACCTCATCACTACCATCGTGGCCTTGTTCCTGGTCATAGAAGCCATGATAAGGACAAACATCATGGCCATCGCCATCGCAATGACCATCATCACCGTCGCCACTATCGTGATGACTATCACCAAGATAACCACCGTCACCGCCACATAGCCGAGGGTGCCATTGTAGGGGTTGGGATAGCAGAGATGATCCACAAACATCGCAAAAAGGAAGGCGAAGAAGTGAGTCACGGTTTGGGACATCTTGCCCGTGCTGTAGGTGCTGGCGCCCTGGGGGCTGTGGCCGTCAATGAAGCCTCACGCATGCGGCGTCATGATAAATAGCGGTACCTTTCGGTTTCTTGGATCTTATACCCACCTTGTTATTACAGCTTTAGCGAAGGAAGGTACACTCTCAGCTCTTATTTGCCAAACTCGTGAATGCTAGACCGATCTTTCGAAGTGGAGTTATATATTATGCATGTACTTTACTATCCAGCACAATAAATAATAAAGTTCAAAAAGGACTACTTAATGAATTACTCAGGCTCCTCTACTAAATATATCTACGAGTCTCACTCTGGTGGCTAACACAAGTGAGAAGGGTTATGCAATAAAACCTTATAGCCGCCCTTAATCCAATGGAGGGCGTCACACTGTTTCTGGGGATTGCGCTTACCCATGAGTGGACTCTTCTTAGTAATGACCTGTACTGCTTTCACAGAAGGAAGACAGACGGATACAATTGAAGTTCAAGGGGAAGTATCTGCATCGTCGTGATCTAGGCTTCCATTGTTACCGACGGTAGCCCTTTCACAAATTCCCCGGCTACCTCTGAGCACCGACGCGCCTCTTTTCGAAAATTCAAGAGCCAGCCAACCATCAAAACGTCATGAGGCACATTCTCCTCCACGAAAAACGCAACAGAAGATAAATTCTGCGGAATGTTCTTAAACACTTTGGCGAGTTTTCGATGTTCCTGGCATAGCACCTCCCGACCACCAGTGACAATCAACACAGGTGAAGGTAAAGGAAAAGGATGTCGTATAGGAGCCACGTATTGTTCAACTGGCTTGGTAACCTCTAGGTCACCTAGAAAGTGCTTCGCACCCCAGGCAGGGAATGATGCAGGAATACACTCGGTTTTGTAGTTTGCGCAATTTTCCCAGGCGTTGGTGTTATTGGCATTTAGGACATTGCACCAGGGCGAGAAGACCCAACCGCACTTCGGTGCTGGTAGAAAAGATGTACAGTTATATTGTACAATATATCGTAGTAGTCCCAATGCAAGGTCCCCTCCGCAACTGTCGCCGCTAAGCACAATCCGTGATGCAGGAATATGCAGGGTGTGGATCAGGTAAGAGTAAGCGGAAATGGCATCTTGGAGTTGTGCTGGAAAGCGTCCTTTTGGGTCACCAGCTAATCGATATTGAGGGGAGAATACATAAGCGGCTGCTGTGTAAGATAGAATGTTCTCGGCCAGAAAGCCACAAGAGGCCGTTCGGCCGGTGCCCAGTATGTACGATCCACCATGGAGGTGTAATACGACGTATTGGTCTTCCGGGATGATAGTGCCTGGTGGGAAGAGCCTCGGGTACCAAGTCCCTCCTATCGTCTCTGGCTCGACCTTTTCGTCTACTGCGACACCGGTGTACAGCTTGGGCTTTGCAGGCTCAACCAGAACAAACCGTTCACCTTCGAGATGCAGTTTTAGAGAGAGGGATGGTCTCATGTGGAGTGCCGTGAACACTCGCAGAGATACTTTAAGAATATTATTCGTTATGGCTTGCCGGTATGTCCAATTTTGGTCCTGTCGATGCCGAGGATGTAGGTACGCAACCGCAAAGAAGGGCAGACAGAGAAGCGAGGTATCCTTCGGCGATGATAACATAGAGGGAATCATAAAGAATGAAGTATTGTCGTAATACCGAAGACAACCAGTCGTGGATATAAATCCAAGGAGCAACGAATGCAAGCTTCGTCTTTGTTAATAAAAAGAGTGTGGCTTGATAGAAGAGGACGAGCAATGAAGATCAACTTATCTATGCGGAAGGCGCCAAAGAACCTTTCATCGAAACCTGGTCTTTCGCAATGTTTCGGTAGTGGGTAATGGTTTGATTGGCTCATTATAAAGTAAATAATCATTGGTGCATAGGCGTAAACTCTTATGACATCAAAATGGAACAAACGTTGGTACTGTGGGGCGATAATCTAACTAGTTGTCATACGCTGCGTCACTTGTTTTTGTACTTCCAACAGGGTCTCAAAGGGAGAGACTGGCTCTAGTGTTACAATACATGGAAACGACCCTTAAATCAGTGGTCGGCTCAATACATTTCAAGGTATCAATACATTAACTTGGTCCCCAATTACTAGCTTGTACGCCCTTCTAGATATTCCGACCCAATTCGCTGACTATAACTGTCGATTCTTATGACGGATATTAATTATCGTGATTGTAGGCAGGGACTGATTGATGTGGAATCCAGGCACCGGTAAAGAAACGTCCTTATCTGGCTCTTTGTGGCACAACTATTTGAACAGACACTCGAGTAGGGAGAAATGGGGTAGCCTCAATGGACATCCCTGTATGGTTATTTTGTGTGCCATTATTTGCATATAACTTACTAAGCATGAGTGGAAGATCTGCTGGGGAAAGAGCTTGCTTAATGTGTTTCAAGATGAGGCTTAGAAGACAATGCTTGATCAGTACTGTAATCCAATTTCAATTATTACTGTGCAGCTCTTTCCACAGATCGAATAAGTTCTTCCCTCGATCATACTTCGTCGGTTCCATATAATAAAAGGTCAGGAGAAAAGGCTTCTGCAATGTTCTAAGCCTGGCCTTCTGGAGCATAGCTCGTCATGCGAATATAAGTCTGTATTCTCGGAATCTCAGTGTGGTGCACTAAAGTTTGGGCAACACCAATAAGTCGGAAAACTTCGTCCGAAGGCCTCTCTAGAAATGGTTATTCAGAAAGTGTGGACAATAAAGCTTAGATCGAAATGGGGTTGCCTTCAGGAACATTTTCTTATCGATGATAGTGCCAGTCGCATGCATATCAAATTTCAATCCCGAGTCATGAACAAATTCATAAATGCCTGCGATTGGATGGGAGAAGGATGCGTTTCTAGATCTGATCTTATATATTACGTCGAAGCCCTAATATGTTGGTGATATGAGCCCTGAAACAATCGGCCACCCGGCGAAGAAGGAACACGGCGCTGACCGGAATCAAGGAGAAATCTGCAATACAGTGGGTTGGACTATTGCAATGGGCTTAACCAATGCGTATGTATATCTTGGCTCGCAGTAATTTTGGGATCATGGGAGGATGTCAAATCTAAGACACTGCATCGACCGAATCTTTGTTTTGAATTCTTAGTCTCTCGAGGTCATGGTTGACGGACACCATCAATTCGAGAATTCGACCAAGGAACAACGAAAATGGCTGTTCGACATCGTTATGCCGAAGAAGATGGCGAGCTCAAGCTAGTGGAATATTTCATGTGAGCACTTTCTTCTTAGCGTATTCAGCCTTTATTATTCGTTTTTGATTTACAGGATTGCTAGTCCTTTCTTATAAGGGGTCTTGGGTTTGGATAAAGAATTTTAGGCCGTAGCCAACCTGTAGCCTTGGTTTCTTTTGTTGCGAAATTATAGTGGCGTTTTAAACATCCGCATACTGCGAGCACTTCGGCCAGGTAGCTCTGGATGGTTGTTTTATAAAGTTGAAATTCGACAAAAGCTTTTTATAGTAAAGCTCTTTTCATTGGAGACTAGTTAAGCTGTCTCACTTCGCCTTGTCGTATCGCCTTGTCGTAGTAGGTCCGAGAGTTCGGCGGAAGTATACGACCTAGAACATATCCAGCAAGTCAGTCCAAAGGATGGACAAGCTACAGGTAGAAAATGTGGATGATAAATATGCTGTGAGCAGAAAATAATATGGTATCTATTGGAGAGGTGAATCTCAAAGCCCACTGGCATATGTCCACGCTGACAAGTTGATATTATACAAAAGAGTAAAGAGTTAGACCAGCGCGATCTATGATAAAACCACCATGCCGGAGCCATGCCGCCTCAAACGAGACAAGCAGCAATATGAGCACAAACCGGAAAAGTCAGGTTCCCAGTAAAAGACAGAAAGCAACCCAAACACCCGCAATGCTCCGTTCTTGTCCAGAACGCCAGATGCCGTAGAAATGTACAGAGAGAAAAGCCCAATGAGTCGAGACCATATGAAGTCAAATCATGCAGTCAAGTTGTGCTTTCAAGTTCGAGTCCGAGACTCGAATCCAAGTGTCAATCGAGCGTTTAGTCGTCGCTGGCAGGCATTCTCATGTAGGCATCAATAGCCGCACTGAACGCGGCGAAACCAGCACAACCAAAAGCAGCAGCCTGGGGACCTGCCTTCGCACCGAGAATACCACCAGTGACACAACCAGCAGCAACACTGTTGGTAAGATCGTTCTTGGCGCGGAGACCCTCAATGCAACACTCAGTACCGGAGTAGAGCGCACCGACGATACCGAAGTTCTTCGCAGACGACCAAGAGCGAGAACCCATATCCTTAAAACCACGACGAACTTGCTCGCGCCAGGGGAGGTCGGCAATAGCGCGGCCCTGGGGTGTGAAGGTCGAATCGTAGGACATCTAAAGAGAAACAGATCAGGAACTGCGCTGTGGATATCGAGTTCATTGGCGGGGGAGTGGACTTACACTGGCCATGAAGAGACCGAAAGCTCCACCAAGACCGAAACCCATGGTGCCTGCGATAACGGTCTTGATCGGGCAAGACTCCATACCGGCTTGCATCTATTGCGCGTCTGTTAGAAGTGCATGGCGATATAGGTTGATTGAATCACGAACCATCTTGACCATTGCCTGCTCCTGGTCATTCATACCCTGCATGCCGGGGGAACCTCCGAGGCCGCCCATCGGCGCCACGCCGCCTGTTGTGCCTGGAAAGGCCATTTCGAAGATCGATGCGAATCAGACGCGGGAGTATGTGTCGCTATTAATGATCGATTGGATCTAGGTCAGACTGTTCTTGTAGTCCACTAGACCTGGGCAAGGAAAGAAAGCGCGCAGAATGAATGGATCAAGTAAAGATTCAACGCGGAGATCTTGCGGAGGCGACCAACAGAACGGCAAATTTATTTTTACGGCGGACGAGGCGGTCCTGAAGTGCAGAAAGCACGTGGTTGTCACTTAGTTCCCGGAAAATCATTCCACCGGATATTCAAGAATAGGTGTGGACGCCAACAACTTTGTGATCTACAGGTGATTTCACAGGAGAATATCAGAATACTAAATGCAACTCTGGTAAATCAAATGGTATTTTAGCAAATTTCCTAGCAAATGGCATGGCCAGAACTTTAGGGTAGCAAAATCAAGGAAATGTATCGACAAGACAAGAAACAACGCTCTCGTATGGTATAGGTCGTCGCCCTGCGTGATTCGGCAGATAGGCCAAAGAATCAAGAAGTAAGTATGTACATGAAGGTAAAGAAAAGAACACCATTAATCCTTCTTGCTGTCCTTGCGAGTCAGCGAAGGAGAGGATGCTCGCTCCGGAGACGGGGACAAGGAGCGCTCCCACTCTGCCATCAAATTGGAGGCAGTTCGTTGAAGCTTAGAGGGAGCCAGTTTGGTAATGGTAGGCCAGGGGATGCCTTCGGTGACACTGGGATCAGGAGCAGTGGAAGCTGGGTTCCAATCACCAAAGCTAAGGTTGCGGTCAGCGCATAACGAGGTTGTCATAGATGAAATCATGAAAGGTCGAACGGTACCTAGCGCTTGTTCGAGGGCTACTGCCCTGTGTCACGGGTGACTGATCTTGCTTCGATTCAACAGTCGATCGGCTCGATGAGGGCGTGTGCAACTTCTTTCCGGATGAGGGGGTATCCCAGCTATCCCAATTGTCGAGCTCGTCATTCTGTGCATCGACTGGAGTGCTGGAGCGGCGATCGGGCTGTTCGGCGTCGGTCGCCTCGTTTGGGGCGGTTATTTGGTCGGAGGGGGCGCGGAGAGCGTTCGGAGACTTCTGAGCTGGTGTATCAATGCCGAATTCGTCCCAGAAGGATGTGGAAATTTCCGCCGGCTTGGTGTCTTTACCAGTTTTTGTCTCGACCGCTGGTCCCCTCCCCCGCGAAGACGATGACGATGATCTTGATAGCTTGCCATCCGCTAGCAGCCGCTCTCGGCTCCGTGATTTGGCCAGTGAATCGCGCTTGCGACCATTTGGCGGCGCCAATGAATTGGGTGACATGTTTCGTGTTTGTGTTCCGTTGATACCTTCCTCGCCCACCGTAGCTTGTCGGATGTCTTCCAAGAATGTCCAAAGACCTTCCCGTAAATCGGACGCCATTTGCTTGCCGGTACGCATCAAGGCCTCCCTTGAAGGCGGAGGAAGAGTCTTGCGCCACTGGGCGAGCAGATGTTCTGGTACTTGGCTTTCGTCCAGCTGCGCGCCCACACTAGCAGCATTGTTGCGTTCCACCGAAGGCAGTGTCGCAGATCGAGGAGTACGGCCCACGCGATCAGCCTCGGACAGACCTGGCTCACGTGGGAAGCCGCCTGAAGCTGTTACCGGCGACAGAAGAGACAGGGTCCGGGTGTGTGCTCCTTGGAACACTCGCCGACCGTTCGTGCCAATCTTCGTGCCGTTGGTTGCAGCAGCACGAACACTGGTACGTCGCTCAAGGTCCCGACTGATCCGTTCCTGTGATACCGCAGAACCAACCGAGCTCATGCTCTGCTCTCGGTGGTGTGTATTTGACGCCTCGGGGGCTGAGAAATCAGGGGATCGGAGCGGCATCAGTGGTTCCGCATGGTTGATCTCCGCTCGTTTCCTGTTCTTTTCAGACAGTGCCCACTGCTTCTTGATTGCCACCAGATCTGCCTCTGCCCGGTGGAGTTCCTCGCGGAGCTCCATGACCTTCCGTTCCTGCGAGGCGATAGCCCGCAGGAAATCGTAGCCATCATCCGGGACATCGAAAGACATGGGTGTTCCAGGCTGGGCGGTGGGTGGACGGGTGGGTTGCGTAATCGGAGTGGCAGCTCCGGGTGAGGAGACGTCGGCTGTTGATTCGGGTTCGTTCAGGTTTACGGGGAAGTTGAGGGTGAGGCGTTTGGCATGGCGGGCTGTTGGTTTTGCAGAAGGGAGCGATAAACGTTTGTTCTGCTTGAGTGAGCGAGACTCGGAAGCAGACTCAACCGGAGTCTGGTTCGCATCCGGCGGTGGCCCGTGGGTGAGGCTCTCCGCTCCCGGAATACTCTCCATGGTGGACCAGCCAGCAGGAGAGAACAATCAGGATAACATGAAAGGGAGGAGGAATGTAAGTGCAAGAACGGAGTATGTAAAGGGGAAAATAATAGCTCTGACAGGTGTGGTCTCTCCTGAGTCCAGCCCACAGCGGGTCCGGCGTGTTTCAGGGGTTTAGCGTCTTATTAAGCCATGTGTTTCGAGTCTTGGCATTCAGGAAGCCCTAACTTCAACTTCATCCCATTGCGAGGAAGCTTAACGGCGTGCTCTTTCAAGGTCTCCATGGATTGGACTTCTGTTTTAGCCGTCCAGCTGTCCATGGCATTGTAATCACTCTTATTCGGATCTAGGCCAGCGCCTGGAATGTTGCCACGATTGGGAGGAATCATCTGTACGGGGCGTAACCTTGAGACAGGTTAGCTTTGACCTTGACGTGCGAAGTGGGACTCGAGAATCGGAACCTTGTGGTAGACTGGCTATCATGAGTTCTTTCCTTGTTGGTTGTAGCTTCACCAATACCGGGCAGGGAGGAGACATGCCACTTGACCGAGTCTGGTAGCTAGGCTGGACTCTTTGCCCAGACCTATAGGTTAGGGAGCCATCTCCGGTGGCATAGTCATCTGGCTCCTGTGAGGCTGTAGAGCATAGGCAACCCATTCTGGACGTGTCCCATAGACTGATAGCAGAGGCCGCGTGGGATGGCAAACTGCGTATCACTGGGCAGTCTTGCAGGGGTGGTTTCAATATCTGAGAGCTCATTCATGGAGGGGCCCATTGTTGAATATCCCGTTGTTGGAGGGTGAATACAATGGGAAGTACAAAATCGACAAGAATTTGTGACCCTGCAGCCCATTCAGGACAAACAAATCAGATCAACAAATGATTTTCCTGGTTGATCTTCCCGATTGGGACGGCTGGTCTCTGGGTATAAATACCCCCAACTTTCCATCTCTTGCTCCTTTCTTTTCTTCCTTCTTCATATCTCTCTTCTTTCCTCTTTTTTCTTCCCCCATTTCCCCTTTCCTTTCCTTTCTTTTCCTTCCTTGTAACCCACCCCCTTCCCCCTCTCTCCTCCCCTCCCCAATGGACCGTCACTGCGGACCTCAAGGATTCATCCTTCATGGTTCGGGTGTGGTGGTCCCGATCAAACCCCATCACTGTGCGAGTCGGCCTCAGAGTGAGCTCAACTCTGCTGGCTACCCATGGTGTACATTTGCGTCCCCCCGTGGAGCTTCCCAACCCCAGTTGGCTTCGGCCTCTGGGAGTTGGGCCCACGGGGGCTTCCCAGTTGCCCGTCCTGTTGAGGGGTCCTGGTTGCTATTGGGTGGCGCCGCCACCTGTGTTCATCTGAGGCTTCGGTCTTGGATGCACTCAGGTGGCTGGAGGCCCCTCTAGCTTCTAGGCCTGTCCTCGGAGTCCGGGCCTCTGGGAATTTGGGCCTACGCCGAGGATATGATGGCATTCATGCTTCATGATTCTAGCGAGATGGCCCTGATCAATTTCCAATGCTGTGCGAGTCAGGCTAATGAGGGGCTAGAGACCCGCTGGGTCTCTGGATCCCCTTGTGCTGCCGCCCACAGCATACATGAGGGGTGGGCTACTTGAGGCTTTGGTTCCTCGCGAGCTCAGTTGCCTCTGAGAATTTGGGCCGTCGCGGGGGATCTGAAGGCATTCATGCTTCACGGTTCCAGCGACATGGCCCTGATCAACATTAAATGTTGTGCGAGTCGGCCAAATGAGGGGCCAGGGATTCCGCGGATCTCTGGATCCCCTTGTGCAGGCACCCACGGCATACATTGGGGGGTAGGCGGGGGGCTTTGTAAGATCTTTACCTAGTTGTAGCTGTTCATTCCAATACAATCCTTGTTCAAATCATGATATCTAACTCTGTATCACTTGCTTTCTCCTACTGCCAAAGCTTAAACAGACAAGACTGTCCTCAGACTCTTGAAGTTCTGAAGGCATCCTTCGTGGGCGACTTTTTATATTGACCGAAGATGCCGCTCTTGGGAACATGCAGGGGTCCACGCCCGACATCTTCGCGTCCACGAGCGCGACTCAAGCACATCTCCACCATGAGACTAGCACTGAACCCATTGAAATCCGGCCATACAGTCTTATTCCTGCGACACTTGGTCAATTCAGCTTCCATTTCTAGGTTGCCGCCAGTCCCTCCCCTCCAGCGCACCGTGGTCTGGTCATGACACATCACAATGGAAATCCAACCCGAGGGTATTCCAGTCTTTGACCTCGGACTACTCGATCCATCTTTCAGGATTGAAGACGAACACCTGAGACTTGAGCCCAAGGCAGTCTACATCTATCCCACCAACGACAACGAAGTCATTGATCATAAATACCAGATCATGGACAAGATCGGCTACGGTGGCAAGTTACTCCTGCAATACTTACAAAGACACAAAACTGACAGCTGCATCAAGGCATGGTCATCGTTAGCTCTCAAGACCTCATCAACGGAAGTAAAACAGACCGTGCCGTCGATGCCCGTCTTCCCATTGCAGAGCTGTTCGCCTACTCGGTACTCTACCAGACACACTCCGCAACAAGATGCAACTGATATCAATGTTCTGGGATAAAGTGGGGGCCTGGACGGGGAAGGTCTCAATCCCGGATCGGAGTCTCGGGAGCTTAGCGGCTCGGGACTTTGTGGGACAGGATTTGAATGGGTTCTTGCTTTGGATGCCCAAGGCTATACAATGCTATCCTCAGGATGGATTTCCCGGAGAGGTATTATTGTGCTGGGTATCAGCCTGATCTTGATGTTCAACAGGAAGAGAGGGAGAGGGGTGGGTATGTGCTTGCTGCTGCGGATGCTGAGATGGGGATTGGGTGTGATGATGGAATCTCTGTCATTCTTGGGTCGAGATTTTATCAGGAGTTGTCGACTTGTAATAAGTTGTATACGAACCCGGGCAAGGTTGGGTGGTATTGTAAATTGTTAGATGGGGTTTCTGGTTCTGATGATTCGACAAAAACAAGATGTAGATGTAGATGCGGAAGTCATTTATCTTCCAAAAAGTACTAGGACTAGCAATGGATGATCGAAAAGGAAAATCCCAACCATGAGTTTCATATGTATTCTAGTATTCCTCAAAATACCCAAAAATTATCCCACGGGGCACGCAGCCAATAAACAGACAGAAGCACAACCAGCATTCTATCGCAAAGGAAAGTATAGAATACAGCGAAACGATTACACCAGATCATTAGAACTCCGGGACCGGTCCCACCAGACATAGAAAGTGACAGTAAAAGGTAAAATAGTACAACGAACGGACACCAAGGATGCAGGGGCAATGGCAATGGTTATACAACAAGTTTGGAACGCCACATGGGTCTATACAGGGAATGAAAGAAGGGTAGAGGGTGATGTTGAAAATGGAGGTAGGTGATTGTTGGAGGGGACATTAGGATTAGATGCCACCCCAGCGGTTGCGAAGACCCTCAGACCAGCGCGTGTAGAGGACGTCGGAGAGTTGTTTGGTATGTTCCATTCCTGGAACGGACTGGCCAGGCAGGTTGGATGTGGGAGATTGGGGTTGAGTTTCGGGGACGTAGGATTGGCGACGCTTGTGGCTCTTCAGGTGAGGATTGTTTTGAGCCAGGACGAGGCGAGGGCGAGAGGGAGAGTCGAGTTGAGTAGGTGGGAGGAGAGTTGACAGACGGGAATCACTGGTATCTCGTTAATATAAATATATACTTTGAGATGAAACAGGCTTACGCTTGGAGTTTCTCGTTCATAATTCTGACGATGTGGTAGAGACCTTCTGGATCGACCATTTCCAGATCACTCCAGGCCTCGGCCAGTCTGGAGATAGCTTCACGCTTATCGCCGTCTCCGGTTGTCGACAATACTTCCTGGCAGGAGAGTCCGACGGCTTTGCTGTATGCTCGTCGTCCAATTTGAGCCTCCTTGCTCGACGAGTCGGTGGACATGACCTTCGGGCTGGCGTTTTCGTCAAAAGCCTGCTTTGGAGATTTGACATCGGCGGGGACCTTATCTGATACCCGACGGAACTGTCTAACAGTAGATGGACTGTTACCGTAGCTCAAGTCCAAACCAAGTGGTTGTTTGATACCACTGGAGCGGCGCTTGGTGTTCGCCCGGCGGACAGAAGGTGATCGTTCGGTAGGAATTCGTCGAACGGTCGAGTTGGCCTGGTGCTTGGGAGGAGGTGGAGGCTGCGAGATATGCATTTCCTCCATGAGCTCGGCAGGATCAGTGTTCTCCTCCTCCTCCTCCTCATCTAATGTCGTCCAGTCTGTACCCTTGGGAACCCACATACTAGGGGCCTTGACGGTATCAAAGACCCAGTCTTCGTCGTCATCCTCCTCAGGCCTGGTCATAGTGTTCAGAGACTCGGCATAATACTTGACGTCCTTGGACACACCACGGCCACCATCCCAGTCCTGCTTGCGATGGATGAGCTCTTGGAGTGCCTCGGGCTTGCCAGCATTCCGAATGAATTTGTGTCGGAGAAGCTCCTTTGCACTCGGGCGGCGATCTGGATCTTTCGTAAGACACTGTGCAATGAAGTCTTTGAATGTGTTGCTGTATTCGTTGCCCTCAAGGCGAGGGGCGGGGTTCTTCGGAATCAAGAAGAGCACTTTCATAGGGTGTGTGCTGGCATGGGGTGGCTCGCCGTTGATCATTTCAATGGCTGTAATACCCAATGACCAAATATCCGCCTTGAAGTCATATCCAGCCTGCTGGATAACTTCCGGCGCCATCCAGAATGGAGTTCCGACGAATGTATTGCGCTGTGATTTGATGTTGACCAGCTGTGCGGCCACTCCAAAGTCGGCCAGCTTGACTTTTCCAGTCTGAGAAAGCAGGACATTGGCGGCTTTGACATCCCGGTGAATCTTGCCTTCGCTGTGCAAGTAATCTAATCCCTGGAGAAGTTCGCGGCAAACGATTGCGACGTGGGCTTCATTGAAACTTCCTGGTTTTAACTGTAACGGTCAGCAGGGCATCCCACCGTAGGGCAACAGTTGGGCATACCAGGTCCAAACAAGAACCACCTCCGAGGTATTCCATAACAATCCATAGCTTGTGCCCCTTAAGGAAACTGGCCTTGTATTGTGTAACATAGGCACTGGCGCAAGTAGCCAGGACAGAAATCTCCTGTTGAATTTCCTGAATATCATCTTCACTGGATTCGAGATCGATCTGGGAGGTGAAAGGTCAATTGGGCACCATTGGGTCGGATTGAAAGGGCGTACATGTTTAATGGCAACAATCTCGCCGTCGGTCTTGTCAATTGCTTTGTAAACAGTTCCAAAACTGCCGCCTGCAAACGGGACGGGGTTAGCCAGATGCAAAACCCCTGACATGGGGAACACTTACTGCCCAGCTCCTCCATCACCTGGTAGTGACTTGCCATATCGTCCGACATGATTAGCTATTCCAAGAATGCAATGTGCTCCAAGAGAGAATAGCTGTGGAGTAAAGAAAAGAAAGGGATCGGGCAAGGAGGTGGAGCTACAAACCCCAAACAAGCTCTGTTTCGCATGGCAACGAGCGGCCTGAGGCCACAACTGGGGTAGGGGTCCACAATGACAACAAAGATCTACTGTATAAGTTACTCTCTAGTTACTTATTCACTCATTTATTTACTTCATTAGTTGATGGATTGTATTGCATTTATTTCGTTGTAATGATCTACTTTTTATTGCTTGTTGTGTTACTCGAAAGACTAATATTGCAAGTAAGTTATTCCATTACAACCCTAGATGTACTTGTAAGGGTTCATGATTCCGTTCTAAACAAATGTTAGCAGGATTTAATACAGCAGGTAATAAAATTGACTCACCGGATCATAGAGGTTCTTAAGCTGCTTCATCAGCTTCACCATTGTCTCATTTTGGCTGTATCCAATGAATTCGCGCTTGGCAACACCGAGACCATGCTCGGCACTGATACTGCCCTGGCGTTTCTGGATCCACTCATACACCCAAGGCTCAATAGCCTTCTCGACCTCCTTGTTGTATTGTCGCACGGCAACGTTCAGGTGCAGGTTGGAGTCACCCATGTGGCCATAACCGACCACAGCGCGGACGGGGAAGGAGTCATCATCGCCGACAAAGCCCTTCTCCGTAAGACGCGCCTTACAGTCTTCCACAAGCTGATACAGATCCGCCAGCGGGATCGACACATCGTACTTGTAGGTGCCGCCCAGGTGGCTCAGCGACTCTGTGATACCCTCACGCCAGCGCCAGAGAGCCTGGAATTGGGTCTCATCCTGGGCCAACACACCATCAGCGACAATGCCCTCGCCCATCACATTCTCCAGGAACGATTCCAGCTTCTCCATGTCGTGCTCGGCGTTGGAACCGCTGGTCTCGACCAGACAGTAGAAGGGGTACTCGCCCTCCAGAGGGTGCTTGTTACCCGTAGATTCAATGACCAATTTCTGGCTGCGACCGTCCATCAACTCGAAGGCAGAGAGGATCTCCGAGAGCTGACCCTTGGCTGCAAGGTAAGCCTGCTGAACCTGCTCAAAGCTCTCGAGACCAAAGTAAGCCACGTTAACAGCCTTGGGGCGGGGAGGACATTGAATAGCAACGGCAGTCACCAGACCAATGGTTCCCTCGGAACCAATGAACAACTGCTTCAGATCGTAGCCAGTGTTGTTTTTGCGGAGAGTCGACAACGCATCGACGACAGTCCCGTCCGGCAGGACCGCCTCAAGACCAAGAACACTTCCGTGCAGACTGCCGTAGCGCAGCAGACGCAGACCACCAGCGTTGGTGGAGACATTTCCACCGATATGGCACGATCCCTTGGCACCCAAGTCAAGAGGGAAAAGGTGCTCCCGCTCAGCCAGGTACTGGTCAGCGACCTCAAGGATAACACCGGCATCAGCAACAAGTACACCAGACGCGGCATCAAACGAGCGAATCTGGTTCATGCGCGAGGTGTTGATGACGATCTCATCGAAGACAGGCACGGAACCACCAACCAACCCAGTGTTTCCACCCTGCGGCACAACAGCCAATTTCCGCTCATTGCAGTACTTGAGCACCTTGCTAACCTCCTGAGCATTCTTGGGCTTGAGGACCAGCCGCGTGTGGCCGCGGTACTTGCGCATCCAGTCACTGTTGAAGGGTTCGATGTCGTCCGTCGCATCGGTGGTCACGCCATCAATCACGGCGGATTGGGAGCCCAAAAGCTCCTTGAAGTGGGCGACATCGTCAGCGGAGATCTCGGCGAAGTTGGGGTTTCGCTTGACGTTGGGGTAGGCGTCGCTGGTGTATTTGATCTGGCGGGAGTCGGAGTTGCGACTGGGACCGGCGCTGAAGGTGCGGGTGACACGGGGAGTTTGGACGAATTGTGCGGATCGAAGGGCGACACGGGGCCGGGGCACTGCCCGCCGTAAGGCAGCTGTGATGTTCCTGGCGCCAGACATGTTGTGTGAGGAAATGATAAATTTTAGGTGGAAGGTCAACGGTGGAGATCTGATCTCCTGAGCTCGGACTCGGGGATTTTCGGCGATTCAATTTTGCCAATTCAATTCACCAGAATTTAAGCAACTGAGTAATTAATTCAACTGAGTAATTAATTCACATATGGCAATTGCAAATATAGACGGGCTCAATTGCTTCCGATCACGGAGCGTTAAATATTTTAGCTTCTTAAAGTTTTTGACATCTGGCCGAGTTCGCAATGCTGACATAGTGAACCATCTACCTGACTGTGGCATACATACATACATACATACATACATGTCCCTAATTAGTTAATCTATCACACTAATTGGTTTGAAAGCATTCTATGAGACATCTGGCTATATAGCGGGGATATCTTGAAGTACTTGTATGTTGGTTAGTCTTGCTCTGGATATGTATCTACAGAGTATGGCTCACCAGGATAACACTTTGGACTCTTAAACCACCTTTTCACTGTTAAACTGTCAGAATCTTAAGTTTCGGACACTTTCGCTTTCCCCTTGACAAAATTGCTGTATCGAATGCCACTTCTGCATTGCCAGCATGGCTCTTGTGAGCAACCAACCAGCTCCAACCTTAAATACGGTTAAATCGTGTGTCCGTCTGCAGGCTTGCAATTTGAGGGACGCCTCCAATGTCGATCATGGAATTAAGAGGCGCAACTGGAGAATTGAATGTTTATTTGCCAGTACTGAAGCCCAAGCCGGAATAGAGTGGAACAGTCACCGGTGTACTCTAGTCGGTTACGTCACAGTCCACCTTGGGAAATTTACTTCCATGCTAAGCACTCAGTCATTACCATCACACACCATGACTTCCACTGTTCTTGTTACTGGAGCCAGTGGCTTCCTAGGACGCGCTGTCTTCAACACCTTCCAGCACTCTGGTGTGCTGGTAGTTGGGCAGGGATTCTCCCGCGCTGCCCCGCCTACCATCTTGAAGGCGGACCTTGAGAAGAATGAAGATATTCAGACCCTTTTCGATGAAGTGAAGTGCGTATTTCCAAACTAGACTTTACTCTACAGCTACTAACAAGTTTGCGATCCACAGGCCTCAAATTGTCATCCACTGTAAGCTCATACACCGCCGACTCGAACCCCGCCACTAACACCCCGCAGGCGCCGCCAACAAGTCGCCCGACCTCTGTGAGAAGAACCCGGACCAGGCCCGCAAGGTCAATGTCGACGCTACGCGCGCCTTGGCCAAAGAATGTCAGAGCCGTGGTGCTTTCCTGATCTACATCTCAACCGACTACGTCTTCTCCGGCAAGGAGGGTGAGGCACCCTACGAGGCAGATGCACCAACCAATCCTCCAAACCTGTACGGTCAGTTAAAGCTGGATGGCGAGCGCGCAGTTCTGGAAGAAACCGGCGACTCGGGTCTCGGCGTGGTACTGCGCGTGCCGGTGCTCTACGGCAGCGCCAAGGAGAACTCCGAGAGCGCAGTGAACACACTCGTCGATGCTGTGAAGAAGGCCACCGATGAGAATGCCGGCGTCAAGATGGACGATTGGTCTCAGCGGTATCCGACCAACACCGAGGATGTTGGTCGCGTGTGCCGGGATATCGTCATCAAGTACCTCAAGGAGAAGGAGAAGCGCAAGGAGTTGCCGCGCATCCTGCAATTTACGTCTGAAGACCGCATGACCAAGTATGAGATCTGCCAGAAGATTGCTCAGGTGCTTGGTGTTGCGATCCCCGGTATGATCCCGCAGGGCAATGACCCCAACGCTGCGGTACAGCGGCCTTATGACACCCATATGTCGACCAAGGCGTTGACTGACATTGGAATTGATGTGCGGACAATGGATTTCGTTGCCTGGTGGTAAGTCGTACCATTTGATAAATCTTTGTATAAAGATTCTAACAAAGAACAGGCGCAGGGAACTAGGTGCTTACCGCAAGTAAGCCCTGCCTCTTGAATGATTCAGGCATTAAACCAGAAGTCATAGAGGATCAAGAAAAGAAAGATGAATATCACGCTGTCTCAAACCCTCCGTAGAAGTATCCACCACTATGGCTTGACGATGAGCTCCACGATCTCCACTCGGAAGAACCACAATTCCTGAAGATCTGGGGATATCTCAGACATGGGGAATCTTCCTATGGCTGATCAGCGGCATGCAACAATGCAATAGTTCCTCTAGCTTCTGTCGATCGTAGTTAACTTTGAGTAACCTCGATTTCCGCTTGCGGCGGAAATGTCCTCTCGGCGAACCACTTCTCTTCTACACATCGCGGATCGCATTTCAGATCCGATTTGCACATTCGGTGAGTCTCTCATGCAACAGAGCCCTATGCCCCAAAAATCGATCGGTGCAGGCCGCATTTGCGACTGGTCAATTGGAAATGAGACTGTGAATACCAGGGGCTTTCCAGGCCCGTGCCAAATGCCACCGTTACTTTTTTTTTCCCACATTGTGCCAGGTCGCTTTCTTTTCCCCTCTTCACCTAACCCTTCGCGACCAAACTGTGCTGCAAAACTTGATCCTGAGTTTGAGGCTAATTTCCGGGCAGCTGCCGAGACCAAACCTGAAACCGCGCCTCGCCCCCTGGGGGGCGTCTCAGAAAAATTCACGGGAAGGGATCACCGGGGTTACCGCAAAATTTCTCGAGATATCCTGGAGCACGTGGAGACGCGGAGATGTCTGCGACTAGCGAGCAAAACCCCTCGATCGCGAGGAGCAGATCGCGGTATCGTCGCAATCGCCCGACGGATGCGCTCCCTCCTCCTCCCGCGATTTCGAACCAGCACGAGAACAGAGACAATGCGCAGGCTAAGCCCACGAAAAACGCGAAACGCGATGAGGAGGATGCGCGCGCGCGCGAAGCGCATCGACAGAACACAATGGAACAATTGACTGGAGGAGACAACGCGACGCAACTCCCTCGGCGGCCTAACGGGTCGGCGAAAGAGGCAAGTCGCGCCGAACGCTCGCGCACACACGACATCACGCCGGACACCCATCGCAAATCTTTCTTCGACAAGGTCAAACTGTCCAAAGTCAAATCGGCTGTCACCAAATCCGACCCTGTTCCGAAGTACATTGGGGTGGGTGGAACTGGTGTGGTCCCTGGAGTTGATGCGCCTGTGAGTGCTGTCAACGCTGGGGAGCGTCGTGTTGTTGCGCAGTATGGGGATGCCTCTGCCAACCTCACCATCACACCGTCAACCTCGGTTCAAGATCTATTGCTGGATGCGACCAAACGGCTGTCTAAGGATATCAACCCTGAGAAGTTTATTGTTATGGAGTCGTTTTGTCAGCTTGGCTTGGAACGTCCCCTTCGTCGCTTTGAGCGTATCCGAGATGTCATGAATTCCTGGGCTACAGATGCCGACAACCGCTTCATCATTATCCCTCCCTCCAGTGTGGAGGCACTGGCTCAGCTGGAAGCAGCACATGTTCCCAGCGAGCAGCCATCGTCTGAAACCGTCTATATTTACCATTCCCAGCGTCGTCGCAAGTGGGACAAGCGATATGTGACTATGCGTGCCGACGGACAGGTCACTATTGCGAAAAAGGAGAACGCCAAGGATCATACCAACATCTGCCATTTGTCTGACTTCGACATCTACTTCCCCAGCGCTCGAGCTTTGAGCAAAGATATCAAACCACCGAAGAAGATCTGCTTTGCAATCAAAAGTCAACAGAAGTCTTCAATGTTTCTCTCTACAGAGAACTTTGTGCACTTCTTCTCGACCAGCGACAAGACAATTGCGGACAAGTGGTATCGGGCCACTCAACAATGGAGGAGTTGGTATTTGGCTAACAAGGTTGGAGTAGCAGAGAAATCGGAGGTCGATGCACTCAAGCGCTCTGGGACCAAGAAGTCGACTCGCCAGCACAAACAAGCGCCAATCGAAGTCCCACTTCTACAACGAGAGAACAGACCCGAGTCTTCGAGAGATGGAAGCTCTGATTACCAGAGGCCATCAGGCTCCAAGGAGATGTTCTCTCGGAAGAAAACCACCCGTGGGCATGTGCCGCCGCCATCTTCATACCCCCAGGACCTGCCACTCGATTGCGAGTCTCACGCTTCAAGAGCAGACAAAGAGCCATTGGTGCATGGCGTCATGCCCGCAGAAGTGGAAGCTGCTACGTTCTCCCCAACGGGACTCCTAGGCCGAACATACACCCAACGCCAGACCGCCATGCGCGAACGCGAGGATCGTGAAAAGCGCTCTATGCAAGATCCTTTCACAGGCACCGGCTTGATGGGCACAGGCTCAGTCCACCACGACTCAAACCCCAACAGCCGAACCAACACCATGACCCGAGTCCCAGATACAACCTTCTTCAATCGAACTCAATCCCTCAGCCAATCCAACTCCTTCGACCAGAAGAACAAACCCCTCGTCGACCTAACCCCAGTCTTCGTCGAGCCACCCCAACACAGCAGAAAAGGCAAAGGCCATGGCGTAAGAGTCGAACCAGGAGTGCAATTAATCGAAGGAGCAACGGGCCCAGGCCTGACACAAGGCTCAGTAGCCATCCCACCAACGACCTCCTGGCGTCGACCACCCGCAGATACCCCACCCCAGCGACGAAACACAACTCGCAGCGTGCGACACCCTCCAAAATCATATGCGGGATCACATTCCGCAGACGCGAGCCCAGTCTCTACAAGCAATCAATTCACACCGAATAGTCTCCTCGCCCATTCTTCCAGTGTCGCTCCTACACCGCAGAGAAAGGGCCACGGCGTGGCAACCGGCGATCGTAACGCTACAAAGCCGTTACTCGATATGTCCCCCGAAAATCCATTCGCGGATGGAAGTCTCCTCCGACAACTTTGAGTTTCCTTTTTCCTTGGTTTACATTCCCCATTTACGATGTCTATGATTTCTTAACGATGGCTGTTGGTTCATGATACCTGATGGTTGCTATGGGCTATAGGTTTTTGTACTGTGAGAATTTGATCCGACCAACGCCATTGCTGTATATTTCTTTCTTGGATTCGAGGATCGAGATGAATGCGAGGTTGTGATAGGTGGTGATCAATTCTTTGTTAGATACCCATTTTCATGTTGATATCGCCTTTTGCAATGGATGGCTACTTTGGTTTTGTCTTCAGTATTCAATACGGTGCAAAATTTATTTTTGTACTCGTTCCTCGCGTTAGACCGGACGTTGCATGTATGGATACTTCCAGGAGTAAGTAGTCTTCAGTAGGGCCTATGAATACTTTTTATTTAACAGCGCCTTCAGTATCTTTGTAGAATGCCAGTAACAGTGCATAGCAAACATGCAATAAGTTAACTCTTTGAATTTCATGTAATCATGTAAACTTCTAGAACATTACACCTATCTCGTGGTGATCCCTTAAATTCATCTATGATCCCCTATCAGAATGTAGCTTACGGTGTTCTTCTTCTCTTAAAACCACATCAATATATTTACGCGCCTATAGGATGAAAAATAAGGTCCTCGATTCCTGAAAGCCTATAAAAAATAACTGAGAAGGAGCTATTTAAGATGGGAGGTGACCCAGGAGAATAACGACACAAAGTAAGCTATTGCGCCGATTCCGCTAACAACACACAGAGCCAAGTTCACTTACTTGCGACCTACACTCTCGACCTTCTTTCTTCGCCACCTACCTTGTCGTACCGTACCGTACCATATCCATAGCACCATGTCCAAATCAACACGCTCCCACAGTCCCAGAGCACACCCACCCCATGCTCAACTCTTGCAACACCTCATTTCGAGCAAGTGGAACCCTAAGGTGCAACAAGGGCGGAATCTGCATCATACTACACAGACGCAACAGCAAAGCCCAGTGCTTCACCGGAACCGTGAGCACCATGGATCGCATCGTGTTTGACCTGGTAGCCAAATCCCGTCCGACCACAGTGCCACTCGAGGAGGCCCAGCGTGCACTGGTTTCATCGGCCCAGAGGATGTCATGCTGAATGGAATGAGGAAATTCTTTCTACTCGGGGCAGATTGTTCTCTCCTCGTGAGGCTGCATTATAATCAACGCTGAGGGATGGTAGACGAAAATTGATGAGGAGAACGCTCCCAACGTATCTGATCTGGATATGAGTAAGAATGCTTATAATTCGTGACCTTTCTGGTGAGTTGCGATTTTGAAAATGAGAATGTGAGGCTGTTTAAGGGGTGTGCTAATATCTTGCCTGTTGAAAAGGTTGATCTTCCCGAACACTGGCCAAAGACCTTCTTCTCCTATGCCCAAGGAATATATAAACAGCTGTGATCCTCTACGCCAATGCTGCAGTCATCAACCCATACGCCAAAGAATCATGTTATATTCCTTGGCAAAGAAAATGGCGAGACAGAAAGCACTGCTTCATTGAAATCGTTGAACCGAAGTTCCGCTGAGAATGAGCAGATTTGAAACAGGAAGATATGCGTCAGCTTGTCCCCAGTCACTTAGACTACACTTGAATATGCCAAACTAAGATCTTATTATGAAGACTCTTGTCAGACATAATTTCTATTGAATCCCATTCATTCCAACTTTCTAGATCCTGATGTACTGACTTTGCACTAAACTCCTTTGGGATCCCGACCTTGGTAGATCACATATTTCATGGCTGCGTCCTTTGCTTTTCTCCTCATTCGAATAACACTTTTTACAAAAATGGCCACGTTGACTCCCATTCCTGTGATTCTTCCACAAGACAAAGTGCCGAGCAAAACAAACGTCAGAGACATCATCGGCTCATTTCTACCAGAATGGCGATCTGTGGACCCGGATACCCTAACCATGTCATACCATGCATCTTTCGTCAATGCCCACTGTCCTGTCGAGCGACCAAGGCTGGCTACTGATGTATCTGCCGAGCCCTTGAAGGTGTTTATTAAATTCCATAATGACACCGACGGAGACCCTGAAGTCTTCAAGTATCTGGTACCAAGCAAACAGGAGGAAGCAATCATCAGCTACAAGTACGGCCAATCCGGACTAGGAGCAAAAGTGTATGGATTTTTTCAAACACAGGATGGTACACTCGGGAGAATTGATGAGTTCTTGGATGCACGAAACATGGAGCCGGAGGATGTTGAGAATACAATCATTCGAGCAGATGTTGCTAAGGCATTGGCAACGCTCAATACCTTGGAGACTTCGTTGGAGAAGAAGACAGCGAAGCCATCTTGCGAAGCCATGATGAACGGACTGAAGCAATACCACAACATGGGCAAGCTAAAGGCACTTGGGAAAGAAGGAGGTATCAGTGTGGACAACCTGGTCGACTACGACTTTGTGACAAGGTTGAGAAAGGTTCTGAACCTGCTGGAATCTATGGAAGGAAAGACAGGTTGGTGCATGCACGACGTTCAATTCATGAACGTTATGGTGAAAAATCATCCGAAGGAAGAAGAAAGTAGAGTGGCCTTGATTGACTTTGAGTTCGTGATGCCAAACTACCGTGCCTTGGATATTGGCGGGCACTTTATGCAGAAAATGTTCAAGTGGTTTGACGAGGAGAGCAAGATTGCGAATTGCAGGAAGTATACCGTGGAAGAGAAGAGACACTTCTGCCAGGAATATGCCGCACAGTGGAACATACTGACCGGTGACTCGGATACCGGGGACCAAGTGCTTTTGGAAAGCGAGTACGGATACTTGTTGGCCCTTGCTTTTGATATTCATATGATGCTGTGGTTCATGAGCGAAGAAAACGATAAGGATCCGTTGAATCTTCTTGGACTTAACAAGCTGTTCGAAGAGTTTGTGGATCAGTATGTTAAACTTGGGCTGGAAAAACCATAGTACAAAAGGAGGTTCCCTTTCTCCTTTATCTTTTAGTGCCTCTCTCTACATGCCTTTGATAATGTGTCGATTGGCGTTGATGTGACAGAACGTGCGCTGGAAAGTCGCAGAGTGGCCTCCACGAAGTTTGATATTCGAACAACTGGCTTTGTTGACAGATATTTTCTTGATATCAAGTATCCCTTGTAACGTTATATTTCATATGTCTAAGTTATTTGAAGCTTGATCTAGTCAGGGTGTCATGCGGCGAGGTAGGTTTCAAATGGACCTTACTGTTATAACTGGGCACGCACCTGCAGAACTACTCCTTATCTATATGATTCTAATTACGTTGCTTCAGACTATATCCTAACGCTACATGCCGTGTGTCGTGTCGAAGAAAGCAGCTAACGGTTAGTCGGTGACTGCCTGGTCAAACTCCAACTTGCAAAATCAGCCGAAGCAACGACGACCTTGGGAATATCAGTATATAACATTCCGACTTAACTTAGATAAGACACCAGAATTTGCTGGGAAGCGTACCGTATTAAGCGCACTTCAATACGGGTACATGTACTGTACCATGTTGGACCCCACCTGCAAATATACAAATAGCGTTTAATCCAGGTGGGGCGGGACCCGCTCTGAGGCAAACCTTGCTATCAGTCTCTTCCACTTTAGGTATCTGATACGATTACGATCCCAAATACGCGTATAGTATGCGGCTATCCGATCCATTCTATTATTGCCACTATTCCAGTCTACTTTCCCACAAGCTAATAGCAGAGACTCTTCTCCTGGTATTCACCGCCTGCTATCAGGAGCCACTCCCTCCTTATTTATTGGTGGACTTCACGGACTCTTCCTCCTTCCTATCATCATCGCAACCAAAAAGTGCAACATGGAAGCATACGGCAACGGTGATGAACCGGCTCCGTCGTATAGATGGGCCGCAGAGGACCATGAGTTGATCAGTCAATCGGCCGATGTGCGGGGTGAGTGGACACACGAACAAACCTGGGAGAATGGGAAAATCTGACTAGCTATAGCCGACGGTCGGATCGACGTCAATCTCGATTCGGTCATTTCCAGGAATATTGCTAAGAGTATCGCCCAGGTCATCGATCTACAGCAAGAGGACTTACATAACCCCCCTCCGAGTTATGAGGACCAGCAAAAGATTCCAGCTTTCGCCTTTGATCTTCAGCTCAACATTGTCATTCAGATTGTAGGCAGTCGAGGGGATGTGCAACCCTTTGTTGCCTTGGGAAATGAGCTCCAAAAACGTGGTCATCGTGTTCGGATTGCCACTCACGATGTATTTGCGGATTTTGTCACGCAATCTGGATTGGAATTCTTCCCGATTGGCGGAAATCCAGTTGAATTGATGGCTTACATGGTCAAGAACCCGGGATTGCTGCCTCAGATGGAGACCTTACGATCAGGGGAAATCCAGAAGAAGCGGGCTATGGTCAGGACAATGCTCGACGGCTGCTGGCGGTCGTGTATCGAGAATGACCCAATATCAAATGAACCCTTTGTGGCAGACGCCATCATTGCGAACCCTCCCAGTTTTGCACACATTCATTGTGCCCAAGCACTGAGCATTCCCCTCCACCTCATGTTTACTATGCCATGGAGCAGTACGAGGGAATTTCCTCACCCTCTTGCAAATTTGAAGCCCTCCCGGATGGATCAAAATATAGCAAACCTCGTTTCTTTTGGTGTGGCAGAGTGGCTCACCTGGCAAGGGTAAGAATGCTTAAAGTTCCCGAAGTATTGGCTAATAGTAGGACTGACTGAACCATGCAGACTGGGTGATGTTATCAATAAATGGCGAGCGACTCTAGACTTGGAACCAATTGCAATGGTACAGGGACCCAGCCTAGCGGAATCTTTGAAAATTCCATTTACGTATTGCTGGTCTCCCGCGTTGGTCCCCAAGCCAATGGATTGGCCCGCGCACATTGGTAAGGTTTCCTCCGAACGTTGATACGATGGCGATAATGAGATGGAAGAAGCTGACGTTGTGCATAGATGTTTGTGGTTTCTTTTTCAGAGATCAACCGACATATAAGCCGTCTGAGGAATTGATGACGTTCCTTAAGTCCGGCCTACCTCCAGTCTACATCGGATTTGGAAGTATTGTGGTTGAAGAGCCCCAATCATTGACCAACGCCGTGCTAGGGGCTGTGGCTAGAGCTGGTGTCCGGGCCATTGTGTCGCGAGGCTGGAGTAACCTTGGCAGCGGTTCCCCCAATTCTAAAGATGTCTTCTACCTCGACGACTGCCCACATGAATGGCTGTTTCAGCATGTCGCGGCAGTGGTTCACCACGGAGGAGCGGGAACTACCGCTTGTGGACTCTTCAATGGGCGACCGACTGTAGTTGTGCCATTCTTTGGAGAGTGAGATTTCAAACTATATCCCATCTATTGTGCTTTCTAGCTGACCTTCCTAGTCAACCATTCTGGGGAGACATGATAGCAAGAGCTGGTGCCGGCCCGCGTCCCATCCCTCAAGCTGCTCTCAATGCACGAAGCCTTGCAGATGCTATTCGCTTTTGCCTGACGGCCGAAGCCAATGAAGCGGCGCAAAATATTTCGATGAAAATGCAGACCGAATCTGGCTTGAATGCTGCGGTTGAGTCATTTTATAGGCATTTGCCGGCCCAAAGAATGCGTTGCCAGATTATGCCCAAACAGGCGGCTGTTTGGACGTATACCAAGTCTAAGAGGCAAATAAAACTTTCAAAACCAGCTGTTCAAACGTTGATTGATCATTCAAAGATTGAGGTAAAGCATCTCCGGTGGTCTGTCCCCTCTTTTCCCCACAGGACAAGTAAGAATAGCTGTACTAATGTTTCCTTCACTAGCCATGACATCAATCCACTGATTATTGAAAACCGCCGGTGGGATCCTCTTACTGGGGTATTGTCCGCTACTGCAACCACCGGATCCAACATGCTCAAATCCACCACTGGCATGGTGACCAATCCTTACCAGGAATATAAACGCAGCCATTCTGATGTTTCCTCACAAAATACTACGTTGAGCGACTTACAGCTTTTGTCGTCAACATCCTCGATTTCCAGTAGCGGTCAACAGAGTGGAAAGCGGGGCGGAAAATCTGCGTCTACCGCAATTTCCATGGCTGGCGCCTTTCTTGGTGGTTTTGGCAAGTTCACTGGCACATACTTCAAAGGCGTCGTAGTGGACATCCCCCACGCAGCGGCCGAGGGCTTCCGTCAGGTTCCCCGACTCTATGGCGAAGAGCCCAAAGACTACGGTACCATTGACAGCTGGAAATCGGGAGCAGTTTTTGGTGGCCGAAACTTTGTCGATGGGATGACCGACGGCTTCAAGGGTCTTGTCACGGAGCCGTATCAAGGAGCCAAGGAGGAGGGAGCGTTAGGTGCGGTCAAAGGGTTCGCGAAAGGTACCATTGGCTTTGCTACCAAAATCCCATCCGGTAAGAGCCTAACATACTAACCTTATGCTTGAATGGCTTTCATACTGACGCTGAGATTCCTTTAGCCGGATTGGGCTTGGTTGCCTATCCTTTCCAAGGCATTGCAAAGAGTATCGAATCGACGGTCCGATCCAAGACCCGAAAGGCTGTCATCAATGCACGCCTAAAAGATGGGTACTCTCTGACCCAAAGGCAGAATATGACACCAGAGGAGCAAAATTATGTCTTGCGAACTTTTGAGACTCTTTTACGTGGCACGAGTACTTGAATGCTCGCTTTACAAAATCAACATGTGGCAATCATTATTTCAATTGTAATAGACTTAATATTTATAGAACTCATAGCCAGGGCGAATAATGATTTCGTTGCGATATAACTTAATGTAAGTGCCTAAGTAATTTTCAGTTACAACACATCATAGCCTTTACTCTTAGTATAATTATCATGTAGATATGTAGCTACAGCTACCAAAGAAGTCATCTTTCATATTGTATGTTCATTAAAGTCAACAAACTAGGAGAGACGTCAGACTTAGGTGCTAGGGTTTTCTGGAACCAAAAGTGTGATCGCTTTGCTCATTTTTAACGTAAAGTCATTAGCTAAATGTTTTTATAATCTCAGTCCCTAATCGTATCTGGCTTGGTCTGAACAGATTGGGGCACTAATAATAGGGACCCGGGATATTCATTCGCTCGGCGGACACGTTTTTTCTCAAGCCACATCACTATTCCAGCAGCGGCAGCGACAAGACATGCCAGGCATACAAAGAGTCCAGTACTCCAGCTCGGTCGGTTGAATCGATTCATTCCCCACATGAAAGCTGCCAAGCAGATCTGGAAAACAGTATTCAGCATGTTCCCCCAAACGACAACGTCCAATTTCCAAAGCGGAGTGGGCGACACATAACGACCCCCTTCCATGCTGCCTCGGTCCCCGGGTTCTGCTGTGAGGGGCAGAACACTCGTGGATGTATGTGGTAGAAACCATTTGGCGTGAATAGTTGCAAGCTTCTTGATCCCTCTCTGGCGACTTCGTTCTGACCAGCCGAGTCGCCAGAAACACCAGTGGTAGGTATCTATAATACGCCACGGGGCCAGACCAAAGCCGGTCACGCAGAATAGAGCATTGAGAATCTGAGAATCGATCTCAATCCATATCCGACGTGATGAATCCAGACTGCTGCAGCTTGGGTGGCACATTGCAGGGGCGGCATTGCAAAGCAGTAGAAATAGCATTCCGCCCCATGCAATCACATTCAAGCCATATATCGTAATTCCAAATCCCACAGGTGTCAATATCCAACGACCAAACGAGCGAGCCGTGGCTCTCCATGATTGCGGAGGGGAGTTTCGGAGGCCTTTGTCGGTATCTATCTGTCTGTCGCATCAGCAAGGTCGCAGAGACAGCAATAGAACGATCTTGAAATGGCAAAACCGACAAAAGTATCCTCTGGCGAGGAAGTAGTAGAGTGGAAGCGCATCGGGATGGCTTCCTCAATCGATCCATCCATCTTATTGATATGAGTCGTCATACTTAAAGGCAGGAACTGGGGGTTGTTGGTGCATTAAAAGCACAATGGAGGTCTTCCGAAAATAGCAGGGAATATCAAGAACCACTAGTGGCAAAATAGGGCACGTATTCGTAATATCAGTTAAGGTCTGACTCTCGAATATGTTTGCCTACCTTCAGCTTATGCACAAAATCTCGATTGAGACTTGTATTGTAACAAAACCATACGGTTACTGTTACTAGTTAGAATTTTACGTTTGTGATCGACGGGTAGATTACCGCGCCCGTTATTCTTAGCTCGTATAAAGTTCCTGACGAGGCTACAAATACGATTACGCGTAAAATCTCCGATCATAGTCTAATTTAGTTGAGTGGTTTTCACGCTAGGAAATGGAAAAAGGATAAAAAGCAAAAAGGGTAAAAAAATCAGCGTCACTATCCCACGTCCACCACGGTAGCCACCACCAGCCTTGCCAGGCTCCACCCATCCATAAACGGAATAGACCAGACAAACTAAGTAGGTGCCTGGAAAAAGCCAGTGGCGCTAAATACAACGTTGCTAATAGTTTCTATTCGAAGGCTCACTCCGATCAGGCTCACCGGATGAAAGCTTCGACTGTCCTCCAAACGACAGATACGTACCCGGGTATAAAGTGGTTTCCTAATTTCTTGGCCTTTACAACCAACACAATTACCAACATACGATTTGACAGAGCGCGCATTTTTCGGTCCCATCTCCCAATTGATTGCGATGCTCTCTCGAACGTTTCAGCCCTTTTGACGATTGCTAGGAATGATACATTAAAGCGTACAAGCCGATCATTGTCTCTCCACGGAGGGACTGCAGGTATATAAAAGCGTGGATTGTTGCTGATCTGTATGCGCGGCTTCATGGGCTCTGAGACCAGTTTTTACAATTATCTGCGCATGTTCACTATTTGTTGACAGATCTTCTAAGCGAATCCCATGTAACATACACACGGGTTTATCCACGATACAAGGCTCGTGGCGAATTGCAACCCACAGCCTGTGCCCCCCACCATCCCAGATACTGGAGGCAAGAAATGGCAAAGATTCCGCTCGACAGAAAAGCAAGCACGCCTGCCCTCAGTCCTGATGGTAAGCTTGTTACAGTGGGGTCGAGGAAGCTATCCACGTGTTTCATGTGGGTACGCAAGAGCGTCTCAAAGTGCTAAGAAGACATACAGGTGTGGTTGGGACAGTTCAGTTTGCTGCGGGTGTGGTCAATAACTCAGAGAGCCAAAGCAAAAGCCGCTATATGTTAGTATCAGAAGGTGATGTTGAGAACAAGCATATGGTTATTATGTGGGAGCTAGACGAGCATGGGAAAGCCATTACCTCTGCGAGTATTCATACTTAACCTCTTATCAACCTATCGTGATAGGTTGAATTTAGTATAGGGTTAATAACGTCACTTAATCATGTAAGGGTACGCTGAGACTGCAGGACCGGCCTACTCCACTACTCTGGCAACTCAATGAGTCTCCGTCACTATTTGGCGGTTTAGCTGAACATATGAGAGCGTGAGATATACCATTCAACTTGTGAATTAATGTAATAATAGTCTAACATCCATTACCAGAACGAAGCCACCCAAATCCCATGAAAGGAAACACACATGAAGCACTGAAGCAATGGCTCCCAAATACAAATCTAGTGAGAACCGAGAATCAAGTTGAAAAAGAAAAAAGGATTGTAGCAATCATAACAAAGCATGAAATCCAGATCGAAACCCTTCAAACAGCATGATAAACCTTGAAACTCTTAAACTCCCAAAACGCATCAACAAAACTCTCCGGACTACTCTTCACAAACTCAGTACAAGTCGCAGGACAATGATACATATTATCATAAAACTGCGGCTGACCAGCAAGCTCCCCACAAAGATCAATATTAGCAATAATACTCTGATTCCTGAAGTGCGAAGCAATATCACACTCCGTACCAGGGAAATCCGCCAAAGCAGTCCCCCAAGTGGAAGGATCAGGCTTCGAAGCGGTGATATCAGCGGGTATCGAATCCCGTCGGAAGAACCAAGCACGGATACCCGCCTCGCGCAGCTCAAGGGCGTAAACGCCGCCGCCAGCCTTGTTCATTGCGTCGCCGTATGTATCTTCCGAACCAATAACGCCACAGCCTGTATTCCCGCCGACGCTACCATCGCAGTTTTCGAAGGAGGCTTGGCCGGTTTGTTTGCGTTTGACGTCTTTCATTGTACAACCTTTTGTTGTATGTAGGGTGACTTCATTGCCGTGGGCTCCTTCGTTTGTTGTTTCCAGGACATCAATCTCGCCATTCGAGGGCCAGTTATATCCATCTGTTAACCATAATGCTGGCCATGTCGCGCAGCCGAACGGTGTGTGGAGGATATCGAAGATGAAGAGGCCGTTGTCGTATTTATTTATCGATTCGATACGCACAGAGTTCCGGCCTGCGATGGCGTTTGGTGTCGAGGCGTCGACGCGTAGGATGGCTGATGTCTCTGTAGCGTGGGTGAGGTTTAAGTCCGTGGCTGCTTCTTCGTTGACGTAGATTACGAAGCCCGATGTTGGATCTTGTTCGGTGAAGTAGGTGAAGTGGTCGAAGAAGGCGGTTCCCTCGTATGTGTCGGTCAGGGTGTAATCGAGGGGTGTGTATTTTGGGTATCTGTTTTTCACGACTTCAACGGGGACCACGATGACTATCAATAGTAGGACTATGGCTGCTCCCCCTGCGAGGAGTTTGTTGCGTAGCGACCAGCCACGTGGGTCATATCGGTGGAGTGTGGTCGTGGCGTCTCGGCCTGGGACTGCGGAGGTCGTGATCGGGGTTTTGGTTTCGAGGGTGGGAATGCGCGAGGTGGCTCCACTGTAGCGGTCGAGAAATTGGGGGGTAGTTGGCGGTCGTCCATAGTAAAATTATATATTAAGTAGAGATGTTTGATTTTCTAAGAGATGCTCTGGGGATGTTAAGAACGACCATGACTCTTCTTTTAACCTTGGGCAGCAGCAACAATCTGTCGTCATGGACCCTGGAATGGAAGTGTCGATCACAACGGGTTCCCGTTTGCGGAGCCACGGATGGCTTGTCTCAAAGTAGTCTAGTCTGGCTCACTATGCCTTTCTAAGGACTAGCTCTGTTTCTTAATCCAAGGTCCGAACTGGTACCAGGCACAGTAAGTACTAAATATCTGGTGTTCTTTACTTAATGTACAGGGTTTTGTGTCTGGCATTCTACTGTATGTTCGAGGCGCAAAACACGTCACCGCCGAGACTGGACTCCCCGCGATCGGTAAAGGAATGTGCACGGTCCCGACGTGTATTGAAATAAAAAAAATGAATGCAGAAAATATCCAATAGATGTTCAGGTTATTTCCAGTATGTAGCTAATGCGGGTATGTATGTAAAAACGCCAATTTCCTATGGTATCAACAAAAAAAGCGAAGATCCGCCCATTGTCTATCGATTGGATCGGATAGTCGAGGAGCGATGCACCAGAGAGCCTGTATTTGGCGCAGGACCTGTTTGCCAGTCATGAGTTTCCGAACCCGATGTCTGGGCGGCATCGTTCCTCGCCTGAGATAGGGTACGCGACTGTGATTGGCCGAAAGATCCAGCACCGCTGAGGTTGGATGCGCGTCGGCGCATCCGCCTCTCGCTCTGTTCGGCTTCGTGTCGGTTCATAGCGTCGGATGGGAGCAGGACAGCACGATCCAGCGCGTAAGGTAGGCCACGGTGGCGACCACGGAGTTGCATGGCGATGATCACCAATTTGGAAACCACATTGAACTGCCCGGCGAACGAGGTATTCACGTTGGGATAACCAAACGACAGACCAACTGTACCATAGGCGGAGACAACCTCGAACAGAACGGTGAATAGCTGGAAGGAGTAGTCGTCCTGTGACTGCAGCCTTCCGCCTTCTGCGATAGCGATAATAAACAGACCCAAAAACACATACCACAAATCGAAACTCAGCTGGCGCCGCAAGTGAGCGCCGATATAGGTGGGTGCGTTGGAATCCTCGTCGTGATCCTCATCGGTAGCATCATATATACCAAGACTCTTCTCTTCATACACATTGGTTCGACGCATTGAAATAGCGATCGGAAAGACTGAAATATACATCATGATGAGATAAGAGACCTGGATAGCAGGGTGGAGGTATGAAAGACTGATGATTCCGAAACCGGCCGTTCTTGTCGCAGCCGCCTGGAAGAAGCCATCTAGGACTCGGATTCCAGCAGGGAGTGCAGTGACAGCAGGATCGTTAAGCTACATCGTGGGTCAGCGGAGTCACACAAGAAAGAGAGGGAGTAACTCACATCGAGAATAACGAAGAAGATCACATCGATGCCATTCAAGGCAACGAGGATCGCAAACAGCCACCAGGTGGCATTGCGAGGGAACAAGAGAGTAAAACATCGGCGCGGGTGGTCCAAAAGGAACTTAAGTTCTTCCCATAGGGCAGTGCCCTGGCGGGTGAATTTGGACATAACCCAGATCATCAAACGGAGCATACATGGGAACGCAGTGTTTCCTATGATAATCAAAAATGACAACATGAGCAACGGGAAGACGGCCCGCTGGAAGGAGTAAAAGGAGTCGGGCGTCAAGGTGAAACCCAAGTCGTTAAAGGCAGAGGCAGCAGTGAAAATTCCCCACCAAGGCCGTCCAACTCCAGCTTCTCTGACAACATTGCCCCATTGGTTCACGGTCATGATCCAGCCGATCATGCTAAGCATGCCGATGAGATGGAAGCCAATGTAGTAGGTGATAAGCACGACAGCCAAGGTCTTCAGTGCACGGTATTCAATACCGCCCAGCTCGTCACGCTGTTCCTCGGTTAGATCAACAAAGTTGGAGTTTCGTGCCACTGTCGCATTCCAACTGAGATATGGTTGAGTCGTTAGCTCCCGTTCCTGTGTCAGAGATCGGAAAATTCCCCTGAAAGTATTTCTCGTGTTGGTAGGGGCAAGCGTAGTCGTTTCATTCCCGTCTTTAGTTTCTCGGAACGTGGGTTGAGTATTCAGACGAGGGAATGTATTCCCGCGTGGACGAGTCCTCGGGATGTCTGGCTCGTTGATGGTGATGTGGGGTCCTTCAAGTGGACCGAGTTGATCATGCGCCTCGGGGTGGTTTGACGGGCTAGCATCGGTGTTACGAGGACTAGGAGGGGGAGCCTGCTCTTCCTCCTGATCGGCATCTTCTTCCAAAGCTTCGGGGGCTCCACCACGATCATACTCGCGCGGACTCGGAATCCGGAGAGCTCCTTTGTCCTTCCGTTGCTTTTCCAGGAAGGCGATGTGAGTTTCGGGGTTCAGATGAGTTGGGACCTTCAAACTACCGAGTCCGAATCGAGGCTCAGGTTCAGTTTCCGTTTCATCGGAACTGGAGCTGGAGCTGGAGCCGGACCCGGAGCCAGACCCGGAGCCAGACCTGGAGCCAGACCCAGCACTGGGTGTGCGAATCTCTGGACTGTCAACCCCCGGAGCTATATTTTTGCTGGACTGGTCCGCCAAGCGACCGTCTCGTGCATCTCCCGAATTGTTCCGCAACACCACAATCGGTCGGCCACTAACTCCAAGTTCCGCACGGTTGACCTCATCGCTGTCCCGGTCCTCAGTCACAGTTTCCATACGGGAACGGGTCCGTCGCATCGCACGTGCGTCGCGGACCACATGCTGGAAACGCTTCTCAAACCAGTACAACCGGATAAAAACCAGGGCACTATGAATGAAAATCGGCGTACACAGACAGGGAATCAAGTATAGGACGATTTGTTGGTAGAGTCGGAGTTTATTGAGATCGACGGTGTTGAGCCCGCTCTGGGTGGCGGCGCCAGCGGCGAAGAAGAGCGCATCGATATAGGCGAGCTCGCTGCCGGGATAGAGGATAATCGAACCGATGATGACCCACGAAATGATATAGGCATAGTGGATGAAGATGAAGTTGAGGTGCAACTCGTTCAGCAGCGGAACCCGTTGCTTCAGGGAGGATACCCGTCGAATGAAGGCCGAGAACATGTTGACCAGGCACAGTCGGCCAAACGGTTGCCGAAAGGCCACAGGGGCCGGATTTGACGAGATGGGAGACTCTCGAAATGAGGGGAATTTTTCAATCCTGCATGAATTTAGCTCGCACCTCCGACCTCGTTCTGCGGGCCATACATGTGGTCCCGTCGATCGCTACCGAGCGGAGAGTTTTCCAGAGAGCACGCCGCTCTTAGCCGCGTGGCATTGAGCCACAATTGGAGCCGATGGAAGACATGAGAAGGATAGAGAAATGAAAGTAATAGAAAAGAGAGAAAGAGACGAACAGATAAAAAAAGAAAAAAAAAGAACCAAATAGCAAGCTGCGAAAAAAATAACGCATGCGGCCGGCAAGATTACCGTATGGTACTGTCAACTGCCACGGAAAACGTGGACTGCCGATCGTTTTGCCGCCCGTTTTGGGTGTGGCGGAGCAACTCCAGCTGGTTTTGGTATGTAATGCGCACTCTCTCCTGGCAGTAAGAGCGCAGTTATCCACTGTGGACTCTCTCCCCTTTTTCCTATAGTCAAGCTTTCTTTTGTTTCATATCTATTTCGGACTATGCAGAAGTGGCGGTGGAACGCTACTGCAGTCTGCAATCTGCAATATGCAATCTGCAGCAGGCATGTGGTCACTGCAGTATGCATAATGGATTTGATAGCTCCAATATTCCGATATACCTCGATTGCTACAAAGTAGCAAGTTGTATCTGGCTGCCTGACCAGGGGCGAATCTGAGATTGGCCCACTTTTCATTCCACCATGTCGTGGCCCGGCCCTAGACTGCTACACTTAACCCCTGTGATATTAGGGCTGGTGAAAAATCACACTGTTTCCTCGCTGATTGGTCGGCCTCTCTTTGCATTTCGACACCTTGTACTTGGCACTGCAGTCGAGATATCAGGCCTCTTGTCTTGTTTCCAATTATCTGTCAACATGTCTCAGGCACTGTCTTCTCATTGGGGCAATTCTTTCTCAACCCCGCTGGCGGTGTGCAGTACATGTAAAAGAAGCGACAAGGGGGTATATGTATACGACCGTTTCCGGAAACCAGCTTGCCAAGTCACGGTCGCTCCGGACATTCTTGCCGGAAGGGATGATCTTTTCCAAATGTTACTATTTGACTTGATCGTGTTCGAGCCATTCCACGCAAAAATGATATCAGCTGCCAAGAATAAGGCCCGCCATTCCGGTCACTTGTTCTCGAAGCTCATGGTGGACCCAGGGCAACAACACTAATAATTGAGGGAACTCGTTGTTTACCCTTTCGGGGCTATGTCGGCTGTCTATGCTGTATGAATAGGGGTTGTCGGAGAGCCTGACCGTGGGTTTTGTTTAACAATACAGTAAGTACAGTAAACAACCGAGCGACATATTTTCTGTATACACTTGCCTAAGAAAATAGACGGAAGAGCCAAGGGTGTAAGCGAAGCCACTCGTATCTGCAGCTGATAAGATCGGATGTGCCAATCAGCTGATTGCGCAAGTGAAGCATCATAAATCGCCATCTACATGTACTGTAGTTGGATTGAAGATCGGACTTGCAAATCGATATAGAATTCCCAAGAGGCTCTACACAAACCCGCTCACCGTGCGAATCTATAACTGACGGGTAAGAAGTGAAACAAGAATTGGTATATTTGTATATTTGAAATAACATTTTACTCGCAAATGCTTGCTTATAATGAGCGTATAAGCTAGTAGTCATTCTTCAGCTGACCAACGGGAGGAATGATTCCCTCCTTCTCCAAAACGTCAAATGTCCTATCAAACGCCTCCCAGGTGTCTTCGTATCCGGACCACCCAAGCTTCCTAGCCTTGCTCATGCTAGCAACACAGCCCCATTCACGACCAAGCACGAAAGTCAAAAATCCCCATGTAGCCTTGTCCCAGGCAGCTTGGTCTAAGTTATATTTCCCCTTGAGCTTATTCCATGCTTCATTGACATCCTTTCGCTGTGCCCATTTCTGGGGATCGATAGGAAGTCGAAGAGTGGGGGTCCGAGAGTTCACAGGATCATCCGCAATGCCCATTGTTTTGGCGTGCACAGAAATAGGGTTGTTGTTCTTGAGTTCAGCGTTGGTGGCCTCATTCTTGTATCCTTCAGTCATAGCAGGGTCGAACATGTTCTCCGGGATTGCGCAACCAAAGCGCTCTGCAAGAAGAGGCCACAAACTCTGGAAAGACTGGGTGTCTCCGTTGGTAACATTGAAAATATTGTTGCCAGCGCCAGGTGCAGTGGCAGCCCACAAGCAAAATTGGGCATGCAGCTCTGCAGAAGTCCAGCAGTTGTTGATGAAGTAGTTCACTTTATTGCCGGGGTAAATCAACTGTGAACCTGGCAGAGCTTTGCTGACAGCACAATATAACCCAAGAGCAGTAGCCTCGTTCATGAAGTTATGCTTAGCGTAGCCGATAACATCGTTCGGAAGGGTACAGATCCATTCCCAATTGCCTCGAGCTGCAGCTTCTCTCAAGATGTTCTGTTGAGTATAGTAAAAGTTCGGTGGCCATTCGTGACCACCGATGCCGTCCTCCAACGGAGGATCAGATTCGACGAGCGGCTGCTTAGGCAATCCGAGATGGACACCGTAGTGTTTTAATCCACAAGTGAGGATAAAGCGCTTGAGTTTCTTTGTCGCGCCGGTAATCTCAAGGGCTTTGATAAAGTTGGAGAGCAACGCGCCGTTCACGCGAGCCGCCTCGTCATCATTGTCGCGCGCCAGGTAGGCACAGAAGTAAATGTACTCTGCGGAAATGCCAGCAAGGCTCTTGGCCATTTCCTCTGCGGAGCCTTGGAGGTCAAGGCAGGCGTGCTCGACTCGTGCATCTTGTACACTTGGCTGGCTTCGCGAGAGGGTGTAGATTTTGGTGTACGAAGGATCTTTCAGGAGATGGCGAACGATCGCATTTCCAGTTATTCCTATCATGTGTATGTTAATCAAGTCATTGTGTGTTGAAGATCTCAAGTGAGTTCGAACATAGTTTCACTTACCTGTAGCACCAGTGACAATAGCAGAAGGCATAGTGGATTGAAATTAGTTCAGGGGATACTTCCAAATCGATGAATTAATCACACTTTAAGTCATTCTCAGAGATGGGTTGTCTTACTGGAGGTGACGTAACTATATGCAGTCTCGGTCTCTTGAATTTGACTAGAAATGTGACGTCTTGATGCTGCCTGGCCCCACGTCAGAATTAGGCTCAGCTTGTATTTCCGGTAGCTTCAAATCTTGTTCCGAGCCTCTACCCGAACAACTCCGTAAGGTCTTCTGATTGTTTCTCGGGATTTGAACTGGTATTTGATTCCAACGTGAGGGTCGAAGGGATCTGGAATAAAATCAAAGTACGCAAGGAACAGCAACATCGAGCTTGTATAATGTAAACTAGTTCTACATGTTCGGATCATTTGCCATGTTCAAAGTGGATGTAGAAAACATCATCAACCTCAAATCCATAGGACTAGACAGCAAGCAGGCTGACCGTACCTCTATGGCTCGAGTTTCTCCAGCCAACGCAAGACAGTAGGGCTGTAAAAAGTCGTTCGACGTTGTCGTTTCCGCGAAGTCCCAAAGCCTGTCAGTCAATGTCTCACTCTCCATGCCCTTGAAAGGATTCCTTTTATCGAGCAATAGCTTGACCACGCGGTCGTATCCTTCCTCATAAGCGGCCAATAAAGCAGACCAGGTATGATCTCGCTTCTCCTTGGCCATGACGACTATGTATAGCGACGTCAAGTAAAGGTCAGATTGGTGATGGTGATAAGTTTGCTGCGATCGCTAATCCTGCCTAAGCGCTGTTGTTTAGGGTGTCACTAAAAGGACCACCCCTCCCCCACCCCACATATTGAGCGTTCGGACCCTACCTACGTTCACTAAAACCGATGAGGTCTCATGCAGTAATTGTATTTCCAATGCATTAAACGGTAAAAATGCATCAATCTTGGCAATTCTAATGCCTCTAGAATTTGCGGTCATGAATCCGAGGTGCTTCTATTTACTATGCATAAGGAAACTACGTATTTATGGCCAGGGCTCCTACGGTGACTCCTCCAAAGGAGGAAGCAATCACACTCCCAAAGAGACTCTTTCCAGTTCATTCGGTTATGGTTTCGGGGCGCGAATGGTACCTCGCACAGCATATCCCAACGCTAGCAGTTGATCAACGACGTGAGATTCAATATAGCCATTTGCGCCAGTCACGAGGATCCTGCTTCCTGTGGGTAAAGCATGGGACACCATCTTCAGGTAGTGCCAAGGTTGATATCTAACGTTCAGAATTAGAGTTATATCGACTCGTTAGGGCGTATGGCGTGTCCAGCACAGTCGGGATTAACTATCCGGTCAGGGTGGGCGGTCTGGTCAGACAATATTCAAAGTGACAATATATCTATTTTCATGTCAACGCATCTCCAAACCTAGAAGAATCGAGATAGAGTTGAAAGTTGAAGAAGCATGTCTTATCCCCGATGTATACTGAATAGCCGACAGTCTGGGGCGTAAAAACTTGGTTTTTAAGCTACGCGCTCGTTAGGCTATCCCTGTATATACTCATCGTAGCCCTAATCCAGCCCTAAATCAAATGGGTAAACAGCTATAATCACATGTATCAATTTCCTTTGCTCCTATTTCTCATTTGTTAGTTTCAACTCCCGTGGCTAGATATAACATTGTGGAACCATGCGTATTCCTTGAAGGGCTACAACCCTAAGCTCTGCTGATGAAAGCGAGTGTAGAACAATAACATGCATCATAAACCTGACTAGGTATGCTGTCGCGTGATTAGATCACTTACTATTGATTTTGTTCCGAAGTGTGCGTTCACTGACTTTCGGCCACACACGTAGATACTCCATCATTGGCCCAATGGAGCATCCCACTAGCCAAATTAGAGCGGAACAGCCGGATCTGCCTGATCTCCGGGATGCCATCATTGACTTGTTTCGATGTTATCAATCTAGACCATTGTGTTGAATATTCAGGAGTTATTTATCGAATGAGATAACTCATTATGATATCCATCTTAAGAATCTTTGCCAGGCCGCGAGTGGGGGTAACAATAGCAGTGATGATCCTGCTGCTATTCATTCTACCAGACATCTACAGGACGCAGGCCGATGATGAGGGTATACCAGTCCTCCAACCTGAGATCCATGTATCACCAGCCACTACGGTCTTCACACCTCCATTCTACACTCGAGGCCGATACATCCAGGATGCCGAAGGGAGGAAGGTCAAGTTAGCCAGTATCAACTGGTACGGGGCCAGCGACATCCACTTCATCCCATCCGGGTTAGATGTACAACATCGAGATGACATTGCACAGTTGATCCGAAAGCTAGGCTTCAACAGCGTGCGACTCCCATATGCCGACGAGATCGTGGACAAGAACCCAGTGATAAACTCATCCCTGGTTGCAAGCAACATGGACCTCCTCCAAACAGCCACAACCCCCGGTGAACCAACGGCGTTGGAGGTCTACCATGCCGTAGTGGAAAGCCTAACAGCAGCGGGACTCCTCGTCATTGTAAACAACCACATCACACAGGCAACATGGTGCTGCGGCATCAACCTCTGCGACACAGGCTGGTCGAACGACTGGTTCGGCGGATCGCTCTTCTGTCGCATCCCCCAAACCGAAGAGCAATGGATCCGCAATTGGGAAACGGTGATGCGACCGTTAGCAGGGAATCCACTCGTCCTAGGCGCCGACCTGCGAAACGAGCCGCGAGGACTCTGGGGTACGTTGGGCTGGGAGGACTGGGCAAGCGCAGCAGAGAAGGCCTCGGAACGACTACTCGACATCAACCCGGACTGGTTGATGATCGTGGAAGGGATCTCATCAGCGAACGATCTGTCACGGGTACGGGAACGGCCAGTACAACTGAGTCGGCCGGGCCGAGTGGTGTACTCGGCGCATGTATATAAGTGGTCAGGCTGGGGAGATCTGTACCCATATTCTCAGCGGACATATGGTGAATTTTCAGCAGCGATGGACAAGAACTGGGCATACCTGCTTTCTGAGCATATTGCGCCAGTCTGGGTTGGGGAGTTTGGAATGCCTGGTGAGCCGTCAGCAGGTGACCAGAACTACTGGAGTCATCTGGTACAATTTCTGGCCGAGGTCGATACCAACTGGGGATATTGGGCGCTCAACGCGCGCAAACCAGACGGGGAATGGGAGAGTTATGGCTTGGTGGGGGATTCGTGGGATTGGTCGTCGGTGCGGTGGGATTCGCGACTGGAGGATTTGCGCGCGCTGGGACTTATTCAAAGTTAACCCTTGAAAGAGAAAGGAGAGAGGTCAAGACATGTGCCTCAGGGTTGACCACGCTCATGCGATGCCGACGATTATTGGTTCTGGGGCGGCGATGGTGGAGAGACCAAAGCCCTCGACAGCCAATGTTGAGGGCGGACGGAACGCCAAGCTTTTGAAGTATATACATGCCTGCACGTTTTGAAATCTCGCTCCTATACTTGTCTATACTGTTGATTAGGCACGATGATCACCTTGCAGCTACTGCATATGTTTGCAATAGTGTGTAGGATCAATTTTAGGATACCTGCTAAGCCATAATTCACCGTATAAACCTGTGAACCCCCGTGTGACTCCCTTCTCTCCTTTTCCTCCGTCTCTTCTTTTGCTCTCTGACAAGCTCCGATCTAGACTGCAAGATGCTGGTGTGGCTGTCGCGCTGCCTGCCAGGGCTCAGCATTATCGCATTGATCTTGATGCTGGTATTTGCTTTCTCCGATCTCCTGAAGTCGGCTCTATGGAAGAGTTTCTTTCCCCCGTCTACCAAGCCTCCCTCAGAAGGTCCATGGAGCGGTCTCAATATTGCGCAGATCATTTTTGTGGTCTATATCGTGTTTATCCACACCCAGATGTTTGCCTTCACCATTCGTCTTGGGTTGTCGCTCTTCAACATCACCAAGGAGACCCGACGGGCCATAAACAGACGTCAATTGGAGAATGACCCGGATTCTCCATTTACAGCAGAGTCTAGAGAATCATTTGACCAGTCTCTGTCCAAGTCTTTTCATACAACCGAGGTCGAGATCGGCACTCCAGAATTGATCAATGCGATTATTCTTCCCAACTACTGCGAAGATCTTCACACCCTTGAGACGACACTGAAGGTATTGGCAAGTCATCCCAGGGCGAAGACGCAATATGATGTGAGTTTTTCAGTGCTCCATATTGTCTTTCAGGCGCTAAAATAAGCCAGATTTACCTCGCAATGGAGCAAAAGGAGAATGCCGCAATCGACAAGGCTGCTCAATTGGTCTCGTCATTTGAAAAGTCCTTCCTAAACGTCCAAACCACCTTCCATCCTGCCGGTATACAAGGGGAGATTGCAGGGAAGAGTTCTAATGTGGCATTCGCGGCACGAAGGATCGTCGAGGTCTACCGCACATCCCTACAACTGGAGTCCTGCAATGTGATGGTCACTGTGATGGATGGTAAGCTGTGCTTTACATCAGTGAATCCCGTTATTAACTTTCATTTAGCTGATACCCATCTATCCCGCGATTACTTCACTGAAATCCGCCGACTACACTACTCGCACATCACCGAAGCAGACCGTTCAATCTACTGCTGCCCAATAATCTTCGACCGCAACTCCCACGGAAGTCCAATACTCGTTCGATGTGCAGACCTGCTATGGGGCTTCGCAGGATTATCCACCATGTACCCCTACACATTAATCGCCATCCCGACTTCCGTCTACTCCCTCCCGCTATCCCTAGTCGAAAAGGTCGGCGGCTGGGACAGCGACCCAGCAGCGATCGGTGAAGACCTCCACATGCTCCTAAAATGCTACTTCGAAACAGCCGGCAACCTCATCTCGCGCGTGGTCTACATCCCAGCAAGCCAATGCAACGTTTCCAGCGACGCAGGACGCGGCTGGCGCCGAACAATCGACACCTGCATAGCCCGCTACCGCCAGGCCCTGCGACACATGTGGGGAGCCTTAGACTCAGGATTCGCTGCACGGCGGACAATTGGATATCTACGCTTCCACCAGCGCTGTCTGTTCCTGCGGCCCCGACATTTCGCCTTGCTCCACTTGCTCTGGGAAGCGCATTTCATGCCGTGCCATCTTACCCTGCTTATGTTCTTCTCTGTCTTTTACACAATGTGGAACCCCGTTTCGTCACTTCATCCTACCCTGGCGTGGACGTTTTCGTTTACTAATACCCTGCGCACGCTTGGGTTTGTTGGGATGAATATCTGTTTAGCGTTGTATGAGCGCTGGCATGCTATTTGTTTGGATAGCCGGGTGAAGGATATGCGTGAGGCTAATTTGCCTGATACAGGCTTCTCTCGACGTGTCTGGTATCAGCCGCAATATCTCTTTGAGCGAGTTTGTTTTCCCATTTCGGGTACTTTGTACGGTGCTGTGCCTACTATTCACGCTGTGTTCTCGCACTTCTGGACGGATCGGTTGGTATATCGGGTCAGTAAGAAGCCGACGTTCAGTGAAGAGCTGGGGGTGCTGTGATCTGTTTATGTTACTATGTTACATATCAATAAGTTAATACTAATGCTTGAAGTGATATGTTGTTCGCATAGACCTGCTTGATCGGAGATCGGAGTGGGGTTGCATCCTTGACTGACCCCACGGTCTCCAACTTGTTGGGGTAACAGATAACTTACCTCTTTAACATCACCCTTGGATATTCCTCCTTTCTTCTATTCTCTATTGAGCCAACTGAATAGACTCAACATGGCTCCTAATCCGCGTGTGTCCGTCATCCAGTGGCAGATCAAGGTGAGTTCGAATTGACATAGCTGCATTCGCAGGCACTATTGCAAATTATACTGACTCACAATATGGCAGCCATTGGATCCTGAATACAATCACGCAAAAGCATGCGAATACATTCGAAAAGCAGCTGGCCAGAAGGCCGAACTTGCCGTCCTGCCAGAGTAAGGCCAACCTCACCACCAGCACCAACACCAACCAACACCAACATCAAATGGCCCGGCACTAACACAATAAACCAGATACCACCTAAGCGGCTGGGTCCCCAACGATCCCCTCTGGTCAACCCAAGCAACAGACTCCCCAAAATACCTAGCAAACTACCAAACCCTAGCAAAAGAACTAGGAATAAGCCTCGTCCCAGGAACAATCATCGAAAAGCACACTGGCGAAAACAACACAACCCTCTTCTACAACACAGCCTACTTCATCTCAAACGATGGCTCAATCCTATCGTCCTACCGCAAAAAGAACATCTGGCACCCGGAGCGACCACATCTAACCTCCTCCACAAACGAGCGCCATATCGCATTCGACACGCCGGTTGGACGCGTTGGTATGCTCATCTGTTGGGATTTGGCGTTCCCCGAGGCATTTCGGGAGTTGATTGCTGATGGGGCTAAGATTGTTATTATTCCTACTTTTTGTATGTTCCATCTCCCTTACATTTGCCCTCATCTTGCGATCCTTGCCATCTTTTCTTTCTATATACTAACAATGATTACCAGGGACACCCCACGACGCATCACCAGAAGCACGCAAAAGTAATCCAAATTGCGAAGCCCTCTTCCTCGAATCAACGATTACAGCACGTTGTTTCGAGAATACTTGCGCAGTGATCTTCGCCAATGCAGCGGGTCCTGAGGAGGATTTCTTGGGATTGTCGCAGATTACACTTCCTATTACTGGGCCTGTGGGGAAGATGGGAGCTGAGGAGGGTGTTCTTGTCCGCGAGTTGGATGTTGGGGTTGTTGATGCTGCCGAGGCTAATTATAAGGTTAGGCAGGATCTTGGGAGGGGGGATTGGTATTATTCTTATCGGCATTCTATCAAGCAGTAGACCTGATGTGAAGGTGATGGGATGGGGATGGAATTTGGGGTAGATTATGCATGACATACAGGAGCGCTAAGCCTAATGGGAGTTGGAGTAGAAACACTACCTAAATCACTACCTAGCAGAACGCATGTACAATGGTTATACAAATTCATTTTATCGAGAAAGGGAAGTAGAGCATGTAGAAAGGAAAGTCTGAATTCTAAAGCTAAGTCATAAAGCAGAGACAATCATTAATTGATACAGTCGTCATCTGAAAATCCACGAAAGTCGAACACAGACAATGACCAAATGAGAAAGGAAAACGGTATAGAGCTCTCAAATTGGGGGCAAAAAGCGAAGAAAAATTGAAAAGCGAGCACATAGGAAAAACAAAGCAACAAACCAACCTCCCCAGTCTTAGCCAGATACAACCCGGTCTTGAGTCGAATCACCGAGCACCGAGAGGGATCTGAAGCCTAGGCCAACAACACACGTTGTTATTCTGGGGCAAAGGCAGACAAGAAGAGCAAGGTACGAGTATAGTTCGAGATATTCACGTCATAAAATCCACAGGCAGCCCAACTCCGCCAACGCGATAGCTCAATCATACAGTCGGCCGATAAACATGGAATGGAATAAAATGATTTCGTTTTTCCCTGGTATGGGCCACTCTTTACTGGACTTGGCTGACGATCTCGCTGGCGCGGCCCAGGCTCTCCACCATTTGTTGGCATTCCTTTCGTCGGCGGACTGTGTAGTCGCTTTCCTTGAGTAGCTCGTCCAGCTCGTTGTTGCGGTACATGTTCTCCAGGAGTTCGCGTTGCATTTCGTCTTTGGTGAATCTAGATTAGTTGTTAGTATTTGAAACACTGGTGATGGATATAATACATACTGGACCAGGGTATACATGACAGCCTTGGGAACCATGTCAATCATGGTGCGCTTGACAATGTTGAAGTAGGAGGTGATGAGCAGCTCTGTCTAAGTGTTAGTGATCGGTCATTGGAATACTGCTAATGTCCACTTACTGATAACCTCAACCTCGGTGGCTTCACGCTCAGACAAGCTGGCAGAAGCCTTGAGAGTTGGGGGAGGAGCCTCCATCAGGGCCATCTTCTTCTTGTTCTTGGAGGCCCAGAAGCTGCCGAAGAAGCCACTGCCGTTTTGGGCTTCACCGGTAGTATCAAGGGAGGGACTCTGAGCACGGCCCGGCAGAGGCTTGCCAGTCTTGGGGTCGACCTGGGTAGGCTTGGAAGCTTGCTGGCGCTCGTTGACGAGAGTCATGGCGCGGTGACCATTTAGGAAGTCAGGGTGGCCAGTGTTCACGTAGGTGGCCTCCATGTTGATCAAGTCCTTGACCAGCTTGTTGGTGGGCTCCATGCACTTCTTGAAGAAGGCGATGACCACAGCGTGGAACTTCTCCTTCAGCATGGGGTAGCGGCGGAACAGCTGCTTGGTCAGGAGCTGACTCAAGATTCGGACAAGCTCGTCAAAGACCAGGGAGATACACTTCAAGCTGGGCTCTTCCAGACGCTTGATCTGCTGCTTGACAATCAGCTCGAAGGCGGTGGTTCCGACAAACAGTGCCGGGGAGGAACCAGAAGAGTTGTAAAGGATGGTGCGGATGTCAATGTCCTTGACCATGTCGAAGGGATCAACGGCCTTGATACCGTTGGAGTAAAGCTCGTGGAACACGAAACTGATACGCGCACCACCTGACAGCTCAATACTGGACAATTCCGTGTTGTTACCCTCCAAGACTGTGCGGTACTCGTTGCTGAATTCCGTAATGATGTTCAGAATAATGTTGGCACTGTTGCCGAGCATGGAGTCACCGAGTTGCGCAAGCTCCGATGTATACTTCTGGAGGGAGGAGGAAATGCGGGCCTTGATATCGGGCAAGGTTTGTTTGATGTGCATCATAAGAATCTAGAGATAATTTGTTAGCTCATCAGTTCCCGTTGCGATTAGAAGAAGACATACCAGGTTGAGCTTGCGTGCCAAGTATGGCGTACCGCAGTAAGAAGCCTTATTCCGGTAAGCCTTGTGGTTCTCGAAGAAGTTCTTCTCATTCTCCAGAGCAGCAGCGATGAGCTTCTTGTTCTCAATGTCACGCTGGCCACGGTTGACCACAGGAACGTAACCCAAGCGCAAGGGGATAATTCGTCCAGCGAGAATATCCACCACATCAGTTCCCTCGTCCATCAGATCGACCTTACTCAACACACCGATAGTGCGTTGACCCTCCGGATCCACCTCACGCGCTAGCTTGAGACCATCGGAGTTGGCAAGATCCTGGTTGGCCGAAGTAACAGCCAAAATGATTGCGTTGGGCTTGCTGATGTACTTGAGTACCATCTCACGGATCTGGCGCTCAATATCCTTCGGCTGGTCTCCAACAGGCACCTTGGTCAAACCGGGCAGATCGACGAGGGTCAGGGTGAGGACATTGGGGGAGTAGATGCGCAGGTTGATGGGAGCGGGCGAAATACCGGCGTTCTTGCCGACCTTGGTTTCCGTTTCGCGTACGATCTCCTCTCGAATCTTGTTGAAATCGTAGAACTTCTGGCCCTGGATGTGCAGGAATTCACCATATTCGTCCACGTTGGACTCGGAGTCCGTTGTCTCCAACTTTTTGTCGCCATTTGGATGAGCACTGGGAGCGCTGGGGGTCTTGTTGATGAGTTGCAGGATGAGAGGTCTCCGAGTAACGATTCCCGAGCCACGAGGCAGGCTATACCGTGAGATCTATGGTTAGCAATTGTTGACACCGGTGTGCATACCCCGCCACCGGGTGTGTTGACGGGGCCGCGCAAGCTCCACGAAATGGACCACGTACAAATCCCGGCCGACGATATTCTCTAGCACCGAACTCTTTCCGCTGGACTGCGATCCGACGACGACAATCTGGGGCAAATCGATCGGGTTGTGGACCTAAAGCAAGCGGTGTCAGCGCACGAGACACCCCTAGAACCACAATTGGCATATAGTTTTCGAGGTTGGATACTCACTCCAACTGTGGAGAAAACATCTTGCAACTTGTTGACGAGTGAAATCAAGCTGGGGTCATTGACGTTTATGCTGCGCACACGGAGATTAGCTTGACCGCATCGGAGAGGGGACAGGGGGGTCGCACGAATAGCCGGTCGTGGGGCTTGCCATGGCTGGCGATATCAGTATAGAACTGCTTTCTAGGCAAAAAAAAACTTGAAATAAAGAAAGAGAAAAAGCGAAAGCGAGGAAAGTTGAGTGTAGCGGAGGAGGTAGGGAGATTGTTTGGTTGGACTCGAAGGCGGTGATGTAGTGGCGGCCAGAGCGGTCTCCCTTAGGCTGCAGTGATCTGCAGGAAATGTATCTACCTAAGTAGTGAATGGATATACGAAGTTATAATGATTTAACTGCTATGGTCATGTGCACTGTGTGCCTGACGTGTACGGGCTTGTGTAAGATAGAAAAACACTCGAGTTGGACACAATAGCTACAGGGGAATGTGCTCGACAAACATCTAAAAAATGGGAAAATACATGCTAGGCTAAGACGGCACTTTCACTCGTCCGAAACCGAGGCGAATCGCTCCGTCATGGACTGGAGAATCTGCTCGTACTTGGCTGATATCTCCTTCTCGTCATGGGGGACCTCGAACTTCATGCTGCGCAGGGAATTCTGGAGGTCGGCGGTGGCATCGCGGACCTTGCTCCAGTTCTGACCCTGGGCGACAGCCTTCTGGGCCTCGTTGTGGTATCCCATGAAAGCCTTCATCATGTATTCGGTCTTCCACAGAGGGCAGAACTGATCGTAGTCACTGTATCCGTTCTGCTGCAGGAAGTCGTCCTTAACCATGCTGGCCACGTCCAGCGTAATCTTATCAGAGTCACCCAGAGCAGCCTTGCCGACCAACTGGACGACCTGGTCGAGTTCCTCGGACTTGGCCAGCAACTCACGAATGCCGTCGCGCAGGCGAGGGAACTCGGGATGGTCCTTCTCGTAGTATTTATCCAAGACCGAGTTATACTTGCTGTAGGAGATGGAGGTGTTGACGGAGGGGAAGTGCTTGCGCTGGGCCAGCTTCTTATCGAGACCCCAGAAGACCTGGACAATACCCAGAGTACTGCTAGTAACGGGATCGGAGAAATCACCACCGGGAGGGCTAACAGCACCGACGATGCTGACACTGCCCTCACGCTCGGGGCTACCCAGAGCACTGCTCTTTCCAGCACGCTCGTAGAAAGAGGCTAGCTTGGCACCGAGGTAGGCGGGGAAACCCTGGTCAGCAGGCATCTCACCCAGACGACCAGAAATCTCACGCAGAGCCTCGGCCCATCGGGAGCTAGAGTCCGCCATCATAGCCACGTTCTTACCCTGGTCACGGAAGTATTCGGCGATGGTGATACCGGTATAAATGGAGGCTTCACGGGCAGCGACGGGCATGTTCGAGGTATTGGCAATCAGGCAGGTACGCTTCATGATGGGCTCCTTACGGCCATCGATGTCAATTGAAAGCTATCAGTGTGGTTAGCCAGCAGTTATTGAACAGTCACAGAGAATACATACTTCGGGGAAATCCATCAAGACTTCGGCCATCTCGTTACCGCGCTCACCGCAGCCAACGTAGACGATAATATCACTGTTAGAGAACTTGGACACAGACTGGGAAATGACAGTCTTTCCACATCCGAAAGCACCGGGGATGCAGACGGTACCACCTTGGACACTGGGAAAGAGAGCATCCAGCACTCTCTGGCCGACGATGAAGGGCGCATCGGCGGACAGCTTGTCGCTAACGGGGCGGGGAACACGGACGGGCCAGGTCTGCATCATACCAAACTCGGTCTTCTTACCATCGAATTCAACCTCGAGCAGCTTCTCCTCGACGGTGTAGCTGCCCGCAGGGGCAATGCGGGTAATGGTACCCCGTGCACGAGGAGGCAGCAGGATCTTGTGGTCGTTCACCAGACTGTTCTCGAACACGGTACCCCAGATATCTCCACCGGTGATGTGGTCGCCGACCTTGAAGCTGGTAGGCTTGTAGTCCCACTTCCTTTCGCGGTCCAATGCGTTCACGGAAATACCACGGGGAATGTAGATACCCTTGGACTGGTCGGAGATAGCCTTGAGGGGTCGCTGGATACCGTCGTAAATCGTTTCCATCAAACCGGGGCCAAGCTCAACGGAGAGAGGCTTTCCTGTCCTTGTCACGGGGTCACCGACGGTCAAACCATCTAGTATGCAACCATCGCATCGGTCAGTATAGCTCGGGGGTTCGATAACGAAGATGGGGTGGGACTCTACCTGTCTCTTCGTAAACCTGAATCGTGGCCTTGTCGCCTTCAATTCGAATGACTTCACCAACAAGCAAGTCATGACCAACACGACACTAATCACTTATCAGCATCGGGGTTGCTGGGGAGCTGGGGAGCTGGGGAGCTGGGGAGCTGGAGGGCAACATACCAACTCGTACATGGCACAACCGATCATGTTCTCGGCCACCACAACGGGTCCGGAGACCGAAAACACCGAACCTTGCTCTTCTGTTTTGTCAGCCATGGTGGAGGAAGCCTGTGGTGGAGGAGTAGAGGATGAGGTGGAGGTTGAGGAGGGCGAGTCTGGAAGCGGTGGCAGCTCGGCGGGCGGTGATGGCGGTGTCAACGTATTCTCTCTGAGTATCAGATCCAGAAATGACGACCGCGCTCTAAGTCGAGGACGTCCCAATCCCAGCATTCGCTTTGAGGTGTTTATGGGGTGAGAATATACTGCCCCTGGTCGTGGAGTCCCCTGAGCTGTTCATCCAATCCTTGTCCTTCCCGGATGAGCCGATCTCTCTGCCTAGAGCTCCTACACTTCGACTTCAATAACTTTTGATTCTTCTTTGATGGCCAAATGGTTTGTTTTATATGCCAAATTATTCTATGAGCTTTGCAGCTACTATGCACCCGGGCATTGTGTGTGCAAATAGCTACACACCTAGCCCATCCATGATGCAGTCCACAATTCTTTATTTGCCATACATTCTTTTATTGTTCAATAACTTAAGAGCAAATGTTCTACTGTATACTAACATCCCCTACTCAACCTAACAAGTTATCCAATATGTCTTCCCGCCTGTCAACTCCAGCTTTCCAAGCTTCTTGGCACTCAAGATGACGCGCAACACACCTCAATAGGAATCCTTTTCGGCCTCAACAACCGCATGAACCATATACAGCAGGTTTCGGAATTCAATAGCTCGATGCTGTGTATGTTGACCGATCAACGACGCCGGCGCAGCAGAGGGCAAGAATGCCCGCAACATGATCTCGCAACCATCTTTGGTTTCCTTGAACTCATTCATGAGATAGAAGAAAACACTCCCACTGTCAAGGTTGACAGTTGAGTACTCCACCATTTTATACTCGAAATCTCGCAGCTCCGCCAGCCACTCCGGGATTGCGTCTAAGCTACTTGTGGGATCCGCAAACCAAATCTTTGCGATATGCCTCCCGATCATTTGCACCCTGCCGAGGTGCCCATACTCCGAGTCTTCATCTGTCTCACGCATGACTGAATAGTTGCCTGGGTGTGTTGGGAACACATACCTGAGTGCCATCCTGTCGAGAGGCTGGGATTCGTACCAGTGACCGCTCATGGATCGGAACTCTCTAGCTGACAATCCATATACAGTTAATTGAATCCTGCTTTCTGTATATTCGTCGTTGGACTCTGCTATCAACGATTCAAAATAGCTAGTGCCCTCCTCGATCTGGTATTGAAGGAGTTCGAGCATGGGCTCTTGGAACAATAAATTTCGGAGGTTGTTTAGGGCCATGTAACAAGCATCAAGTTCCACTTCTTTGATATGAAACGAGGGGATTTCCATCCCGTTGAATTCACATTCGATCGAAAAATTCCTCTCCATGGTACTAATTGAAAGTATTGCGTGATGTGTTGTTTCCTAGGGCAGTCAAGTGCACCATGTATTATATGGTTGCCAGACAAAGAATATGGTCCATATACCAATCCTGGAAGGCCTTTGTTCAGTTTCATACAGAGGATAATGCTTTGTGTTGCAAAGATCAGAACTAAGGGACTCTCAAGGGCCATGCAAGACCGTTGGACCACTGTGGAATTACCCTATTCTGGGGACTACAAATATGTAACACATAACACATGTGAATACTATAAGCGAAGGGCGCTAGCACAACGTCCGGGGTCTGAGTGGCTCAAGTTCTCTTCACATGGCGATCGACGCCCCCCTCTTCCCCGGACCGTGGACCACGGTAAAGGGTCACCTGCCATGTTTGACCCTTATATAGTATCGTATAGACATATATATATCTATAATAATAATAGGACTTCTTTGATTTCTATATCTTCAACTTAACCACAGAGATGGCACTAAAGAGCCCTAAGAACGGGAATAGCACCGAGTGTCACTACTGGGGGTATTCCTTCCACTGGACTGACCTCCACTCATCTGCTGATGACCTCCGGCCAATGGCCTATACCTGCGATGACCTTGCTGATGAGTGTGTCGAGCTCCTGAATAAGATCCCGACAAATGATGACTCGGACAAGAAGACCTACAAGAAGGATCTATATGGTCTATTAAGGGACCATGCGGAGGAAGATCCTAAACTCCAAGAGTTGTGGACACAGATCAATACAGTCCCGGAGTGGGTGGACTGGGCTCAGATCCAACGGGGTCAGGATGTGTTCTTTCGATATGGACTTCCGATTCTGAATGTTGTAAGTGGTATACATAATTCAAATGGGACTAGGTATATATGCTCATCTACCTACAGCTCAATTTTGAAAGTTTACTCGGTGGAATGTATCACAATATCCTAAGCCTACAGCTACCCCGGCTATCCACTGACTTATAAATAGGGGAGCAATCCGGGTTGTCGAAACCCTCGCGCGCACAGGCGGCTTCGGAGCGAAAGTAGTACGAAGGAGATTACTTGAGACCCTCCAGCATATACTACAAGTCAACAGCTCAGCAGAAGGTATAAAGCCAGGTGGCGAAGGCCATATCTCATCTGTTCGAGTCCGACTACTCCACTCATCTGTCCGGATAAAGATTCTCAGCCTGGTTGACCAGAAACCCGAATACTACGATGTCGACAAATACGGGACACCAGTCAACGACTTGGACTGCATCGGCACAATCAACACATTCTGCAGCTCAGTTGTTTGGCTCGGACTCCCGAGGCAGGGTATTTACCTCAGCCAGCAGGAGATTGAAGATTACATCGCACTGTGGAGGCTGGTTGC